AAATCATTCAAAACCTCAAATGTGAGGAGATACACACAACGTTAAATAAAACACTAAGTTAAATATCTGGACAACATAACTTCATTCTCAAAGTTTATTTTTCAATTGTAAAACTGTTTGGCTTCAGTCAGTAAAATGGAGAAACTTGTCATGTCAGCTGCGGAGCCACTGTTACCTCAAAGCCGGGTTTTGGATTGTGCCATTTTGATTTTGCATGTGTCCTTTGACATTTCCATCTGTAGTGTTTACAGGAGGAAAAAGGCTGTATGGGGACTGAAGCAAAATAAGGTTTTTGGTTACCAAGGTTACAGGATGACCATAAAAGGGAAAGGAGGAAACCTGAGATGCTGCAGTTGAAATGGAGTCCAGAAGTGCCTTCTGAAAATCAGGACCAGTCTCTCTGCTGTTTGCTGTGCAAGACATTACTGAAGCCATCTTTGACCTTGCAAGGTCTCACTGGAGCACTAGCAGACATGAGAACATTTTACAGCAATGTCTAAACATATTCATCCAGGTGGAGAAAAGACTGTTCCCCTGAGGAATTATAGTCTCTTTGTAGTGCTCCTGTGCAATTAATACAATTTCAGTTTTTCAGTGCTAATTCCTTTAAGCCACTGGGACGATTATGAACTGAAATATCCCCAAATCATTTTTTTTCGGGAAATCTTTTTGTAAGCTTTAGTTTTTTAACTCTACCGTAGTTTATTATCTTCATTAATATTACTTTTAGGGTAAAAAAAGATAAAAATGCCATTTCTTTTTGTTTATAGGAACTTTGGAAACAGCTGCCGCCTATCAGTATTTATAGGAAGTCACTAGTTCATCGAAAGGCAAAATCTAAGATTTTGGATTATTCTGTACAATATACTGATAACACAATTAATTTCATACAATGTATGACAAAAGCATGAGAATGGATAAATATGTTTCTATGACCTGAAAATTCTTCAATGATAAATTCATAGCTGTAAATAATTTACTATCATGTTGGCCTTGATTCTTTCGTTATTGGGCAGCTGAAATTGATGTTCCTCAAATATTTCAGGAATAAAGATGGTATACAAACATAACCCCAAGTAGTATCCTATCCCACAGACACTGGCTTACAAGCAGGACTTACAATGCCACATAGGTCCAAAAGCTTTTCTCCTAAAGGCAGATCACAAAACTACTGATATATCTGTTTAAAATCTGTATCTGTCTTGTGATGATGACAAATTCATCTTTTTACCTATATACTGTAATCATTTCAGGCCTGGGAAGAGAGTTGTGTATTGTCAGTTTACACTGTGCAAGAAAAGCTATCTGTATTTTGTAATAAAAACAATAGTCAATAAAGCATTAAATGACCTTCCTTTGGACAATAGCTATGAAAATAACAGGGATGGGCAGTACAATGATCTTACATCCTGTCTTACTGATTCACCCACCTTTCAATGGCAGGCCTGAAATCAAACAAAAAGCAGTAAACCTTCAAGCTCAGAGCAACAAAGCACACCCATTGATAAGGGCTGTCTTGTGAAATATCAGTGATTTACACAGACCTCCAGAATTATACAGTGATGTACTGTATAGCATCATAAAGCCTTTTCTTATTTGCCTGACATCCACGCCTAGCTACCAGTCTCTCAATAGGTTGTGTAAATATTCACAAAACAAAATGTACACAGTAACACAAAAGGCAACAAACAGCCTCAAAGTACCATACATAGATGAAGTCACTCAGCAAACATACTCTACCTATTAAGATGAAGACATAATAATGTTGTGTTCCACTGCTACATTCCAGTGACAATGTCTCTGAACCATGGACATTCCATGATCCAGAGAAACATTACTCAACCAGGCATGACACTTGTACTGTACCTCGCTGGGCATAGGAACTAGTACTGGCATGTCATTAGCTAATCCCTAATCCAAATATTGTGTGCTTTGTTGAGAGTGATTTTATTTAGATTAATGACATGATAATGAAAGCAGTTTTCACAGCTAACAAATATCCATCCACCACCTTCTAATCTGCTTTGTCCAGTACAGGTTTGAAGGGGAGCCAGAGCCTATTGCCTATCCCAGCAAGCTACAGGTACAAGGCGGGATACCCTCTGGATGGGATACCAGTCCAAATAGTTAAGATATATATTTTTATATTATATTTGTATTCTAACTGTAATTTTTTGTTGAACAGTTAGTTACATTAACACATCTCTAATATGGCTATATTGTATAAAAGAATAACAAATGATTTGGTGTAACAATGGATCTTTACATTACCGTCCCCTAACGGATAACATCATAGTTATGCATTTTTTTACACACACAGAATTGTAATGGACCTTTCTTAAGTCGTTACAATTAATCTCCCTGATCTTTCCCATGCCCCCCACATTAATGCACACACAACCACTGGAAAAGAAATGCAGTGTTTTAGTAGAAAAAAAACTTCACTGTCGCCATGGAAATGGCCTATACACAAGTCAGGCCCTGCTGGTCTTTCATGCACCACTGAAGGGGTCAGGCTTTATCAAGCTGGGGCACATTACCCTATAGACATGAATCCTGCACATGAATTTGTAAGTGAAGTAAAAAGATAACGCCTGTTAGTCAAGTGGTAGACATTTCCATTAATCACGTATATCTACCTGCCTTTAAATAATACAAGACACAAACTTGCTTGTTGACTTAGTTTAATTGAACTTCAGGACATCTCATTCTATCTACATTAAAGAACAGAAACCTGTCTGTACAAACTGCCACTTGATTGGAATGCAATCAGAAGTGAGGCCTGGCTTTCTTTGGAAATATGGATTTCCAAATCCATAGCAAAAGTCCACAGCACTCACTAGCAAAAGTGAGTGCTAGTGAACAGCACTCACTTTTAACACCTGTACTAGGGAGGATAAGAATTTGGAAATTAAAGCAGGATGTACTGTACTGCTTTACACACAGAGTGGTAAGTAGGTCTGGCTAACCAGCCCTGCTGCCAGATCTCGCAAAATGGCAAAGATGGTCTGAATAGCTTTCTTGCACTTTCTTCCTCTTAGGAAGATTCCTTGAAAACATTTACATTTAAGAAGTGGTTGGATAATAAAGCAAACAATGTCCTTCTCTTTGGTGCTACCTGTCTCATGTTCTTACATTTCTAAGCAGCAAACAATGTTATTCTTGGTAATGGAAAGGGGTGGATTTTGCTTTGCAGTGTTTGTAGGTTGAAATCTTGTGTCTCTTGAAAACAGATGTTAGTTTAAGGAAGCTACATCTAGATTAGGAAACACAGGAGGTGACAGGAAGTATCCCTAGAAAGGACAATAGCTTTCCACGAATTGTTTTGAAGAAAAAAAAACAGAACATCAGCAGATCAACATTTACTGACAACATGCAGATCTAGATGTTTCCTTTGTCACTCTGCTGTCTGTACTAAAAGGGATTCAAAACAGAAACAATTACTAGAATGAAAAAGAAGATTGTTCAGAATATTTAAAGCAAACCAAAGAAAACAGGGATAACTGATGGTAAATCCTGAAAGTCCCAGTCTTCCAGTCCGAAGCCCTTAGCTTGAGACAGACAGTGGCTAGAGGACTCACTAAGGCCTCTCTGCCAGACAAGTACCTGGCAACAGGCCCAGCATAAGGGAGCTGGGATTCATGCAGGAGCATCACCAGGGCAACCAACCACCACCTCCCGCCCCCCTACAACACACGCACACAAGAGCGGGCCATATCCTGAGGGCCAAGGATAGATTGATCACACCTTGCCTGGCCTGGCCATCTTTGCTTGGAATTGCAGAAGGGCTCGGTTAGCCCAGTGTACACGATAATCCTGCACAACTGGCCCACTATGACAAAACTCTAAAGGCAATAGAACACATAAATAAATCAGGTTCTTATCAGTATACAGTCCACCAGCCAATCCAATTAACTTTTCTATTCAGGATATTTTTGTTTTCATAGACAAAACTGCTTGAGAAAGTTATATTGCAAGGGTGCCATCTAATGCATATGGCCTCCAAGAAAGTCTCCCTTCTTCTAAAATCCAAAAAGGAAACATGCTTCCGAGCACTACAGCAGAATAGATTGCAACAGCTCCTCGATTGCCATTTTCTACTCACACTGCATTGAGTCTTCTGCAGTTGGGCAACACACTGAAACAGATAGACCACGCAGGAGTGTGTGCACGAGTCCGTCATCTTATTTCATAGGTGTCTGTGAGGCACAATTCACACCACCTCTGCAGCTTTTTCTAAAAAAAAGCTAAGAATCACACATGTAGAAATTATTTTGCAAGTTTGATAAATGTAAAATACATTTCTATACCTTGAGCCAATGAACTCGTCCAAACAGCAGTACAAAATGACAAGTGTGCATAAACCCCACTGAGCTTAGCTGGAAACTGGGATGTGTACCACTACTACATGTTTCCTAGCAGCAATCTCAAATTAAAAACTTCTTCAGGAGGACCAAACTCAGAAGCTGTCATTGGAGGATCTGATTGCACATTCTCTAAATATGAATTAAAGATGCTGTAGTAAATGCAGTAATGCATCAATTTTAGGAGTTATACATTAATGGATACCGGTGGAACATTTCCCCCTCCCCATAAGATTGTTAATTTTGCACATTACTGCAATCAGAGTTTCCTTAAAATACAAAATCAAATGCAAATGCTTGTAGCCAAGCAACTGCACTTTTCTTTTTCATATGTTCTGCGTTAGTCTAGATGGAATTTTCACATCCTAAAAAAGAAAAGCACCTTTTTCCTCACCTCACTGCCCTACCCAATCCTTGTGGGACTTGGGCCGACTTTATGGCCCAAGCTCTCCGGTCTCAGCGACAGCATCGGCTTCAAGAAATACAGATCACCCCACCAGTACCTCTACCGAGCAGGCCCCATATTCAAATGTGGCAACTCAGTGGTATTTTACCACAGTCTCATGCAAACTCTGAGCCTAAAGACCTTTTCTCTCCCCATTTGAATACGTACACAAAGAACTCATAGACATGATAAAAGGTCGTGTCAGTGTTTATCTGATTTTTTAACAGCAATAACATTTTAAAATGGGTACAAGGTCAACAGGCAGACATTCCCAGGAGCAAATGTTAAGGTACGAAATTTAGTCATCTTGAAAACTAGTCCCCCACAGCCACCTGGTGGTGAGTATGAGCCATGACAAGATTCCAAAATCTTCACAGTCAACGAAGGCCATCATCAGCTTCCTGACTGTACACTTCCCAAATTCATTGCAAACCCCAAATAAGATGGTGGATATTTTCCTTTGTTTTGGCAATTACCAGGAAAGAGATGACTGTTGTACTCAGATGAGACTTAAAAAACAACACGCTGAAGTCTGGATATGGTGTATTTTAAAAATACACTTGCTGACTCTGAATTGGATCCTTCAAGCTGTGCTCCAGCACAAGCGCAGCAGGATCAGGTGGCCAGGGCTTGCACAGGCCCCAGTGGAGCCGGGATCACTGCGGCTTCCTGTGCAGCTGCAATCTTATGAGGGTGCAGGTGAGGGCGTGCCTCTCTCCCAGTCAGCCCTGGGCCTCCTGCATGTTGCGCGCCGTGTGGAGACGGGGGAAGTGGGTCACAGAGCCCTTTTGCACTTCCTCTTCTCCATGTGTGGGGACAGGGGTTGGCGTGTGAGCCGAGACAGAATGATGCTATTGACAATGCCGAACTGGGTGGGTATGTCATAAACAAGAATTGTAAATTCTAAATATAACCGCAGAACAATATGGACTTGAATACTTGTCTCCATTATTCATTTTATTCACTGAAAAAAAGTGCAGAAAAGTTGGACAGGAAAGCCTTAAACGCACTAGGAGAAATAACTGGAATTAATTATTCAAGAACTCCTGAAATACACCTGCAACCACTGATACCAATCCTACCAAGTTTTAGTTTGTTGGGGAAAAACATCAGGATACACAAACATTTTTACAACTTGATCTTAACACAAAAATACATGTTTGAGTCTGTCAGAAATTACAGTTGTAAAATGAGAAAAGCGTGTACCAACGAATTTTGATATTGACATATAAAATTCTCAAAATCCAAACAAAAAAAAAACAACTTCTTTGCAGCATCGGCTTTTACGATAATTTGAAAGCGTTTGGTCTGTGATGTGGTTGAAGACTCACAGGAATCTACAGTATCTTGAACTGCTTCTACTGACCCATCCATGTGTCATTACAGCTTATGTCCACCTGAGGGCACTCCAGAGAGCCTTTTCCGAGTCAAGGCACAGAGGTTCCCTGATTTAAGCATAGATAACAATCAGTGTGAAGGACTTCAGTCCTCCCTTGCCAAGCTCAGTGTGGGTTTTGTAGTCTGTCCAGACTGGTGGAACTGGAGCCCTGCCTCTCCTGTTTCAGGGTCTTCAGGTGGCGATACGCCTGCACCACGCGCTCCCTCTCTTCCAGCATTATCCTCTGTCGTGCCATGGAAGGCTTGGCAGTAGAGACGGGGGATGATCCAAGCAAATGACTCAGCAACAGGCCCTTCATTCCACCCTGCAACACAAAACATGGAACTGCCGAGACTCTCAAGATGGGCCAAACAGCCTTTCAGAAAGGCTGCATTTGGAACAGAATAGCAAGATCATAGCTCCCCATGTGAGAGTTAGGGAGGCTAATGCCAGCCAAGATATTTCACTCCGAAAAAGCAAAAATGAAGTAGTCTGATTTTATGCTTGCAGTGCCAAATGTATCATGGGACTGTAGTCTCATAATTAGGAATGCATTCTACTTAGAAGCTGTCATTCCACATTCTGGATAAATTATTACAGGAAATTCATTATTCATAACAAAGTTAATGCAAATGTAAATCCACACCATGTAAGAGATTCAATAAATTGCTTCTGTAGTGTGTACAGTTGGATTCGACCTGGCACATTCCAAGACTAACGCACACAGCCCACACACCTGACGGCATGTGTACATGTCCACAACAGCTGGAATGCCGTTAGAAATCCTGGGGAATGCCATCACTGAAACACCTCAACCCTGGTACCAGAAGGCCAGTGTGCAGGTTCTCAAGATCTGCACCTGAGGAGCTGGGGGGAGCCGTTGTTTCAGGAACCAGATGTCTGAGCTCATTTTAAAACTATTTTGTAATAAAAATCCACAGACACACCAGCCTCTGTGGACCAGAACTGGACAGCTCAACTTACAGTCGAAAGTGCTTAGCACACGGCTGCCTGGAGGACAGAGGGTTTCCGTCTTTCTCTCCACCTCAACCCAATTCAAATCATTACTTGCTTAATAAGACGGGCTAAAGCCTTTTGTTGTTCGTAAGTAGCTGGAGATTGACCAAAAACTATAAAACTTGCTGGGCAGAAGCCTCTGAGGACTGGAACTGAGCATCCCTGGCATCAGAATTTAGAGCTCTGACAAACCTGTTCTTTTTTTCTTGGATACACTGCTGTCCCATCTTCCCATCTCTACACCTTACCTTGGCCTTGTTCGGTGCCTTCTTTGGCTTTGCTGTGAGGGAAGGGGGTTCCATGGCAACTTCACCAAATTCCACTTTATCTGGGGAGAAGAGAAAAAGACCAAAATAACACAGCATATCAATCTCAGGCCCTTCCAAAAGCTGCAGAGACCCAGACAGCGTCAACAGGTGGATGCTGCACATTGGTGGTGGTGGAGGGGAGTCCCCATTACCTGTAAAGCGCTTTGAGTGGAGTGTCCAGAAAAGCGCTATATAAGTGTAAGCAATTATTATTATTAATTATAACACTCGGGGACGCACGATTTCTACACAAACCTGTAAACTTCTCCTCCTCCCTTTTCTGTTCTCGCTTTTCTTCCTTCTTCTTCAGTAACCTTTTCAGACGGATCTTGTCAAACCTGAGAAGACGAAAGATTTTTTTTCTCCAGAAAACATGTAACATTCATGGAGGAAAGCACAGGTCTCGGCTCGGATACGCTTACTCTTTTTTCTTTTCCGACTTCTGCCTTTCTGAAGGCTCATCCGTCTCCGGGTGGCGCTCTATCTGGTTCTTGGTGAGAAACATTACATGATGGGTCTCCTGATCCATGCGTCTCAAATACGAGCTCTCGGACTCCCACTTTCCCCTGCGGAACTTCGGTACGGGGATGTCCGTTAGGTCTTGAAGTGAGTCTGCTGCCTGGCGTGGCTTGGAGTCTATACCAGTACCATGCCAGAGGGAAAAAAAATTAAAGACTTGCTCAGACACTTCAGATCATTGAACGCAAGCCTTTGAAACAGATGTGGAGATGGTATGCACCTTTTCGAAGCCCCGTCCAGTTCAGTTATGCCCAAAGATAATTTCTGTCATTTAAAACTAAAACCGAAACTCGGTCTTCAGTCCGGGAGGAAAATGTATTATTAGTGTCGTTCGAGGTTTCTACCTTTTTTCTTCTTTTTAACGATCCGTGTGTTCATTTTCTCTTTGCTCTTCATGATTTCTCGGAGCCGGTAGGGGATATGGTCGAGGTCATCCTCATTCCCGGACCTGGCTTCTCTTTTCTGCTTTTTGCTGCAGGGCAACACAAACCACATTGGAGACCCACATTTAATCGTTTCAATGGGGGGTATAAACACTGCATGCAGTCAGCCACCGTATTATAACACACCACTATTTGAGAGAAATTGACCAGTGCTTACAGTTTTCCAGAAAAAGACTTAACTACCCTTTTATAGAACGAATGCGTGGCAAAGCGCCGATTTCAGATCCTTATAAACTACATACAGTATCACGAACATTTAACAGGTTAAGATCCGTAGCTCATACTCTTTGCAGAATAAAAAGATCGTAACAGCCAGAACGTACCGCTGGGGTTGTTCCTTCCTGGAGCCTTGTGGATCGACAGCTTTATTCTTTCTGTGTTTTGCCATACTCTGTTTTACGGTCAACGTATAAAGGTACTTAAAATTATACAGCAAAACCGCCTGACTAACACATGGCAAAAAAAACAACACGGAAACACTAACACTTTAACCTCTCACCTCTAACCTCAGAGTGTCTCCGCCCATCGCTTGTTTTCCGACTTTCCTATTCGCCGAAGCATCCTGCAAGTCGAGCTGCTATTGGTTAAATGTCAATGTGTTGGCCCGCCTTTGTTTTGGTTTCACAGTCACCTAGAAGACCTAAATGGGCGAGGTACTACTGGAAGAGAACTAGAATATAAAGACGAAATGTTAAATTGTAACAGAAAATTATTGACGAAAATATGTTCATGTTCTATTAAGTAAGATAATGCGCTGGATATATTTTAAGATCAAAGGTCTAGCGTCTGCTCTTCGGAAGGTAAGCGCAAAACTGGGGACAGGCGATCGAGTTCGTCCGTGGATGAGTTTTTGTAATCAGCCCATTACCCTTTATGGACCTCCGAAAGACAGTGCAATACAGCGGGATTATTGAACTTTTCATTACAGGACAATTTGTAGTCCCATTCACTGTAGGTGCGTGTGTGTGTGTGATTCAGTCTATCTCGGGAAGGCTGAGATCCGTGCTTTACGTGCACGGAAGTGAAATGAAGTACAGTTTTATGGTAAGGAGTGAATGAATAATTATTCTATAATAATGAATCTATAAAATTGATTTACGAAAAATAAGTCATAACAATTAAATTGTGAGGGGCAGATAAACAGGTAAGTTTTTATTTGATTTATGAGTGTGTTTTATGTATTTATTGGCAGGATGAGTATTAAGGAGTGGGAACGTTGTCCTATGGATGCCCTAGAACTGAAGTCCTGTTTTCCGTGACTGTTGACAGATCCTATATAGTGTAGCATTGGAGGAGTGTTAAAGATTACTGTCGGTGAGTAGGAAAAGTCTGAAATCTTAAAGATGACTTTCTTTAAGATCTTTTTTTTTACTTGCTTTCAGGTGGAGGTGCAGGAAGCTCTGAGGCAGATGACGACTGGCACTGTGTGTCCATGGCCTCCCCTACGGCAGCCGGGTGCGGCTCACTTAGCCCTCCTCTATCGGAGGCACAGGGGCCTCTCCACCCACCCAGACTCCGAACACGTTGGGAACTCTGCCAGATTCACTCAGACTGGCACGCCCCCTGGGCGCGGTAGCCCGGCAACCAAGGAGGGGCGGGGAAATCCAGAGCCACAGGGCCCTCCCCTCCCTCCCACGTACTGCTGCATGAGTGGGTGCCCGAGCTGCGTGTGGATCGCTCATGCCCAGGAGCTGCTGGAGTACTACCGCGACGGCGGGGAGAAGGCCCTGGCCGCCATCGAGGAGCACGTCCAGGACGAGAACATGAAGACTTTCCTGAAAATGGAGATCAGGCTGCTGAAGAAAACCTAATTTCCCAGACGGTGCACACGATCTCTTTCCAAAAGAGTGTTATTGCTCGGAGCTTAATAGAATGGCTGGACTGTAGGCGTCGCCAGCTGACGGTTTTAGCTCTGTCACTCCTGGCGGAGCGAGATCTCGGTCTGGTACTGTTCAGATTGGTGGAGCATCAGCTTGAGTACAATGAGTGGGATCTTGGGTGGGATACCTTCACGGGACCTTCTGCGTCTCATCCCAATGGGGAGAGCTGAGACAATCAAGTTTGTCAGAACTGTCTGAGTTGCAAAATGTCCTCATGATTTACCTCATTATGTGTCAACCAATTACCAACCAACCAACTAAGTACCTCCAGTATCTCACCAATCTGTGAAGTTTATATTACCTATTTATTTTTTTGCTCTACAGAGCAAGCCCTGGCGTTCTTCACACTATCTGATCAATATACTGTAATGCAGTGCCTATTGATTATTTTTTTTCTGAGATGGACTCAGGGTTCACAGTGTCCTGAACAGGGGTAGGGCAGTGGGTGTAACCTGCCTCCCTGAGGTGCCCACACCCTTGATAAGAAGGGCAGATGTGTAAAGCACACTAGTAATGTAACATCAGAACTCATGCATAAGGCTGCATTTTATTCTTCCCATCTTTAAAACATGATGGTTTTCATTTCTTGCACAGGAGTGACAGCCTGTTGAAATCTAAAGTGCATGAATTCTAACAGCATCTGCCATACTTCCGAATTTAGACATCTCATCTCAGTATTTTAAATTATTTATTTAGTTCTACTGATTTTATGTATTTAACAATCAAGAGTGAATTAGAAAATGCAATAATTTAATGCATACTAATGTAATTTCTGAAAACATCCTGAAGAAAAATTAGAATACGCTAATAAGAAAGTAGTTTGAAGGTTAGCTGTTCCTGTGCAACTTTTAGGATTTTAATAGCAAAGCCATTGTGTAGAATGTAGTTAGAATGAGTGGGATGAAGTTAATGTTTCACGTTGTATTTGTGTCAGATAACCACTAGGTAGTGTCTTAGCTGGCACATTTAAAAATGTTACACCTGTTCTCAAGAGAGACCCAGTGAGAGTCTGCGGTATACCAATATTGTAAATGAATGTACTGAGTATTAAATTGGATCTGTCTGTGAGTAAAAGCTACATTGACAAGAATTCTATGTTATGTATGAAGGTACATTTTTAAATAAGACACACATTTTTATAGTCAAACTCACTGTAGAATATTCTGACCACTACAATATTTGAGTCCCAAGAATGAATAAATATGAATGTATTTTCATCATAATGTCTTTACAGCGGGTCAGCAGTGTTTGAATTAAATACTAATTTGCTTAAAAATGAACATAATTGATATATTGTGGTATTGTTTTCTATAGCTTTGTGCTGCACTCATCCTTCAAGTTCTTCGTTTTGCTAATAATGTCACAGGAATTAAGCATTCATTTATCTGGCATGTTTGAAAATCATTTCCTGCATTAGACCCTCATCAATGCAATATTTCTGAAAAGCATCTGTCAAATTACTCTTTCCCATTGGATACTTATTATTAAGAATTAATTATAGCCTGCAGAGTCACACAAATCCTGTAATCCTATTAAGATGCGTCTTCACACAAAGCATTTAATACTAAATGTTTGCTATCACTTAGATTAGAATAGCTACATTAGTTTTACATATTGTGGGTGCTGCCAATTAAAGCTTATTATTCATGCAGAGGGATGAACAAAAAATAATTACCTGTTTTTTTAAGTAGTCTTCTAAGTGATTTAGACCTGAAAAAAATATTTTTGATAATTTGACTTATTTGACTTAATACACCAATAGTGAGCTCTGAAACTAAAAACCAGGCACAACCTTGACATTTGAAAACCGGAGTTAGCTGTCCCTGCACAAGGCTAGAGCTGCAGTTTGATTGTCAGGATGCAGCTGTTACTGTTTGGGGCGGTGCAGTGGCTTTGTGGCTAAGGATCTGCACCTGTGGCTGGAAGGTTGCCGGTTTGTATCCCGCGGCCGTAAGAGGAATCCTACTCCGTTGGGCCCTTAACCCCAACTGCTCCAGGGGCACTTTATAAATGGCTGACCCTGCGATCTCTGACCCCCCTGTCTCTGTGTCTCATGGAGAGCAAGTTGGGGTATGCGAAAAGATAATTCCTAATACAAGAAATTGTATATGGCTGATAAAGTGATCTTATCTTATCTTACTTTGTGTCATTCCGTCCTATAGTTCACAAATATCTACTCCTGACAGGGTGGAGAAAAGCAGTGGAGTGTCCAGCTTTTTTTCCAACTGCAATGGACAATGTAAATAAGCTACTGTACCCAGCATGCTTTCAAGAGGAAACCAGGAAATCAGAACACAAAACAATAAACCCACACAGATACAGGGAAAACCTTAGGACTCCATACAGGTAAAAACACCTGACCAGAATCAAGCCCAGGCTACTGGAGCTGCAAAGCAGTGTTGTCACCCACTAAGCCATTGTGCCATCTTATAGGAGCAGTCCATCTAGTATTAAATCAACAGTATGCCATGATTGAGAGATCTTGTTAAGATTTGATAACCTTGTCAGTTTTGCATTCCTTTAACAAAAGGGGGTAAAGTGTATTCTATGTTGAATGGAAAAGCACAAAATACAAATGCATTCATAAACTATTCAGTCTGGTTCTGGCAATGAGTTAAGATAATAGACACTGAGTTTCAATCTGATTATGGCTGTATAGACTAGAGCAGTGGTTCTTAACCTGGAGTGGACACTCCCCTTGGGGGTGTGAGATGCCCCTTCTGGGGATGTGAGACAGGCCAGATGTTTTTAGAAGGTGAATCATTATAAACACAAATTAAGCACAGGTGTATAAGCAGAACTACTGTGTTTTTAATCAAACCGAGGTACAGTATTTTAAGGTAAAGTGTTATTTTTCCTATATATTTTTTATTTTACAATTAAAATAAATATATAATTATCTCTCTTTAATTCAGTAGTTAAGATTCTGTATATCTTAAGTTTAAAGAACTGACCTCCTACTTCAGTGTTATTAATGAGGGGAGCGAGAACAGATTCTGGGAACCAGAGGGATGCAGGTTGAAGTAAAGGTTTAGAACCCATGGACTGGGAAGCTTAGGGCAATTTAAAGTGCAACCTCCTCTTCTAGGCATTGGGGCCGTCATTGGACAGAGGGAGATCAACGTAATGTTGAAGAAATCCTGTTTCCAATGTTCTAAAATAGTGTGTAAATCTGTTTCTTGGGGCTGCTGTGTCTTTCAGTTTTTGTCCAAGCCAAAATTTCAGCTTTTTTATTGGTCCAATTGCCTAATTCACTGGGTGAATTGTACACGACTGTCCAAGTTCCACAGTCTTGCAGAAATTGTGTGGTTCGCCAACAGCTTATTTTAAGCTGTCACCTGTACATTAAAATGAAATCTTACATAAGGAAATAATTGCATGAATTAAGAAAAGAGAAATGAGCGATGTGCTATCACTATATAAATAGTTTGAAACCCCTGCTCTTAGAAATGTTTATCAACTAAACTGAGCCTGAATTATCCCACAAAGGCAGACAGCGTTGAAGGAGCAGATCAGTGATGATGTGCTCCCTTTGAAAAGACGGCGCTCCTTCATTGTGACCCTGATGGTGGTGACCCTGGCAGAAACTGTGGTGAGTCAGCATGGAAAATGAAAGCCAGCGTCATAATATCAGCAGTGATTAGGTGTTATTTGCATCACACGACTCACTTCTTATCTGATCTAGGTGACTGGAATTAAAGATGAGGCAGGCGTTTAGTGACCAGTTGAAGAAGCTGCCTTGTGTGATTGCAGAGACAGAAGAGATTGTCTCTCGTGCCTTCACAAGTTTAAAAAAAAGGCATTTTTTACAGAATTCAGATTAACTTGCTTCAAGTTTTGAGTGAATTTTGTATGATCTTTTTTAGACTTATAAAACTTCTGTTGTTGCTGCAGATTTCTGACATGACCATACCTTCTTATATGTTACATACTGTAGCTCTGCATTAAGTAGTTTTATATATTCTATAAGCACACAGTAATACTGAATATATTTTTATTTAGGTTATTGAAAGAGCTATGGTACACTTTCTATAAAAAATAGTTACATGTTTTTCTTTAATTCAATTTCTTGACATATTCAGGTAACCCGAAAAGAAGCCTGACAAGATATTCTTAGTGGTTTCCCATATTTGGCAGTAAAGTAACACATCCACTAAATGTAGCTCATTCCTAATGACAGCAAATATTCAACTCTATTCAAGACATTGCTGGGTTGTGTCCTGCAGAACATGATTTTAGAAGCTTGTCCTTTCCCTTTCTATATTGTGCAATTAAGAACATTGCATAAATAGCTACTAAAAAAAAACACTGAAAAGGCTGTTCAAAAGCAAGTTGCAATGTTGAAGAATACTACAGAAGAGCTTCTTTGCCTACTAAGCAGTGGAGAGCAGCTGAGATGACAACACAAAATGAATGGGTCCGTGTATCTGTTGCCTTATGTTTTTCTGGTTCTTGTCCCATGCAAAATCAACAACCTAAACTTAGGTCAGATGTTTTACTGTATTCAAACTGACCTTAGCGAACGCTTGACAGTATTCAGAAGGAGAATGAGCTCAGCAAGGTGAAAGCAGTATAAGGATTCACGTGTCACTGTGTCTCTCTACCTTGCACGTGTGCTGAGTCCTCCCTGTTATCTGTCTGTTAATCACTGCAGGCCAGTGATGTAATGGGCTGCCTTTATGCAGTTTTTGAGAGGTTTTTCTAGTTTCGATCATCACCTGCTGACAGGGGGAATGATCCATTTGCTCCAAGCTCAGTGAAGTTAAAGTTCAAGGTACCATGGGGGTCTTATTTAGTTGTATCCGATCAGAAACACTACATGACTAGAGTTTTGTTGAAGATATCCTGCCGCTATTGCCTAACATGTTACCTACAACATTCGTTTCTTCCTTTTCAGGATTTAATTTTTCAATTACCTGTAACACGACCTGGCTGAGGTTGGTGTGGCAGTGAGCTCTTGGGTCCTGGATTTGGGGTGTGTTTCTGTAAGGTGCCTGCATGTTCTCCCCCATGATTAGATGGGTGTTCACTGGGTGCTCTATATGTCACCCATATCCTAGTATTCTTTCTCTGGAAGAAATGCATTTTACGAAAACATTAGCTCCAAGCATTAAAATCTGTCTGCTGCCCTGGGGGGAATTTCCTCATCCAGTCTACCCATCTGTAGTGCAATCATTGGCAGTCTGGCTTGTTCTTCACTAATCCATCTCAGTTTGTGTGAATGGATTTATCCCCTGTAATTGAGTGCAGTTATTGATTGAGACCTTCTGACATCTGCCCTGAAAGCACTAGCAGAAATGGCTAACTCCAGCCCCCAGTAGCCTGGGGCAACTAACAGGGGCTGTTGATTCCACAGCCGTATCGAGGTGGTGACCTCCAGATTTCTTCATGTCTGTGATGAAATAGGAATGAACAGAAGAGGTTAAGGATCGGTAAATGTAACATGTTAATAAAATTAAAATGATATACTGTATTTGTATTAGTATTGCACAGAACAAAGTCATATGCGTCATAAGTAATTCAATTAATTCCAGAAAACATACGGGTCATGTAATGTTAAGATAAAAACAAATTGTAGGGAAGAAATAAGAAACTGTCCTATATACCCCAAAGAGCAATAACAGTAATCTTTTTCATTACACTTAGTGTTGTAATGAATTACCCTACATAAAGAAGGTTGTATCTGCCTGAATATGGTTACTTTGTAAAATAAACTGAAAAAGAGGGCATTTTTGGTTCCATTATTTCAGTGCAAGGCATTGGATGAGTGCTATGTAATCTTAATTTGAGTGTAAAATAGTACAGATAGCCAATATCACATTTACCTCAAAATTCAGAAGTGTATTTGTTTTTAGAACACTTATTTACATATAATAAGTTGAATTGTTTTCACTTTTTTTCTCAAATGAAATAATTATACATATCAATAATACATTTATAATACAAGGACAAACAACTAATGTTTAAAAAATCCAAAAGAAACATTTAGACTTAATCTAGGATCTCTTAGATTAGCACCCTGTAGTATTTGTAGAACTAATTTAGGCTGTGTAATTTTCTTACTAAACAAAAACATCAGCATAACAAGATGCCAACATTCATGAATCTGGCCCAATATTTGTTAAAGACAATCAAAGCAAATGTCCAATTGAAGACACAGTTCAAAACATTTCTGCTTGATTTCCACAGGTTGCGCAACATTACTGCATCGCTTAGCTGATGCAAAGTTTATTTATAAATTAGTTGGCTGTTGAGATGCCAGGGGTTCATTTTGTTACCATGGACAGATGCAGATGACCAGATTAGTAAATGAACCAAAATAATCCAGGTCACAGCCTCTCAAAATGTAATTACACAGACCAGACTAATTGGAAAATAAATAGAATTGGTACTTTAGGACTAATCATTTTTTTTCTGATTAGGCTAAGACATTTATTATAGTACATCTCAGTGATGGCAAGATTATCACAGGGTGTAATCCTTCACTTGAATGGAGGTTTACATACACGTCTCGTGAAAGATTACCTGGCAAGACTAATTAATTCAATCTTCTGGACTGCTGAGGAGTGCAGTTTCTAGTTCATCATTATTAGGACAGAATAGAAAGAGGTTCCTAATACATTTGCAGAAGGTCTTCATTACATAATAGTTCTTAATAGTTTCTACACCTGTTCACATAACACTAGAGTTTTCCAGAAAGTTCTTGCAACCAATGAAACCCAGGAAGTTTTGCACAGAAACGTCTACGTTTTCAAACGTGGGGGGGCAGGGGGGGAGAGGGGGATTACCTCTGCCAAAATGTGATATATAACATTAATTCAGATGTTTTGGTGTTACCATCTCTTAATATGGTTTGTCCTTACAAAAGAGAACCATTAATCTTTACAGAAAAAAATCTGTTTTTTTTACCCATTTTTTCCTATACGTGGGGCAAATTTTTGGAGGGGGATTGTGGAAATCTTAACCTGACAGAACGCTTCTCTTGATGTGTCCAATTTAATTTCATGTTACAAAATGATAAGAGGCTAAAGAAATGCAATCGAAATATATGACTTTGACTTAATATACTAATAAACTAATACAATTTTTATCAGTTATACAATTTTAAGACTAAGCTCAAATATATATTTTTTGGGGTGTAAAAGCACTGAAAAAACATACAAGAAATTTTCCACAAACATGTTAAGCTTTTAAAGTATTATTCACTGATTTTGCTTCAAGTAGCCATGCACTGCAGCAATTAATTGATCAATATCATATGTAGAGAAGCTAAAATTGTACTCTCATCTGCAATTACTGGAAAACAAAATGACAAAAGTACAATAGGTGTTATCTTAAATTTTAAAAAATCAAATCCATCAATTAGACCTCAAAGAAAGAATACAAGCTCAGTACATCACGCTTTTACACCATCAACTGAATGTCACATAAAATAAAAGAAGAGTGTACTTTTGCCTTCTCCACTGTCTATCAGAGTGTTAAAGAAAGATACAGTATCTGGCATAAACAGATACTGTACATTTTAAATTATACTGCAATTCCAAACTCTAAAGTGTCAAAATCTGTAAAAATACAGCTCTACATTTCTGTCTCCAGAAATACACATCTTGTTAAAAATATACAGCTCAAATACACCTGACAGGTCTCTTTCCTATTCTTTCCTGTACCAATAATACACAGCAGGCTGTGATTTGAGCCCTTTGTCTTTAGGGCAATGTATTCAATGTTTTATTTTTCCAAACCATGGTGGAAAAGCAGCTTCACTACGTCTAAGACCCAACCCTGAGGCCAGTAAGATGACAGTGTCCTTCATGCTACAGCCAGCGCTCTGCCACCCCACCCACCCCCACCGCCTCATCTCTCCCTGCTGTTGGTATCAGCTGTGATGACAGCGGATCAACAGCTCATTTCTAATCTCCTTACGAGCACAGGTATAAGAGGCAGGCAGGCCAGACTCCATGCTCAGAGCAACCCTAGCTTAGAGAAGCAAACCGCGGCCAGTGAGAGCTGGTTTGGGCTCTCGCCTTTGTCTGGCAAATGGTCACCGCCGCCTAGACGGTAAGTCCAAGGCTCTGGGTCGAGCAAGGGAACAAAAAGCTGACTCCGGCGGAACGAGACTGACAGATGCAACTGAAGTTGGGTAGCTGTGCACTTGGGAAGCATGAGTGTAGGGGCATTTGAAAGTGACAGAGGAGGCTGTGCTTGAATATTTGCATTCAATTGGCTTGAGTAAGGAGATGAGGTACTGTAGGTGATGAGGTGTTTAGTTTATCTGTAACCAAATAGCCTGTCTCCATAGTTCAGAAAATTTGGTCCACTTTCCATGCAATCCTAGGGGTCAATGGAAGTAGACTGTGCTTTTTACTTTGGGTATTTTCTGTCTCTCATGGTAGAAAACGTAGTGGGATTAAGTAAATTCAGCCTGTGAACATTTTTCCTTGCACAAGGTTGCATTCAGATAGTCAGTAGGTAAGAGACTCTGGGATAAAACACTAGAGAGGGTTAGGATGTATCATACAAAGACCTGAAACATGGACTATTTCAGAGTGACACCAAGATGCAAATGCAGTTGGGTGATGGGAGAAGTCTAAAGGGATAGAACGTATTGTGTTTCTCCCGCACCAAATGCTTTATAACATGGCAGCACTAGTTCAGGCAGTACTTTCTGGGACTGAGTTCAGATTACCGGCAGCCTTACTGGCATATTACTAAAAACCTTGTCAAGATAACAGCATGCTACAATGTGCATCTAGCTTCCATTTATCGTCTCCTGATATGTGCCCGACATAATATTTAAACATTTCAGGTGATCCAGGTTGGGTTGTTTATTGAGATTTATTGAAGATTAACTAGATGGGACTGACTGGGATAGGCTTACTGTGGAGCAGGTTGGTTTTCATCAAATGCGTGGAATATGTAAACTCTCACTGTTGAAGTGTTTCAAGGCTGTGAATTGTTTTGGTCACATCTGATTATTTACACAGACGGAGCTCATGAGTACACAGTAAGGCAGAGCAGGTACCAGTTGAGTAAATACTCACGTAAAAGCTGGTGAAATCCTGCTGGAATTAAAATGTTCATGTTTCTTTGGAGAAATTAGGAAACTGAAGGGTGTGCATTTAGTGGGTTTGATTAAAGAGAAGGGTTCTAGGGTGAAATGTTTAAACTTATTAGTTTAAATTTATTAGTAATAATGTAGACTTCCTTCTTTTAATAGTTCAGAGATTTTTTCCACTTTCCATTTAATCCTACAGGTAATCAGTAATAGTTATGCAGTATATATGAGAAAACAATGCATGTTCATGTTTTAAGCAAATTCTGGCAGTGAATTTACATTTTTTCTCTGCACAAGATTTAATGTGCCTGTATGAGGAAGAGGGTTTTTTTGTCATCCAGGAAGAGAGATAACATTGAAACAGTTATGGTTGTCAAGGAAATGGATTATGATAAATTTATTATTTTCTTTAGGGGTGGGGATAAACACAAATAAAAGTCCATAAAAGCAGTTTCAGGGAGTTTTGTTATATCTTGCACAGCGTATGTAATTTCTTTGTGTAAAGCATGCAGGTTGTGCATTCAGTGTGCAGATATTTAGAATCCCCCGGTCAAAGAAACAGATGTTTCTGGTTGCAGACTATATACATATATACTTGAGGAACATGAGACAGAATTGGTTTGTTCCTTCTGTCTCTTTCCCTAGTCAAACAATTCCTTTATTCCAATCCTGCTGAAAACCACTAAAAAATGTACAATCCAGCTCCACAAACTTTTAGCTCCATCATAGCTCTGACTGAAGGCAATCTTGATAAAACTGTAAAATGATATTAGGCTGCAAATATGTGAAACTCCTATTGGAATGTATGCCAACTTCTGTTCAAACTGGTTTTCTGCTTGCAGATTCCCAAGCTGCTATTTCCCAGGGGTTCCTGATATTAAATGGAGCCCCAATGGTCTCTTGGTTTATCTGTCACTTAAGATCACGTTGCATATTGGTTAGCACGTTCTTTACATAAAAACAAAGAAAAAGGAACAGCAGGAGAGGCAGCAAATTCATTAAATCAAAGTGATCACCTAAACTACAATGAAACAGACATCTATAATCTGTTTAGCCACATGCAGGGATAAACTGTCTCAGTGTAAGGAGATCTGAACTAAACAGGCCCTAAAATTAGCATACAATATTGTGTTGTCGGATGTTGTCGGAGTGCGAGGATGCAAATTGAATTGAGAAATGCACGTGTCGCTCAGATTACCATGTAAACAGCTGTGCAGGAAGAGCATCTTTTGGAGATTAAAGAGATTTAGAGAGATTTTTGACACTTCAGCACATTTTATGTACAACAGGTATTAAAGCTGGGAGGGTGTAGCACTCAGAACCATAGAGACCACAACAACAGAAACTAGATCTAGCATATATCTGAGGTAAGGCTTTCCAAATGGGCTATGCTGTCAACAATATGCATGTTTATAAATATTGCTAAAGATAGTGGTAGCAACTGAACTGGCATTGCTTTATTTTAAATAATCATCATTTCTCCTTCTGACCTTAGTCAGTAACAACTACAAGTGCCAAAATTGCTGCGTTTTCTTCTTCCTTCTTATTACTTCATATTTTTGGTTCCACAGTGGACATATAATCTTGCTTAGATTTGTATCTCAGAAAAAGAGTTTCCTTTTGTTGAGTGTGCAGCTGTTGTTACAGGTGATGCTGAAGAATGGAATTAATGGCCAGTTTAGTGAACCAGTTCTGAAGGCTTTTTGTGTGGATGAGGGAATGAAGAGAGACAATGAAATGCATTAGGATTTCCCTAGGTGCTTGAACTAGGAGTGGATAAGCCAAATTTGTTAATTACATTATTACTGCTTTGAACAATTTGCTCATCTGAATAAGAAAGGTCTATAAAAGCAAATTGTAGCTGAGAAGATTGGTATGTTGACAACAGAAATGGTTGACAATGTTTTCAATTGTACAATTGTTTTAAATAACAATTTTGTATAATATTGTTGAAGTTGGTTGTATAATATTGTTGAAGAGCTTGACACTGTAAATGATGATGAAGAGATTCTTTGGATTAAGTATAAGTGTTTGAATTTAATTGTCATAATATTAATTTAAAAAAGCAATTTACATGAATACTTTTTAAACCAGTCTTAATTCCTTAGCACTGAATAATACCCATGGAACAAGTAGCACTTCAATTTTGTAATACAAGCATAATCTTAATAATCTTCTACAACTACTATACTATTTTTCCATTATTAATAACATTTGTTTAAATGTTACAAATATACAAACTCATATGCATTTAATCCTTAATACAAACACAGGCAGCACTCGGGTGAATAGATGTAATATTGTAATCTATACACACATACATTACAGGATAGTAAACTGCATTTATGATTTTGTTTTCTTGAAAGGCAACAAAATGTATTTGCTTTGACAGAAAGTATTATTAAAATACTATAATGGAATATAAATAATTGTTTCTTATTGAATATTCCAATAGTGCATATTCTTTTCTGCTGCTGTTTAAAAGATTTTGGTATATTTGTTAATGGAAAGGAAGTATACTTAGTTTTTATTTCTTTGTGTTCCCGATTGTCCTTGTTCTAATAGGATTATGTATGAACCCAGCTCAATGGCAAAGTCAAGGGAAGGCAATTAATTCAAGCAACTCCATTGGAGGAGATTACAGAAATTGGGTCATCGCTATGATAGCCACACAGCCAATCCCCAAGAAGCAAACAACACCCAGGGATGTCTTATTATAAATAAACTTCTTAATCCTTTATTGGGAAGAGGATTAATATTTTTCCACTGAGCTCAGTATGGTGGATGTACTGAGTCAAGTAAGATGACACAAAGAGGACCCTGCTGCCATCTATAAAACACTGTTTTCTGCATTATGTGTGAGCGTGAACTTCACTGGTCAATTAGAATCATCCAAATACCATTAATCTGATGTATCTAAGTATGAAACCTGTTAATATAGGTTCCTGAATGATCTTCCCTGAAGAACAATTCTGAAACCAACAATTTGATAATTCTGAGAGTCAGTTATGTACTTTCTACATTTACAAAACCTAGAAATTCTCTGACATTCATAGCATAATAACAATATCTATTTACAGGACATAACATAAATGCAAATTTATTAATCTAAATATCAAATAATGCTCTTCACAGTTGGAAGAATTATGGTAATCTGCAATTTGCAGTAATGGGAGTGTCAATTCAAGGTGAAAACAATATACAAATACTGGTTAAAGATGGCTAATTCATTTGCAAATAGTGGTGATTAAATTCACATCTTGTGTCTGGAGGACTACATTTCAGAGGAGACAGGCAATTAGCAAAACCCCTGCTTTACAACATTCAACAGTAAGAAGAGATATAACTTTCTTATTTTCTGTACCATTATTTTTGTCTCATTCTTAATTGATTATTTTTTTAATCGTGGGACATATCTTAGCTTTTAAAATACTGTTTGCGAAGCCACTAGGTCTTCAAATGAAAATAACGAGCCAATATTGTGTTTGAATATAATATTATTTCTCCTTCTCTTATAGTAAGGACTTTTGAGAGTGTTGTAACCTCAGTCATCTTTTTATGCCTGTCTCTCTCTTTCCCCAGTTCCGAACATCAAACACCACAAACACGGCTCAAAAAACATCACTTAGGTCCACTGCAGGTGCTCCGACGGGAGCACCGCAGATCTCTGCGCCCCCAAGACAATCTGACGGCACCCTCCCAGCCCCCACAATGAACCTCGAGCCCCCCAAGCCAGAGATCAAGTCCGCCACCCGGGTGAGTGGCGGCCCAGCTACACCACGCAAGGGACCCCCCAAATTCAAGCAGAGGCAGACTCGTCAGTTCAAAAGCAAGCCACCAAAGAAAGGAATCCAGGGGTAAGTACTCAAAGGACTCTACATGGGTCCATTCAAGATGACTTCCTTTATATGAAATTAAGAAGTATGATCCTTCCATGCTAAACACGGACAGCATGTGCCAACGAGATGCATATGACTTGAAAGACGGCTAAGAAAGACCTAAAGATAGGTAAAGGACTCAAGCTAAGAAAATCGAATTGACATATTTAAAACAGTTCTGAGTGGCACACTGGTTTGCATTGTTGCCTTGCAGCTCTGGGGATCAGGGTTCAATTCCAGAACCTGGGGTGCTGTGTGTGTGGAATTTGTTTGCTCGTCCCATGTTTGCATGGGCTTCCTCCTGCACATCCGGGAACACTGGCCCTGGTGTGAGTGTGTGCACGTCTGTGGTTGTGTATGTGTCTGCCTTGTGATGGACTGGCATCCTGTCCATGGTCTACGCTGCCTTGTGCCCACCCATTACTTACTGCGATGGGTTGTGGCTCTCTTGCACATAGCACTATTTGTCTTTCTGTCATATATATTGCTGTCAACGGGGTAATTGGGATGGGTATGCAACATGACTCTGTAACAGGGTTTGAATGGCGACCTGGATCCAGGCTGCAGAGGAAAACACTTTCAGTGCTTCCTCTAGATCTGCTTCTGTCAGGGCACTGTTTCTCACCTGCTAAGCCAATTTTTACCTCTTTTGTTCTCCTGCACCCTTTCCAAACAGCTGAAGGAGGCTAAACAACCAGAACCTTGTGTTTTCTGCTTCTTGTTACTTTTCAATGTGAAATTAATCTCTGCATGAGTTAATCATTACAATGGCTGTAGCAGCCCATTGGCAAAAGACATGTCTACTTTACAACACAGCAGAGTAACAAGTAATTCCTGTTTCACTCTTCCCACTGCTACTTGTAAATAAGCCAATGTCTACATTACAAAACTGTCAGCACATTTATATTTTACATGTTTAACTAACAGGGTTTTTCAGACATAAGATATGTAATTATGTATGTGTAAGAATTAACTAGCAATCACTATTCTGACATTTGTATTTCAATTCAAAATCAGTTCCTTATTTCTGATCATAAAATTCCATCCAAGAGAGAAATTAAATGATATCAAATCATAAAAATAAAATAAAGGTTAGGTGTTTTACTTGCGACATCTGGTTTCTGTCTCTTCCTAATGTATATATGCATCTTTAAAAGTTTAAAATTACTTCACAGCAAACTACACCATGGTGCTGTTAATGCTGTTCTTCACTGACATTAGCCTGAATATTTAAATGAAATTGTGGAATTCTGCCCATTAACTATCTTTCACTGATTGCAGATTCGGAGATGATATTCCTGGAATGGAAGGTTTGGGCACAGGTGAGTTTCAATGACATGAGATCACTTTATTGGACACATACAATTTCTTGTACTAGGAATTTGTCTTTTCGCATACCCCAGCTTGCTCTCCATGAGACACACAATCAAGGAGAGAAGCTTGGGGTCAGAGCGCAGGGTCAGGCATTTATACTGCGCCCCTGCAGCAGTTGGGGTTAAGGGCTTTGCTCAGGGGCCCAATGGAGTAGGATTCCTCTGCCGGCCACAGGATACAAACCAGCAACCTTCCAGTCACAGGCACAGAGCCACCTCACCGGCCATTAATGTAACAACATATTGTAAATGCACTACGTACCAATAGCAAGACTCCCTTTTACCTTCACTTTCTAAATCACCTATTGACAGTCCTGATTACAGGTAGCAAATACCCTGGATGTTGGGTAATTGTTGTATATCACCATTTACAAACAGTGACTGGAAACCATGTGGCGTTGGTTTTGGCTCGTCTTAAGAGACCCAGTGTGCACTACAGTATGTTCAGCTTGCATTGAGCCACACTTTCTAGGTGGGAAGGTCATGAAAAGACCTGCATGTTTCCCTGACAGCTGTTGGTTTGCTTTGCAGACATCACTGTCATCTGCCCCTGGGAGGCCTTCAGTCACCTGGAACTCCACGAACTGGCACAGTACGGCATCATCTGAGACCTCTTGGACGGCCCACAGCCCTTTGTGCATTTCTCCTTTCGCACCCTTGATCTTCGCCGCCCCCACCTCGTCCCTCCTGGGACCCGACAGGAACAGCTATCATACGGAACAAAAAATGAACAAAAAAATGGGAAAATGGAAAAAAATACTTGCAAAAAAATTCTACTATCCTAAGGACTTTCGTCCTCTTCTTGTTCTGTTTTTTTTTCTCTCCTTCTTGCCTACTTCTTGTCGCCAAAATTCGTATGCGTTTCTGCTCATGGTTGTAGACACTCTCATTATCGTCTGCCTGCCGACAACGATCCCACACTCTCACTTGCTACTGCTCTCGTCTTCCTAGGGACTTTCAGCCAGCATCTCTCTCCTGTCTGTCCTCTGTCACTCTAACCCGCGCTTTTGGTCTCTTCTCATCTCCTGCCCTTTTCCTCTCTCCTTTTTCTTCTTGGGAACACAACGTGAAACTTACGCAAGCGAAGCAGCCTCTTGTGAGAAAACAAGCGAGAAAACCCATGAAACGTTTCGCGGTCGTTTCATGCGCTCTGTGTTTTCGACGACACCCTGAAAACCCACCCAAACTAGCAAAAGAAAAAGATCTGAGCCCTGTAGAGGTGGGACATTTCGCTGATTGTCGCCTAGCGTAATTTTCACTGAGACACCGCCGATATCCCCGCCGCGCTGGTTAACTTTTCCACAACCGGAGCAGGATCCCATCACGTCACACCGTACCGAACTCATCCTCTTTCACCTCCTCTTCACCTTTCTGTTAATTCCCTTTTCTGTTTCTGTTTCTATCTTTTGTATTTATTTGTAACTCGTTTGTTTTATTATTCTTTATTAATTTTATTTTCTAAATATGGACACACTCAGGGATTAAGGCTTTTTGTTTCTTTTTTTTTTTCACTGAAGCTTTCGTTGCAAACCTAGCGCCATTATTTTGTACACACGCAATGTTGTTTGATGCGCCCCTCGTAGTTTTTTTCTCTCTCCTTTTTGCCGTCTTTAATCATTTATCCTGTAAAAAATGGGGGGCAGCACTGGTATCAACAGATATGTGACACTTCCGCAAGTCTAAAATAAAGTGTGAAGGCGATACGTGATGTATGGAAGACTAGTACGTGAGGGACATCATTTTGTTAACGTCCTGGGCCATCCTGGTGCGTAGCTGGGCACGTTTACACACGGACAAACATACCGTACAGACCATCGCTCACAGGTACAAGTCCACACTCCAGCCGGGTAATATTGACAACGGCTGAGATCCTCTGCCTGTGTAGCAGTGGGTTATTTCTTAACATTTTCTGAAGCTGCTAATAACAGTTACTGTATTATAGCTATAGGTTTTGTGTTTTTTTTATTCTCAGTTCCGTTTTTTAATTGATTTTGAACGGCACTGAGTTCTAGGTACAGTTTTGTGCTGTCTTGTAATGTGTTTTCTCTTCTCACCCTCACCTTCCCCTTAGTGGCCATTCGATTCTGTTTTCATTTCCCTTCATTTCATTCTTTTGGCATGCTCCCTTTCTTTTATGGTGTTCCATCTTCGTGTCCCATTGCGCATTTCTTCTGTATGTTATCATCTTCTGTAATCATCTCAGCTGTCTTCCTGTCATCCGTGTGTTTCAGTTTTCAGGTACTGTAGCTTCACGACGTCATTGTCATTGCATGTTTATACCCGTGTCATCACATTGATTATTAATGTGTAGCTTCTGGCATGCTTCCCTCTAAATTGCACCTATCCCTGTTTTGCATTGTTTTCACTTTGACCTTTCATTTCATTTCTATTTGCCTGACATCATTGTGTTGAATGCCCAGGTGCACCTCAGTCCCTATACCTCTGCCTGATCATTATTTTTATATGTCCCATGTACGTGTATTATGTTGTAGTGTGCGTCTTTGTCAAAATCTTTCTCTCGTCCCTTCTATTGCATCTCAGGTATTTACCTTTGCATGTCACTTTCTTTAATTTTTTGTTTCACTATATTATTTTCACTGTTAATAAATTCAATTTTCTCTACCATGCATCATCCCTTTACATATTTATATATTACATATTATATATTGAAGCATGCACTGCAAGGCCATTTTACGTATGGCTGAACTCAAGCTAAATTAGCAATTTGGGGCTTGAATATAACAGAGCTATGCAACATTATGGCACCAGTTTGCACTGTCTTCATATACGCTTTATTTTTCTTATACTGTTTGAACTTTATTCTCCATTTGATTCTATTTTTATGGCTCTCCTTTTTTCCATCTAACTTTACCTTTTCATTTTCAGTTCTTTCTTTTTCTCTTTTCTTATTCTAATGTGTGGGTTCAAGCCGCTGAGTACCAACCTGAGATCAGTTTGTATACTGATACCAGTGCTAACAATCTGCAGTAGTTGGTGTGGCTGAATGGGGAATTGGTCATTTCTTGTCACTGAGAAAAGAGACTACACCTTCTGCTGCAGTGCATTGTGGGTGATATCAGGAGTGATCCTTCAATATGAACCACTGTTATTCAGCAAAGGCAGTGCTCCCATGTCATCAGAAACCAAAGTGAATGAATGTCCTCTCTACAGGATCAAATCAAAATAAAGCTTGAAAAAAACAGGAAAAATAAACTTTCTGCATCTTGCATGTGTTTATTTCAGTGTCCTTTAGACCGAGTTCAACATTACAACTTTTGCCACAATATCTCTCTTGCTGTTTGCTTTTGTGAATTCTTGTTCCACACAGAAGAATGGGCATATACTAATGCTCAAAAGAAATATTTTTGCACTGTCAGTTCTAGGAGTACACTGGTAATTCTCAAATGATTTTTAAAACAAATGTTTTTCCTCCCTCATACTATGTATTTGCAATAGCTGAGGCTACTGTGCATAAAAAACACATGAAAGTAACATCTTCAAGTGTCAGTCATGGTATAGCTTTCTGAAAACATTCTTCCTGGGTTTACATAATCAATATCAGGCAGGACATATAGCACCTCCACTGTTAAGATAGTCCTCTGAATAAATATATATTTAAATATTTATAATGCACAGTACACATAATGGCCACCAAGAAAGGCTAGTACAGCAAATAATCAATAAAATAGTAACAAATAAAAAGAACCCCATAAAAACTATAGTTAGGAATTTTATCTCCCAGGAGAGTCACAGCTGTTCTTTTCTTCCCAAATGTTCCCAATATGTTTTACTTTTGGGAAGAATTCCATTTCATTCAACGCTGAAGTGCAGCACCCACCTGAGTGACACACAACAGCCACTCTGCAACCTACTGGTGAAGAAGTGAAAAACTATCACCGTTTGAGCCAGGAAAATGTTTGGAAGGCCAGATTGTGCAAACTCACAGTGACATTCAGCCAGAACTTCAGGACCAAATTCTACACTCTTATAAACAGTGCCATGAGATTCGTAATGACCAAGTAGACAGGACCTCATCAGAAGGATGGCACAGTGTAACCTTTCATCTTGATTTCAGAACCTCAGACCCTAACTCAAACCTGCAATAATTTCCCAGAGGAAATGGTGAATAAATATAAGAATAAATATAAGTATTTAGGGACTTTTCTAGGCTGCATGTTAAAGTTTGAGGCAAATGTCTCTTCTATTTTCAAAAATGGGCAACAGATTCTCTTTTTCTTAAGGAAGCTTAAACAATTTAAGATTGATAATTTGTTGTTGATCATGTTTAAGCAGTCTTTTATTGAAACTGTTTTAACGTTTGCACTGATCTGCTGGTTTGGGAATCTGAGTCTGAGGTATAAGAACAAATTGGAGAACATTGTCAATCAATGTCACAAATATATTGATGTGCTGATCATTCTGCACTATTCCATGTCAGTCACAAGTCTTGCATAAAACATATCCCATCCTAGAGGACTTTTCACACCCTTTACTTAACAAAGTTAAATTACACTCCTCTCAGAGCACAGATACAGATTTTCCAATCTAAAAACAAACAGATTTAACTTCTCATTTATACCTGTGGCCTTAACTCTGTTTTTAATAGATGATTCTTGTACATGTACTGTATGTGAACATTTTTTGTTTTTCTTTATATTTCTGCTGCTGTAAAACAAATTGAGGATAATAAAGACTCTCTCTCTTCACCATACTGGAGCAGTAGATGGGAAATTCTGGTTCACAGATAAAAGTGCCACCTACTGGCTCAGCAACACTACTTATAGTAGCAAACTGGTTTTCATAGATGTTTCCCATAGCACTATTCTTCAGCTTCTGGGGTATAACAAGATCAGTCTACAGGATGGTAACACTACTGGTAACACTACTGTGCTTCACTGACATTGCTCCAATACAACCTTCTTGTATAAATGGGTACTCTGCATATTGTCATTATGTGTTCTCAGTTCATCAATCTTCATCAATCTTGTTAAACAAAGGTTTATTATAAATTACATTAAAATTCTAGTCCTTTAGATTGTAGAGAAAATAAAATGACATTTCCACCAACAGAATACACAGAGAATTTGTGCAGAGACTTCATAAGCCATGCAGCATATCTGACGAAGAGAATTCTTTTATTCTATTTATTGTGTTTCTAGTGGATGGCAGCTAAGGTAATCACATGCTGGCTTGTAAGTATGTTTTGCTCTTCTGAATATCATCCACCAAATGCATGGCAATGAACAGGCTCAGGATTTGCACCCCTAGAAGAACAATGCCCACCATGCCAGTGATGCCCGTGTGTTGCCTGATCCAGCGTGAGATGCCACCCAGACAGCCACCCAGGTAGATCACGCTTTGAGCGGAGAACTCATCGAGCAGCTGGGCTCCAAGACCGCACTGTGAGTTCCACACTGTGCCATTCTCCAGCGGGTCGATACAGCAGGAGGCGGGCACCCCACAAGCCTGGACACCTGGGGCAGAGCAGTTAAAGTACCTGGCAAGGTGAGAAATGGAGACAGGTCACAACAAATGTCATTGCTATGGAGAGTGGTACACCGTACACTATGAGTTGTCATGCCTGCTCCTGCATCAATGTTCAGCCATGGAAACAATAGCTTGTGAACATGGAAACAGGGCATTGAGTGGGCATTTTGATCAGTTTAGAAACCAATTGATTCAATGATGTAGTCAAGGGCTTCACTGGAGCAAACTCTAGAAGAACATGTTGCTCCTGAGGAATTTTGTTCTGTTGCACAACATGGGCTAAATTGACATCCATTCATAACATTTTTAACAAGACTATAAATAATCATTGATGTAACAACATATGTTAAAGAGATGTTATGGTATACTAATACTGTCTTTTTTCAGTTTTTTTTTAACAATGGGTGTCGGAATTTGCTTAAGTATGCTGGTACTTGTTCTTTACAAAAAATTGCATTGAGTTTTATACACTTTGAACCCTTCTATAGGAAGAGAAAAGCACTCATTATTTTTTTTCTAAACGTACAAATTTAAGGGCTTGTAATTCTTCTCCTACAGCCCTGAGGTGCAGCTGTGTTGTGAAGGAAAGCTGTAGCTGTGAATGCACTCACATGTTCAGTTCCCAGTCACGGTAGCTATCTGCCCCACAGCACTGCAGTCCTATCTGGATTTCATCCATGATGAACCTCAGATCCAGGTCATCCTGATAGCGTCCCAGGGCGGTCAGCATGCCACTGCGCAGGTATCCCTCAATCTGGTTGCGAAGTGTGTACGCCACAATACTGGACAGCACCTGCAATGTCACAAGGACTAGCACTCCCAGAGAGAAGGTTCTGAGTAGGCACTGGTTTTCTCTCAGGGCGCCCACACAGCCTGTGAGGCACAGCAGTGAGAGGACCAGCCCCAGGGTCACAAAGATTAACATGGGGTCAGTTCCAATATGCCCAATCTTTTCCTGGGAAAAAGACTCCTTGTCTACCAGTCCCCAGAGGCCAATGGCCAGAGCCAACAAGCCCAACAGGGTGAAGATGAAGTTGCTGGAAAACAGGAGGTATTTCAGGCAGCGGCTGGTCAGGCTGCTATGTTTGTGATCCTGTGGAGGCCCAAAGAAAACAAAGTCCTGTGATGCCAATGTTGTCTTGTCCAACAGTGCTGGCTTCTTGGGTCTGCCTCGACTCCCAAGTCCTGCTCTCTCGATCAGCCTGGAGAACAGAGAGGCCCTGGCTTCTGTTTGTCCCTCTGTGTCAGAGTGGGTGGATGTTGATTGCTGGTCTTGCATCCGTCCTTCATAGCTCTCTCCAGGGTCTGTGTATGCATTAGCGCCCAACGGCTCCTTATCTCCATCTCCCTTTAAGAAGGAAAAAACACTTAACTAAAACACTTGAAAGAGTTTAACTATGTTGAGAAGATTATTCAAGGGCCTCTGGGTTCCCAGTTATCCCAGACTATCACTGACATCAAGAAATACTGTGATCTCGTTCAGGAGTGAGGGAAAGAGGGAAACTGGCAGTGAAGTTCTCCCAGTGAAGCATGGGAGAACACAAGAGAGGGTAGATGTGAGGGGGCGGGGGGCAGGGGAGAAGGAGTATCAACACTCTGGGAGAACTGGAAGAGAGGTGTGCCGTCAAAACTTACAAATGATTAGCAAGGATTTGAAGGAGACAAGTCTGCCGTTAAGGGAAGAGGGAGGTGTGATACTAGTTTCAGGATGATTTTGTTTTGGATGTCTTTCTGTAATAGGAGTTCTGAAACCCCTCTCCGAGGATGCAGACAGAGAGATCAGTATGATCTTGACCGTTAGAGTTGTGGGACGCCTCCTCTCAACCCCCCTGTCTTTTGTTCTCCCATGCTTCATTAACTGCTGGTTTCCCTCTCTCCCTCACACTTGAAGAAGGCTCCACAGACACTATTATGTGTCTCTTTTCTTTTCAGCATGGAATTCACCTTTACCTGTTCCTTTGCATCCTATGCACGCTGACGTTTACAGTATACACATCCCTACTTGAAATACTGTAATCTGTCCAACATGAGAAATTCTATTGGCTCAGCTCTGTCAATTAGAAAGAATCACTTTGCAGTCTCTATACTCCAATAGTCAGGCTGCTGCTGCTTTTTCGTTACTTTGAAAGAAACAGATCACATGGATTCCTAGTCTTAAACCATAACTATTTATTTAACCAAATAATATCAACAATTCTATATATTTCTACATGGTCATCTTATTATCTTTCAACCTATTTTTCCATTTAAAATTTCTGTGGCTGTATGACCAGCTGGCCATCTGTTCTATATGTACCAGATCCTCTGTACTTTGATTTACTTTTGATCTTTTTTTCAAAGATTTTTAAATATTTCACGATACCAATGCCTTTTGCTGTACTCAACTATTTTTCCCCTAGAGAACTTCCTGGTTCACTAAGATCTGAAAGAAGCTGTAAACATAAATATGTACTATTCCTCACCTTTGGTATTAGAAAACTTTTCTCATCATTTTGGCTTTCATTCCTCTTCATCCACGAAAATGGAGACCTGACTGATGCCATGTACCCCCTCATACTGAAAGCCTCAAAATCGCCAAAAAGGAAAGGCTCTTGTTGCCTCTTCAGCAGTGACACTGAGGCTGCTGCTTTTGTGAGGATAAAGGCTGTGCACTGTGTATCCCCTGGGTTTCGAGCTACTCTCGGAATTCTTCATCATGTGAGAGTCATAGGAGAGAGATTAAAGCCGTCCTCACTGTGTCAGGGGTACTGAGAGATCTGTGTGATGGTGTGTATAAACTAGAGAATTAAGAGAGTTTACGTTTTGGAATTGCACGATTTATGCTCCGTGCACAGGAATGACACCGAAAATATTTTGGGAGATATTCGTCGTGTAAGAAGCGGGTATCTGTGCCCTAGCCAAATGGAGCTACTTAAAATACATTCAATATACATTTAATCGTGTAGATTAATTTCAGTATTTTCCACGAGTTTAGACGGTTATCTGTTCAGGAGAGATTTACTGAAACAAAACAGAAATTAGTGCAAACAAGTTAGATGAAAGCTGTCGGGAGCATATTCAAGATACAAATTTGCTATTTGTCTGAGATTAAACAATATAGAAATTCCAACACTGCCTGTGGAAAACTACAACGGCCAGAGTGCGCGGAACCAATGGAACATCGGAACTGTGCGTTTACTGTCCCTGTTGTAGTCAGTGCCACTGGAGTTGTGGCGATCGGATCTGTTAGCGTGTAACACCCGGTGCCCGAGATACGGGATGGAGTTTTGGTGACTCCGACAATCATAAAAACAAAAGACGGATAATACGATTAATAATTACTTTTTGCAGAGAAGCACACCGAGGAGAACAACAGACTCGGACAACATGGCAGAAAGTATAGTAAGTATGGGGGCGAAGAGATTGCAGTCTCACAAGGGGTAGTTTTGTGGGACAGAGACTGTCCGGAGTGATGAGGCAGCAGAATTAGCAGAAAAAGCTTTGGGCCTCTAGAGTCTTGATACGTAATTCAGGCTTGACAACAATTAGTACGGTACTATTTTTTGTTAAAAAGTACCGCTACAGAAATAGGCCGAGGTACGGTGAGCGAACGTGTTTCAAATACTTCGAATTATATTCTTCAGCCTTAATAAGATCTCGCATTTTCAAAACTATTTCTCTGTCAAATCAAAATGTTTACTTACGAATCTGTTTATACGATAGCATTTTTCATTGGTATTAATCACAATTAGTTTTTTAAACATCCACTTTTTGATAAAAATCAAATATCATGTATTATGGTCTGGTTACCCCCCTCCCCCCGCCCTCACTGTCACAAGGGTAAAAAATTGAGCAAATGTCCGACTCTTGAAAAGGAGGATACCAGGTGTTTAAATCTTAATAATGAACTTCTGTCTTTGTTGACAATATTGATCGGCCGTTATATCACTCCAGAGAGCAAGATCGAGACCTAGTTTAAACCTTTTCTGTTTTTTTTAAGATTTAAAAATGTCAGATTAGTATGAATTAATTAGTACGAATTCGCTTTCAAAACCGATGACGCGCTCCGTTGACAGAAACTTGAATGAAGCCAACTTGTGTCAGTTTCATACTGATAACCAACTTGTTTACTGGACGAATTCGTTGAACGACGTTCTTTCCTCCCTATTTTGCACAGTCACGTTGTTCTCTGCTGTTGCTAACATAATGGGTGCGTGAATGAATCCGCCTGTGGTTTCAGGTTTATTCCCGTACTTAGTAATTGAAGTATCTATATTTCGTTTATTCTTTTTCAGACATTTCTGGGAAGCTTTTGTTTTTTTTTTCGTTTTCTTACAAGAAACTGTTGCATCGGCTTGTTTTTAATTAAGGTGTAAAATAAAATAATTGCAGTTCTGAGATATTTTCTTCCCAAATCGTTAAGGATGGCTCTTAGCCTTATGTAGATTACTGATTAAGAAATGTTGTTTGGCAGTAAATAACACCTCACATTTAACTTGAAATGGACTGTGAGTCAAGTTCATTTCAACTGGATATATATTTGAAGACTTGTATGGTCTTGCTCCAGATTTAGAATATACCACATTTTTGGTTCAGATTAGGCTTTCCTCTGATGTTTCCACATGATTGCTACTTTACATATATATGCAAGTCTGAAAAGAATTTGAAAATGTCTAACCTTTTTAAAGTAGTCAGAAAATAGTCTTATAGTTGAAAATAATGAACCATTGGATTGTTATTGAGTCAGTTCTCTCTGTATATAGTTAAAGATTTTTTTATTTGCTTTTTTTAAAAATGCATCTGAAAGTTGAGATTGCATTTACATTAAATTTCTCTGATCTTAATTTGGAAATTGAGCATAACTCAGAAGACTTTTTCCTCTCTTTTTGAAATTAAGGCAAATAACAGTAGAATTCCTGTGGTCACACATTTTTTGTATGAAATCAGGTTGTGAAGCCTATTTTGTCTGCTGTACATATACAGAAGAATGGGTTTCTTTTCTGTGAGAAACACCTCCCCATGATCTCTTCCCTTTCATCTTTCCCATTTTTACAGATCATCCGTGTGCAGTCCCCAGAGGGGATGAAAAAAATCTTTGCCACAAAACGAGAAACGGCTGCATCGTTTTTAAAGAAGGTACATAACAGAATTTGTATTGCATGTTCATAGTCTTTCCAGCTAAAAAGTGCCTTGCTTAGATAATGGCCTTTTCGTTTCCTTTTCAGTTATACCTTAACTCTAAAGATACATTGCAGGGAATTTGTGGTCATTTGGTTGGAATTCTATAATATTCTGTGAATGGAAATCGAAATTCATTTTTAGTGATCCTAATGCTCTGTACTCACACGGGAGAACAAACAATAATCCTTACACCTTTAACCCACAGAAACGAATGACAACAAAGTATGATTCCAACATCTTTACAGTAGGTTGAAATTCACTCGGATGCAGCTCTTTATTTTTCATCACAACTGCAAGGAGCTAAAGAAATAATCACAGACCCTGAAGGCTCTGGAATTCACTGCACTGAATATTAATTTATTTATAAGCCCTGCAGAAGGGGGAACATTGGTCTGCAGCTTTCTTATCTGATCTTTTAAAATTACATCTGCTTCTAACCTGTAATGTGGCCTATATTAGGAAATTCATAAATACCTAACCTCTGTATTAGAAAACTGTATGATTTCACAATATCATTATGTGAGGCTGTTATATTGGATATAATCTGGTATACCCTTTAACAGAGCTGTAATTCAGTCTACATAGGTGTGTTCTTGGTAGTCCACAAAGATAAAAAAAACTAAGAGGGAAGGCAAAAACAACCCCTTTTATTTTTTGCTGAATATTTTTTTTCACCAAAAGGATCCTTCAGCTCCAAATATAAGCATAGTGGAGGATCAGATTGTCAGTTTTAGTAATGGGAATGCATCTCATGCTGTTTTAGGATTTTTTATGTCCTAACTGAGTATAATGCATTGTAGATCAGTGCTTCTCAATGGTAGTTGTTGCCAAGGGCATCTCCTTTGTTAGGGTGGACATTTTCAAACATTTCTTGGAGCATTTGATTTGTTTTTAACAGACTGGTGGTTGATGTCTTTAGTAAGCCAGGCAAAAATACCCTTTGTATCTGCATTAAAAATAGATATCCTGTCAACATATATAGCAGTGTAGATCAATAACAGTTCTCTTACACTGGATCGTAATGTTTTTAGGTCTTTGAGTGTTTTAGTGGCTTACCATTGCACATCACTGTAACATGGTTATAGGTGCTCCTTATTCATCTGTATGAACTTGATTCTTTCTAAGTTTCCACTTTAACCTCCCATACTCAAGTAGTGGTAATCATATTTTTTTATCTTTGAATATGCTGATTGGGATATTTGAAATGTTCTGAAGACCTTACACATTGGATACCTTAAAATGATGCATTCCATTTTTTCAGAAGAGGTTAAGAGATTTAAGTGCATGTTCTTTTTGTTGTTGATTTAGTAACAACTTGCTTAGTGGATTTGTTGATGCCATAATCAAAACTCTTCTGAGGCATTCTGCTTGGACTGCGTGTTTACCATATGTGGTGTGTTTCATGTGTTTAAACTGTTAAGTAGTATAAAAAAAACAGATGCCTTTGTAAGAGGTTCATTTATGTTCCTCGTGCAGAATATTTGATATTTCTTTATTCTGTCTCACACCAAAGAAAGCTCAACTGCTGTACATGCTACTGCATACTTATACTGATTGCACATTCATGTGTTCTGTAGGAATACAATACATGAAATCTCTTGAAGGTTGATAAGCCCTGATGTAATGGCATCAAGTGAGATATGCTCCTTCTCTTCAGCTGCAAGAAAAACAGAAGTCAAGTTGAAATGGTTAGAGAGGGATGAATTCACTGTGTTTCTGTGAGCGTGAGATGCAGTGCAGCTTTCCAACAGTGGCACACTGCCACAAACTTGTCTGCAAGACATGCTGTTCCAGGTGCTTGCCTGAACAGTCAGTAGTCCTTTTCACTCCTTTATAACTTTCAAAACTCCTTTGTTTAGCAAGAAATCATTTTATGCTGTATAACATTGTGCAGTTCCACATTTGTCAATGCTGAGTACAAGGTAAGAGCTGTCACAAACAGAGCTTACCCTTTCCATGTGCTAACAGTGGAACTCGATCACCTATCCATTATCAGAAAGCTGCCTGCCCTGGTGAGGGTTGCGTCTACCTGGAGATTATCCAAAAACCACAGGAGGGGCTTAAGTGCACATGACTGCTGTTAACATGCACACAATGCCTGTACATCATTGTGGCAAACAGGAAGGGACAGTTTAGAATATCCAATCAGACTTAGCTAATGGGTCTGCGGGAGGAGGCAGGAAATTTGAGAACATGCAAACCCTGCACAGATGGCTCAAACTGAATCTCACTCAGAATCAGACTCGGGACCCTGGAATCATATAGCAGCTGACTTAAGCACCCTACTATCATGCTGTTGAACACAGTCATTTGATTCTCCATTCAGTATTAAACATCTTGTTCTTTCATTTAAAGATTAAAATGTAATTGATCTAAAAGATAACTACATTTCAGTTGAGTCCATACTGGTGACTGATTTCACCTCATTTCCATTATGGATGTTCTCCATCTATGCAGGTTGCAAAGGAATTTGGGTTCAGCACCAACGGTTTCTCCATTTACCTGAACAGAAACAAGACTGGAGAGATTGTCTCCCAGAGCAAATCCCTCAGTCTCCTCAAGATCAAGTGAGTACGGTGTCAGGCAAAGGAGTAAGAGACACAATTGTATTTTAACAAAGAGCCAATAAGGTTTCAGGTGTATTTCACTGATCACACCCATGGAATCTTGGGGAACACAGCCTGTTCAGATATTTTAATTAATAAAGTATTGACTGACAGGTACTTTCTTTAGTGTTTTAGTAGAGTGGAAGAGGGAGGGAAAACTGGCAGTGTGTATGTGTCAGAGGTACAAGCCAACCAAAGGCATGGAAACCCTCTAAATGACAACTGAGTGGTTGTGAACCCTTAGTGTCCCATCCTAACATGCAGACTTCAGAATGGGCTGGTCCTTGGGCATTCAAGAGGCAAAAAAGGACAAAGATGTATGTGCTTAATTTATGTGATTATCTTATATTTTGGTGAGCATTTCAGTTGAATTTATTCCTTCACTAAAAAAAAAAAGAGGTCAAGTGATTTCCTGAGTAACTTGACCAACAAATGTGCTTGTAGAAAGCACACGCTCAGCTCTATAACCATGGGTTCAAGTTCATGTATGTAGATGACTGTTACTGGGATCCCCTAAGCAATGGTGCTCGACCAGACTTGTGTAGAAGTCTGTATGCTAGTGGCCCTGCATTGTTAATGTGATGGTTTGTTGCTTCGCAGGCATGGGGACATGCTGTTTCTGTTCCCTTCGGCTTCCCCTGGACCTTCTGGCGAAGTCATGGACGTAGCTGTTCCTCACTCGTCATCATCTTCATTGTCAGTGTTGTCACGGCCTCAGACTTCGTCTCAAGTCACAGAAGATGACATCGATCAGTACCTGGCCAAGCAAGACGGCAAGATTTATCGGAACCAAGACCCGCAGCTGTAAGCACTGATTCAGCTTTCTTTCAGAACATAAGAAAAGTTTTAAATGAGGTGAGGCCATTGGGCTTATCTGGCTTGTTGGATTCCTGGTAGCCAAGTGACCCGAGGATCACGTCCAGCCTCTTCTTGAAAGACCTCAGTCAGGGTTTGAATTTGGACATGATGGCTTGTTAATTTGTTCCAGACTCCCTCAACCCAGAAGTGCAGGTCCTATTCTCATTTTTAAATTTACTTCTCTGTAGTTTCCTTCTGTGTCTTCATTTGTGTTTGACTGCTGATTCTGTGGAGTGCCATTTGGCTGACCTTGTTAGTGCCTTGAGAATTTTGAACAAATGAATGTCGGCATCCAGCTGTAACTACAGAATTAACCTTTTTTGAAGAGCTTTATCCAAAGCTTTCCGAATTATTCTATATGCCAGATATAAATGTAGCATATCACACTATCTGTATTAGAACTGCTTGTTCAAAGAACTAGGTCAAATAAGACTTTTCTACCTTTTCTAAATCCATGGTACCATATAGTAGAACCTCTGATCTGGTTCAGATTGTTCTTTCATGTAATTTGTCTCAGGTGTCGACATGGTCCAATGGGGAAGTGTGTGCATTGCGTGCCCTTGGAGGTAAGACTCTGACTTCTTTTCTACATTTTATTGAGGTCTTAAATCTATGCTTTTGATTGCTGTGACAATCTTCAGGTGGTAACGCTGCGTTTTCTGGGTGTTTTTTTTTTCCGACAGCCCTTCGATGAGGATTATCTTAACCACCTGGACCCCCCTGTCAAGCACATGTCATTCCATGCCTACATTCGCAAGCTGACAGGAGGTGCTGACAAGTGGGTGACTTGCAACTTCCTTCTCTTTTTGAAGCAGTTCTGTATCATCACTCAAGTGTTTACTAGTCCAAAATACAGTCTAGAGCAGCCGTGTTTTAGAACAGGACATCTGAGGACAGCTTGGCAAATGGACTTAGAAGTAAATCCCAGCGCCACTTCGTGTAATCATGATGACTGAAAGGAGATGTGCAACAGATTGAGTCCCTGTCTTGAGTACAAGTTCGGAGTTCACTCATTGAGTCTGAATTAGCATTCAGTATCTTGACCATCAGATGGTTACTGTTTTTGTCCATCTAAGGCAGTTCGTCTGAACTGGAGATCCATCACTGACTCATTCTTAATGATTTTTCCCAGACGGGTCTTGCACTCAGCTGCCCTCTTGCTTTTCTCTGTCTTCTTGTGGTCCTGGTTGTTGGGCTTCTGACTAGTTCATGTCTCTTCTCTGTACAGGGTACGGTACAAGCTCTGCTTTTTTTATAGACAGGGACAGCATCTCGCCTGGGAGCTTTGAAGGGATTTGCATGAAGTTTAGTTTAGTTCGTTCTCTCATGGAATTCCTGGTGCTCTGTTTCTGGGCTCTTCAGCAGGTGTTGGGTCACATGGCAAATGCCAGGCACTTTGGGCGTTATATGTTGTCAATTTGCTGTATAAAGAAGACGGGCAAACAGATGTTAGTTTATACAGAATTGCATATGTATGGGCATTATTGCCATCATGCAGTTTAATAGCTAGGAACTGTGCCTGATGACTTAATTGTGATAAGGTGAGAGATCAAGGTAAGCTCTTCAATGGTATAACAAGTAACAAGTAGTCTCTCCCTTCTCAGAGGGAAGTTTGTGGCCTTGGAGAACATCAGTTGTAAGATTAAATCGGGCTGTGAAGGACACCCGCCCTGGCCAGAGGGCATCTGTACCAAATGCCAACCCAGCGCCATCACACTCAACAGACAGGTACTTTACTTATTTACTCTGCTGACTTTGCCTTCACAGGGATATGTTTCTGTACTTTGACACTTTCATGCTCAGTCAGATCTAATCTTGGATTTAGCCAGAAAGTTTAGCCGATCTCTTAGGGCCCCCTGCTTGCAGTCTTGTCTTCCGCTTTTATATGCTCCCGCCTCATCTACTTCATTAATTTATTCACAGCACCTGGAGAAAGAGGAGAAAGCAATTAGAAAAAAAAATAACTCTCCAACCAAGGACTGTAACAGTAGCCTTTAAAATGTACTATATTAAATGAACTTTGTTTTTTGACAAAAGCAGATTTAAAGGCAATGCATGCATGGTTCCATCATTCCATCATAGTTTTTTAACTTTGATGACCTTAAACAGAAGCTCTTATCACAGCATTGGCTGAAAAAATGGGCTTCTGCACAGGAGCAGTTATGATTTGGTGCAGTCTTCAGTAATGGAAATGCTCTGTTTTCCTCCATCAGAAATACAGACATGTGGATAACATCATGTTTGAGAATCACACAATCGCAGATCGCTTCCTGGATTTCTGGAGGAAGACTGGCAACCAGCGAATTGGGTTCCTGTACGGGCGCTACACCGAGCACAAAGACATCCCTCTGGCTATCCGAGCTGAAGTGGCAGCGATCTATGAGCCTCCTCAGGTGAGCCGCTAGGAACCCACAGAGAGTGGAGTAGAACGTATTGTAGTTTTCTGTGACTTCCACAAGAGGGCAGTGTCTTCATTTAGGCTAGCAGAAAATGCAACGTTAAAAAAGTTTCTACAGCTACCTTTCACTTAACGTGCTCAAGCTGCTGTCAAATGTATTATGTTGCACATGGTATAATAGGTCTTACAGATCTGTAAACATAGATAAAAGACAATGACATAAACTGTAACAAAAGTTTGGAATGCGGATTTAAAGTAAAATGAGACGATGTCAGAAATTGATGCTTCATAAATGGGAGTTTTTTTTCAGATTGGTACTCAGAACAGCCTGGAGTTGCTGGAAGATCCGAAAGCTGGAGCTGTGGAGGAAATTGCAGCCAAATTGGGCCTTTGCAAGGTACATATGTGTGCATGTCTTTCATTGGATGTAATATGCCTTTTGACAAAAGCCCGAGGAATTTTTTGTACGTTTTACGCAGTTCTTTTCATACCCGTAGCACCTGGCATTTTGTACTACAGCAGAGAGTCTGAAATGTTGGAATCCCATTTGGAACTTATCACAGCAGGGCATTTGAAGAATTCTTTTACATCAGGCTCCAGATTTGTGGATATTGCTTTAAGGTGCTTAATGGCTTCCTTATGCTGTTAAAGCATTATTGATGTCAGGATCCACTTATTGGATTCATCATTTGACCACAAGAGTGTGACCTTGTGGTGTACATTTTTAGTTTCAGGTGTTGAAAGTGCCTTGTTCTGAAGTTTACTTAATCATATGCATGTGCTGCTAACATTAAGAGGAATTCTTCTGCAAGAGGTTAAATAACAGGTTTCTGTTACTATTTGTTCAAACTTTAGGGTGGCTGTGTAGAAGAAAATTTAATCCCAGTGTGTTGAATAGAAAACATATGCCTGAAATTCTTGTTATAATAAAATAATGGAGCGTGTGAACCTCACAGTTCCTCAAAGTTTAATTTTTTTCTTTGTCGGTTCTGTTTTAGGTGGGGTGGATATTTACAGACCTGCTATCTGAAGACACCAGGATAGGGACTGTACGCTACACCAGACACAAAGTGAGGCTCATACAATCTATCTAATTCAAGTGTTGCAAATTAATAGAAAGAGTAAAAGGAAAACTGTTAAATGTATATTTCATTAGAAAACAGATGTTACTGAAGCTGTACTCAAAGTATATGTATCGTCCAAGGAATGCCTTGCAATTGTTTTGTCTGTTGGTTATATATGTTGATGAATATCTGATCCTCGTCATTTGTGGAATTAATTTTCAAAAGTAAAATGAAGGTTAATCAGTTTTGAAGGAAGTTAATATGTGCACAATTAATGTGCTTCTCCTGTATCATAGGACTCTTACTTCCTGAGCGCAGAGGAGTGTATCACCGCTGGGGACTTCCAGAACAAGCACCCCAACCCCTGCCGTCTCTCACCTGATGGAGATTTTGGCTCCAAATTCGTTACCGTAGTGGCGACGGGTATGATGAGAGAGCCAGTTATTTAGGTTTAGTTAGTCAAAAGAGAATCAAATTTCGAATCATTGTGTCATAGTCTAGGAAAGATAGAATCATTTTCCAGCATGTTTGCTAGAATGATGATTTAGTAGGATAAAATAAAGCCTAGTCTTTAAAGCTTAGCTTTAGCTTAGCACAACACACCCTTATTTGTGTTAGACCATCCAAACAGTGCGCAGAAAGTCTATTTTAGTTTAGCAGGTATTCTTTGAGTTTTTTTTTCCCCCCGTCGCTGACTTTCACTTCCTCACCGATGCCAGCAGCTGCTTCTCTGAAACTGCGGATTGTGAATGTGTATCCTGGTCTTCCTGCAGGTGGCCCCGATAACCAGGTGCACTTTGAAGGGTACCAGGTGTCCAATCAGTGCATGGCGCTGGTGCGAGATGAGTGTCTCCTGCCATGCCGTGATGCCCCAGAGCTCGGCTACGCCAAGGAGTCCAGCACCGAGCAGTACGTACCGGACGTCTTCTACAAGGTACAGGCTGGGAATCAGGGCTCTGCACAACACGCCTCACTGTAGCTCTGGGCAAATCGTATCTCGCCAATGAGTGAGTCTGACACCAGATCCAGATGAAACAAAACCAATGAAGGTTTTAAGAGGCACTTGTTTTGAACTTATATAAAATGTGACATTTTTATTAGAACATATCATGAAATTCAGGTTTAGTTATTAAACTATCTGCTTTCTGCAAGTTGCAGGATTTGGAAAATGTAATGATTTGTCTTCTAGTACTTATAAAAGCTGAATGTTAAACCAGCCTGGAACTGAGTTAACAGGGCCACTGTGAAGCCAATTCCGGTGAGCTGGAGTCTTGCCAACCCTTGATTACAATATGTTTGTACTAGTGCTGCTGTAATTAACCTTTGTGGTCTTCTGATCCATGCTGAAATTAAAGAGGTTTTTTTCAAAACAGTGTTTATATGACTGATATGTTAGTTTGAAGGGGGAAAGATAAGCTGATTCTATTGAAAATATAATGATAGCTGGTCTGATTGTGTTTATTTGCATTTTTCAGTAATTTATAAAAATACAATTAAAGCTATAATGTTATACCTGATGGTGCCAAATCTTAAAATTATGTTAAATTGGCTATTATAACATGTTCCTTCGCAAGCTATTTTTATATAATCTGTGTTTCTCTTCTTGCAGTGATCTTTTAATTTAATTTGTTTGAGTTAACTGAGCAGTTCTGTCTTCATCCTTTTTAACAGGACAAAGATAAGTTTGGCAATGACATCACGTACTTGGCACGGCCACTGCCTGTGGAGTACCTGATCATAGATGTAAGTATCCATTAGGCAGTATAATATAGTTATTGTACTGATCTGGAATGAGTTTCTTAATGATGTACCTTCTAAAAATCACCTTTTGCACCAAAAACTGGACATGGTAATCCACCATGGCATATACTACATTTTCTAAGCTGACATTTTTAATTTGCCTTTCAGTTTTGCTATGTCCATATTAAGAAAGATTGAAGGAGATGGAATGTTTCAAAACAAAATCCACATTTAGGAAATTCCTTTTTTTAAAGGAGCGATAATGCTTCTTTGTGAAATATTTACACTTTATGGAATACGGCAACTGAAGAAGAGCTCAATTCTGAACTTTGCATATGTATCTCATTAATACTTTCTTTTGCTAAAGTTTATTCAGATGGGAGAGGGGGAAGCAACATAGGAGAGAAAACAAGGGGAATAATGTGCCTTTATTATATTGAGCTGGCTTCTGGAAAAAAGTCTCAAGTTATTACAGCAGTGTTTTTTGGTATGGGTGGAAGATTAATTCAAACTCTCATGGAGATTCTTTGCAGATATTGAAGTTTTCGAGTTTTACTTAGAAAAATCCCTATGGAATTTGGCAGCCTTGGAATTCCGACTGCTAAGTATAAATCAACAAGGGTAAAAATGAGGGATATTATTCATGGAGACATCTTAGAAAATGAACAGAGTGGAGGTGCCACGTTACAAATCAAGGCAGAGCCATCACTGGTGTCTTAGGCAGTCAGTGTGTATTCATGACTTGGCTGCAGCCCTGTTTTAACAGTAAGAATGTATGTGTTTAATGTATGCTTGGAGTAACTGGAATCTGAGTGTTGTCCCTGATCCCTTGATTATAGTTTTGTATTTCTGAAGTAAAATAATAATATCTTAACAGACTTTGGGGAAAATTAAAGACCAAGTGGAATTCCTGTTGTAATGAACATGTCGTTAAGTCAGGCTTAATGACATGGAGCCATTGTATCTTGCTTGCTGTGTTAAAATGTTAATTGTAGAAGTGTGTGACTTTTTAGGAACTGCCGTAAATCAATGAGTGATAGTATAATTTAGTTTTAGGGGTACCAAAATGTTATGGTGGTTCAAATATAAACATATAATTTAGATACTGGGTATGTCTCTGTTTCAAACTGCTGTCCTTTTGATCAAAATAGTTTTTGTACGTTTTACTAGACTGCCTTTTCTTTTTCTTTTTTTCTGCTTTTTCTCTTAGATCACCACCACATTCCCTAAAGATCCAGTTTACACATTCACATCTACACACCGCTTCCCCATTGAGAACCGGGATGTTCTGGGGGAAACACAGGTATTTACATGCTACTATATGAAAACTACCTTTCTATGAAGCTAGGTGTACATGGATGACACTGCAGTGTGCAGCACTACTGTTTTTTTTCATAAACAGCATTGGGCAAGAATGTTTTAATGATAGTGGAAGGAATGGGCATGTAAGTAGTTTATGAAGGATCGTGCATGATGTAAATATAAAACTGAAGGCATAGGTTTCAGTGTATTATTTCATATGTATATTGAGCGGTGTGACTTCAAATAAGATTGTAGACTATAGATCATAGGCTCAACATTTGTTTTAAAAAAATTTAGCTAACTTGCCTGATGCATCACCTCCTGATACTGTTGTTATTGCAGGCCACTCATGCTGCACTGTGAAAATGACTTCTCTCCTTTGGTGTGAATAAGTGTGGAATTTTTCTGTCTCTGCATTTCCCTGACTATGTGTTTCCTTCCCTCTGGCCTGTGTTCAGGATTACCACAGTTTAGCCACATATCTGTCCCAGTGCTCCTCCAGCGTGTTCCTCAATATTGTTTCTGATTTCCATCTCCTGCTCTTCCTGGTCACCAACGAGGTCATGCCTCTCAGGGTGAGTCTTCTCAATTGGGAGTTAACTGGGAGTTAAAATGAACATTAGACTTTTAAAATGTTCACTCACACTAATACATTAGTGTGCCTTGAGCAGCTCTGTAGACCTTGCTAATCCACAGTAAGTGAAGTACGTATCTCAGGTGACGTCTACCATGCAACATTTTTTACTATGCAATGGATTTCTGCTCAGTACTTTTATATCCTTTTTAAGTTACATTAAGAAATATTGTGTTCGATGTTTTAGCTTGATTTTCTTTAGAAGGCAACATTTTATTTCTGTACTAATAGCCCTCCTTATTTATTGCTCTCGCAGGCATCATTGTAAAAAATGTTTTCTGGTCCTTTTAGAGCTGGGAGTCTGTTGTTTTTTGTTAAGAAGAAACCAGCTTCAGACCTTACATAACAAAACATGAAAGAGACTGTGATGAAGTTATGCTGCAGTGTGTAAACATGGTCTGAGAATAATTTCCTCCCAGTTGGCAAGCATAAATATATTCTGTAATATTTTCCTATTGAGTGTCTTTGGGGTTTAACAGGAATGACTTTAAGGATTTGGCAATATCCCAGCCTCTGGAACTGATTAGGACTCACTGGCAGATTTTGAGTTCAGGCAACTGGTCTGAATGTCTCTCAGGCTTTCTGAAAGCAAAGTGCTGGCCGAATAGAGCATGTGCAGGCACAACTGGAGTCCTCTGTCAGCCTGGGGAGCAGGGCTCTAAGAGGTGGCTGTCTGCTATTGTGAGGGAAAGACAGCTGTCAGTATGGGATTCCACTGATTGTACCAGCAGAGCAAAGTTTTGAAAAATCCCATTCTATTGTAGCATGTACTGAAAGCATACCATTCTCTAATGACCTCATTCATCCTCCCTCATGTATCCCTGTGGTGGAATACTCCCTTCTCAGCTTTCCATCACTGACACCATAGATTTAAATATAAAGATTAAATCTCCTTTGTGGCTGGCTTCCTCCGTCTTGTGAGCACTAAATCATTCCGATCTCTGCTTTCCAGTGCGTTTCCCATTAATCCGGAAGATGAGCTTAATAGTGAAGCGAGGGAAGTTATTAATTTTCGCTGCCTTCCTCTGTCAACACGGCTTTTGTTTTGTGGACTGTGTGCGGACAGGACAGTATTGGGCTCCTGCTGGATGCGGTGAAGACCTCCAATGAAGAGCTGGCACAGACCTGGAAGAAATCCGAGCAGTGGGCAACAATTGAGCAGCTGTGCAGTGAGTACATGTGTGCTGGTGCTGCTGATCAAGAGCTTAGGGAGAATTGTAGTGTCGGCGAAGTGGAAAATGACATTCTGTGAATGGAATATGGATTGACTCGAATGTCCGAAAGATTAGATTCCAGTGCAGAGGTAATGTTGGACACTATTTGAAAACTTTCAACACCTCAGCACAGGGTCATACCTTCCAAAAAGTGTGAACGTGTGTTAAAACGTTTAGTTAGCGTCTTGAGAACCGCTTGTCTACGTAAGGGTTATTATTAAAACATTCTTTCCAAAAGCTGTGGAGCCACATTACGGTTCTTCCTTTTACTTAGGTTTTGAATAAAAGCAGATCTCTTAGGTGTCGCATGATAAGATACAAAACTTATTGCAGAGTTAATTAATGAATTGAGTTCTTTATGGAGGTTATTTTTAGATCTTCATGTGTTGTGCAGTGGTCAATATTTGTTGAAAAACTCTTTTCAGTTTATTGGTTGCTAATAACCTATATATGTGTGTAACAAGTTATTACTACTGCAGTATGCAATAGTAAACATTTAAATGTGAAATATTCCCATGCCTGCTAATTATAAGGTTAGGTACCAGAAGCTTAGTGAGACTACTAATACTTTTAATACTAATAATAACTGGTGTTAATAGAGGAAGAGGTTAGAAATGGGAGAGCTGTGTCATTGTAAAAGCTACAAAAGAGCAAGTACAGGTTAATTCCATATGTAAGTAAAAACATCTCAGCTGTGTGTAGGAGAATAAGAAAGGGTGCGAGAATTGAATGATATTCATATCCCTCATATTCCTGCTCACTCCCTCGATACCCCGCGCACCTGAAGATTTCCTCAGCCGAAGCATGGTTTTTCTTTTTTCTGTGTTTAAGTGTGGAATTAGCCTGTACTTATTCATTTGTAGCGTGCACACTGATGCAGCTCCCCTCTCTAATCTCTTCTTATACTGAGTATTTTCTGGTAGCAGATTAAGGAGGTGCAAGCTTGTACTTATTGCTCATTATAATATCACCAGCCTTGGCAACTCGGTCTTGACTGACGTCTCCCTGTCTCCTGCTGCAGGTACGGTTGGTGGGCAGCCTACAGGGCTCCATGATTACGGGGCCATTGGGGGGCCCTCTGTCCCGGCCTCCTCCTCGTCGATGTGGTCCTGCCGCCACTGCACCTTCATGAACCAGCCGGGCACTGAGCACTGCGAGATGTGCAGCCTGCCCCGCAGTTAATAATGCCTGCCCTGCAAGCCGGGGGGTGGGGAATCGGGATGAAGACCAACTGTGGCATGATTGTGCTGTAGCCAGCTGCAAGAGTCTGTGTCTCCCTGCTGGAAGGCTCTCGCCCTATGAACTCGCCCCACCCTACCAGATACCCACCCCAACAGCCACCTCCTCTGCACCCCTGATCTCACAGGCTGCCTTGGCAAAAGGTGCAGCTGGTGTCACTTCTCTTCTTCAACATTGATGTCTCTGTGCAGTTTCATTGCCAGGCAGCGCAAGGCCTCAAAACAGAACTCTCCTAAATCTGTCCATCTTCTAGGATTGTAGGGGCTCTCCCGCTAATCAGTTGTGACCTGCGTGGTCTACTTTGGGAAGCGTTTGGCTAAGAAATCCTTCTTTTGAAATTTTGACAAAGTACTTTGATCGAGCTTGTCCCTCAGACCCAAACTGATTGCTCCAGTGTTGCAGGAAATCAGACAGACTCTCCCTGCCCTACTTCCCCTATTTGTGTCTGCAAAGACAGTTTTGAAAATTGTGTAAATACACTTATAAGGAATGATGCTGTTATTTAATTGCAAACAAAGCATTTTTCATGATTTTTTTATTATAGTTATTTATGGAATTGAAACTTTTGTTTTGTTCTGTCTCCTCAGAGCATTCGAGCCAGGGTGTTCAGGTCCCAGACAGAATTTTGAGCAACTGTTTTGTTTTAAATTGTGTTAGCCAACCCTCCCTTTAGAGATGGGCTGTCCCATGACTCACAGATGCCTTGACTATAACATAGATCGTCTTCTTTGCTGGGAACTGGAGGGTAGTTTTGCATTTGATTGCTTTGCACAGAACCCAGTAAATGACACAGGCTGTTTCTTCGTTTTAGTAGAGAATCCACACCTGCTGCAGATGTGGTCTTTGCAATCCTTGATAACCTTGGTGTGTTGTTGCTGGCATGATGATTCAACATCTATTTCACTGTAAAATATAAATCCTTGCATTTGTAATCCAAGGTTGGAATTTTCTTTTTTAAGGCTCAGTACTATTGTTTTTCACAATTACATTGCTAACAGGGAGCAAAAACTAATTTTTGTGTAAAATGAGTTTCACCAGGAAGTGGATAAGCTTTCATTGTTAACATTTGGCCTATGAAGAAATGAATGATATTCACCAGGTTATAAAATTTTCTCCATGTGCTTTTCATGCTTACAGCCACTAGAGAAATTTAGAGGATTTTTTGTTTATATGTTGGATTTGGACAAATGTTATTTTCATTCCTGATGTCATTGCATCTCAGTTGCTGATTTGAGATTGAAACTCTCATGTAAAAGGAATTTTTGGTTTGGTTGTTAGTTTTGGAATGAAGTATTTTTTTTTCTTTTTGCCAGCTTCTATCTCCTTTTGTGTCTTGTGAAATGTGTCTGTCGCTGTTTTTTGTGAACTGCACATACACTCTCTTAACATATTGAAGAGGTCATACTTGAGTTTTGTCTTAAGGGTTAAACAAAACTGTCTCCTTGCTCCCATCTGTTGCTGGTCAGACTCTTAAGCAATGATTCAGGAGCGAGTGAAATTTGTAGTCGCTCACCTAGTCCTGCCTATATATAAAAATGACAGGTTTTCTTTAAATGTCTAATACTGACAAAACTGGATGATTTGTTCAGTTACCTGCAGTTTGGAATGGAAGATTAACATTTTCATGGTTGATTATTTTTCTATTTATCTTCATAATGGGATTGAACTGTGTGCAAGTTCAAAGAATTGTAGTGGAGTTCCTTCTCCGAAAGGTCAATGGTGAAAGGTCATTAAGGGGCAGTCTCTTGAAAGATTAGTTTGAAGGTGCTTTGAAAACCTGTATTTGAATACAATCCCTTAAACTCACATGACAGGCAAAAATACATCAACACAAAGAGCATGCAGGCATGTATTTCAGAGTTCAGAATTAGTTCATCCTTGTTGGAAATTCTGCCAAAAAATTTAGTTCTTTATACACTTAGGATGAGCAGTTTATGATGATTGTCACAACTCGGTCAAGGTACTTTTTCTTTTCAGTTTTGACCTGTAGTCATAAGATTTTGACTTTGTCATAAACATAAACATTGATTTCAAATACAGAAAAAACAAGCAAACAATGAAGTTCGTATAGGCATGATCACAAAAATAGTTCTACGTGTGTTTGATGCTGGATTAGCATGGACCACTTAGTAAATCACTTAATTAACAGGATTAGCTTTTTATTATCACTGAATACACTACTTCAGTGTTAATCAAAAATGCATTATTCTTTTACTTGGTAAAAAAACATTTTTGTGGCTTGGAAATGGATTAGATTAACTGGCTTGCCTACATTCTTGTAGTTTTATTTCGGTTCACTTTAGTGCAGTAGTAGGTTTTCTTCACATGGCTTTCTGGTCTATATGATCCATAAATTACAATTTAAATTTTGTTCTTCTCATCTCACTTGGTGATCAAAGATAGGAGTGAGTTGAAAAGGTTAAGTGGGGTGCTGAATTTGTTTAAACTGAGTTTTTAACACCCCTCCCCCCATAGAATAAATCAATTCACAGGTTTTTAACTCCTAGGCAAATGTTTAAAATGGTTCAGCAGCAAACATTTAAATTAAAGGGGTTATACATTTGTCAGAGAGCTCACTAATCACCCTGCTGAGAACAGTACTTACACAAATATGAAACAGTTGAACAGGTTCCATCTTCCTTTATTTACCTAGCTCCAAAAAGTTTCTGTAATTGAGAAAAGTATCCGTACAGCGCATACTTCTGAAGGATGACAGTGGCCGTGTTAGAATCTCCTTCATGAAGCTGACATGAATTTGGAATTGCAGGGTGTTTCTGAAGTGAATCTGTACCTTTTCATTCTCCGGCTTTGCAGGTGTACAGTGTATTGTTGGGTTTGAGGTTTTAATCACAGCCCTGCCAGTAAAGCACTTAATAAAATCAAAAGAACAGTAATGTCCTTGTCGACTCTTTTTTTAACATCCCCTAAGTGTACCATATAAATTTGATAGAGAAATGTAAGCATCTCTATATCTAATCACAAACTTTGATATTTGTTACATGTATAACAGTCAATCAATGAACATCATGGTAGTATGTGTTTTATATGGCTTTTTATTTATACTGTATTTGATCTTTTCTACCTGATATGGCATAACCATGTGATAACTCTTAATAATCTGTGATATAAATAACCACACTCATTCTTGTCTCTCTTACACTATTCGTGCACCTTGTGCATGCACAAAAGTTTCTTCTGTTCTGTTCACCAATTATCACAGGCTAGTGTAAAATCACTTAGCTTCTCTCTTGTCATCTGACATCAGCAGTGAGTGAATTGAAAATGCTGTGAATGAAAACCTGATCAATGTAGAGCAGGTTAATTTTTAAAAACAGCCTGGGATCAAATTTAAATTGAGCATTTTTCTTTTTTGAGCCATTGTCAGTATACAGTGAGAGCATACTTTCATACGATTCCTAATGGAAAAACTAAACTAGGAAACTGTTAGCAAAGCACAATTAATCTTAAAGCGAAACATTGTTTTTTCCTGGAATCCTTTTAATTGTTTTTCATATTTAATAATTGAAGAGGATACATTCAGTGTGTTTTGATCTTGTAGTGATGTTTAAGTGAAAATAGCTTTAATTAAACTGTAAATGCAAATCCTAATTTTATAGACTCTTCTTGCTGATGTCCTTGTAAGGCAGAATATTCTTCATGTGTTGTACTGTTTTCACGCTTCCCAGCCAAAAAGACAGAAAGACTGTGTTAAGGGATTTATGTAATGTGTATTTAAAGCCTAAAAACAATCCTTAAATCCTCTTTTTGTTCTTCCTAAACCTCAAAATGCTTTACAGAGCAGGTCTGCTCCAAGTACTATAAAGGGAACACAAATCATGCTAAAATACTCAAAACAGTGATTTCCATAACTTTTCTGCTCCAAGCTGGCATACTCTATGTGATCTGGCAATGAGCTGTTGTTTAAAGGGAGAATTTTTTGGTGTGCTGCAAAACAACTGTGGAGAAGGGGTATATGTTGTATATCATGAAGTGTTCCCAGCTTTGTCTTGCCAGAACAGCACAGCTGCTATATTAGTAAATAAGTCTATTTGCCACATAAGGACCTGAATTCAAATTACATACGGCCACCAAAAACAAGAATTGTATTTACATCGGCATTATGATGTGATGATTCCTGTCACCTGAAGAGCAGCAGTAAATAAAAGTTTCCAGTTTATTTTGCATTGGTTAAAGGGATGCTAATTTTTTCCCTTATGTTCTTCTTACTGCCCATCTTTCAGAACCTATCTTTCAGAATTACGCACGTTGTTTAAAAATCTATATCTGTGTGGAGATTACTCCTTCCTTACAGCAGGACACCTTCCCCAAGAGGGGAGCTCTGTCTGGTGCACCCCAGATGTGTGACAGACTCTTACATCTGTGCAGTGGAATGCTGTACTGATAGACCACAGCCACGTCAAACAGCTCAACTGGACTGACGCCCTTTTGCAACCTGAGCTAATTTATTGGCTTATCTGGCTCTTCAGAGCAGTCGGTCTAGATAACTTGACACATAGTGTCAGCTGGTGGAGGAATACAATAAGCCTGTCCTTTTTAACCAACCTTAATTTCAGCTGTGTACATTTTAAGCAGGTGCAAACGATGATCACTGGAGTTAGGAGATTAATAAAATGCCCTTTTCCCTTCCCAACCAATTCAGGATTAGGGTCGTGTCGGAAAGCTACGTTTTTACAAAGCATTTTCACCTCACTTTTCCACCCTGCAGGTGCTCTGTAGTTTTCCTTTTAATCCCCGAATTACAGCACCTCTGGGCATCATTCTGTATGTGACATAAGATTACAGAGCGACTGTTTATCCAGTGTACAATTACCTGAATACATGTGAAAAAATGAACAACGAGTGATGTCATCTGTGGGGCTTGTGATCTTCCAGAGTCCTTTTATTTGTGTTAAAGGGTTTGGGGTAATAGCAGCCACACGACTGGCTGACAGCCTCCTGGCAGGTGGCCAGTTCAGTGTGGGAGTGTGAAGCAGGGGAGGGAACAGTAGAGTGGGGCTACAGAGAGATATAAGAGTGAGTTGTCTAATAATTGTTCACTGCACTAGGCACTGCTGTAAGCTGTGCTACCTCAGGAATACACATTTGTACTGATTTTGTAGGTTTCCTGCTGAATTACAGTGAATCAGCTCTTCATTCTGCTGTCATCTCAGGTATACATTTTTTATTATTCATGAATTATTTTACTATCACATTATTTTACTATTAATGAATTGAATAAAATTTAAAAATAAAAAAAATGTTGAATAACCCTATAACCCTGAAAAAGTTATGCCTTCCGGAGTAACTACTTTTTGAAAGTCAGAATCAATGTGATGCAATTATCAGGTGATGTCGACCTTTGCTACACACAGTATTAGTGACTGCTGGTGAGTCTAAATGCAGTAAATGTATTTCATAGGATGAATGTCGACATTCTTGGCTTCTTCTTTCTTGTTTAGTACTGTTCAGTTCAAAGTTTTCAAATAATGTTTGTTACTATTACTCTGAATCATCTAGTGATTTTGATTTATTGTTGGGTTTGGTCAGTAATAAACCTGGTTGATAGATGAGAAAATGAATATTTCTGCTGCCTGATTAGAAAAAAAGTCAAACTCATAGCAAATTAAAAATATATTAAAGAAACAATGAAATAAAATCTGGCATGGCACGGTTAATAGTGTAGAATCAGGCATTCCTAAAGCCTTTTGTAATGGCAAGACAGTGCATGAAAGTTACAATGAAATTGTCATTTCACTTATTGAAATTATTTTCTTGAGGTTATTTAATTTTTTTTCTACTGTTTTTTCTAATGTCTTTTGCCAGCAAAGTAAACTGTAGGTTGGTGCATAAGTTTTTAGATGCATGTCTAATTTGTTTGTGAGGAAAACTACATTTGCTCATGCAATATGTTATCCTGCTAGGGTGGATGTATACTAGATAATGGCATGGTACTGTTGTCCGTAGTCTAATGTTCAAGGTAGTATTCTAAGATGTTCTGAATAACTCAGACAAATGTTTGTTGTATACAGTGTGGAAAAAAATGTGTACTTGTAGCACAACATTGCAAAAGTGAGTAACCATGGTATGAATCAGAAGATCGATTATTCTCTAGCTTGAGATGTGTGCTTTCCACTGATGTTTGAAGTGCTGTACTGATATTTCAGACAGGATGAGAAAGGCAGTTCTACTCTTGTGTTTGGCTGCTCTGTGTGCTGCAGTCAAGAAGAAGAGACAGCCCTCTGAGTTGGACTACAAGGTCGATGGTGAGTTTGTACCTGTTGTCCTGTCTGTGCTGTCCCTGATTTTGAAATAAGTGCCACGTTCTTCTTTAAGAGGCATCGTGCAAGCTCATAGGGCTAATTAATAAACGTTTGTCAAAACAGCATAGTACAGTACAAGGAATAGCTGAAGTTCATAATATCAAAGTGTAGCTGTGACCTACTTATATAAGTCTGCTTTAAATATTGAGACCTATTGAATCGTATACAGATATACAGAACATGAGCGCTACTGAGTGCACTGACTGTGCTTGATGGGTGTCCCTGCAGCAGAGAAGGTAAACACGAGAGGATGTGCCAACCTCACCACGGTGCTGGACAACTGGAAGTTCGCCATCATGACTCAAGTGAAAGACCTGCTGTTGAACGACCACAACACTGTCCTCCCAGACTACGGGAGGTGAGGGACTCTGCTGGGCCTCCGAGGGGTGAATGTGAATGACGCTCCAGACAGAGTGACTACTGCTGCTGTACATGGCAAAGGACATTTGGAAATTGATTGTCTGAGTGTTTTAACACTACAGAATCAACAAGGTTTTAAACAACCACCAGTGAAGATTAATAATTTTCAAACAAATTAACAGCTAAGCCTATGTAAACCATATGTAACTTCCCATATGTAATTAGTCACTAAAGCACTAATATGAAGTGTTGTTACTACCAGTCTTCCCTTTGCTATGAACACACCCTTTTACCTCCCTCTGAGAAAGTCATTGTTTGTTTAGACGAGGGGTTTCCAGCGTAAGCAGGTTTGCTATGTCTCTTTAAATGATCAGTTGCTAAAGGCTATGGAACAGGGTTCTAGTTAAACTAGTTCACCTAGTAAAATGTTCACTGGATCAGTTTAACACTTCTCCCAAGTGAAGAGCTCTTTCTAACTTAAAGAAACGTACAAAACCAGGGACTGCGGCTTGAAATCCTGGCTTTCGACAGTGTCTCAGCTGCCTGTTCCCCTCTGTCTCCTCTCACTTCATGCAGGATACAGCCCCTGTCTGAGGCTCTGGGAGACCTTTACAAGGAGTTCAACGCCTTGAAGGAGCGTCTGGGCGAGCTCACCACCAAGTTTGAAGGCATCGAGTCCTTTGTGGATGATATGCAAGCAGGAAGGAGCCCCTCAGTCCCGAAAGTCGAGCGGCCCAGGCTGACACCCGAGGTCCAAAGACCAGGTCGCAGAGTCCTGGTCCGGAAAGTGAAGAGACCAGAGTCTGCACAGGAGTAGGCAGAGCTCCTGTGTCTGGAGTTGGATTTGCCTACCACATACAGCCACTTTTACAGAACATCTCTTGTTAACAATAAATTGCAGAGATATATGCCAGCTTCGTTACAATCCTCAAAACATACTGTGCACATTGTGTTTTTAATGGAACATTTCGCAGAAGTACGTAAAGTTAAAAGTCCCTTTTTACAATTTGATGTAATCAATATAACAAATTGATATAATCAGACTCTTCTGGTGCTTTTTTTGTATCTGAGCATCTTTTAACTCTTTAAGTTTTCGTTTTTTGTGTAAAAAATATAGGAAGTGTTTATGTATTGTAGGATGCTTCCTTTGATTGAAAAATAAGTCAAAACAATTTTCATTGTCATACAACAATATTTACTGGCAGTGACACTTAAAAGTCCTGAGTATCTCTGCAGTTATGTTGAATATTCTGATGTTATTAGGTTGTCAAATCATTTTATACCAAGAGTATGTATATTGTATTATTAGATACATACAATTCAGAGTTTTATTCATGCTTCAAATGGTATTCAGCTTCAATGATAAAACATCTTACGTGGGGTGAAACTCCCCAGAAAGCACTTATTTTTTCATTCACTCAAAACGTTGCAGAGTGTGCACCTTGAATGTGGCTGAGATGATTTTTTCAGTGTCTCACAGTTCATATCTGGCTCTCTGGGAGCCAAGATCTGGCTAGTGTCCACCGCACTCCCGCCAGGCTATAAAACCAGCTTGAGAGTTCACAGACCTTTGCACTGGGGTTAAGCCTGCTCAGGGTGTGCTGAATAGTACAACGCCACTCAGTGGCAGCATGTAGTATTGTATATAAGCGATGGCCTGACAGAAATACATTTTTATGTAACGTGTGAAGAGAATGCGTCTGTATATTATGTACCTGTATTCTTGCAAACTGCTTGAAATAAATTCTATTTTAGAAGAACGATTTGCCTACTGTGGTATCTAAGGTATCATGGGTCGAATATTGAGAAATACAAGATATTTCCACGTCTGGAAAGAACATTGGAGACCCTTGAGATGAGGTCTGGCTATGGGCATGTATTCATATCGTACAGAGGAACCTGCTGCAGGCCTGCAAAGCGCAGAGCAAACCCGGGCGGACAGCCGAGTTCTGATGGCTTCCTGAGCGCTCATTGGGCTTCACTGCCGACAAGAGGTGCAGAAAAGCCATGCCGATCTCTTGCGTTTGTTTCCAAACACTTTTTGATTGTTCTCCTGGTCTGTAATGGTCTTGGCATCGTTATTCTATGTCATTGTGACATGGGTGTTGCTACTGCGTCAAGGCATAAATATCGCGACACAGTTCCGCTGTGGCGAACTAGCCATTGCGATCGCGACAAGGTGATTTTCTGTCATATGCTCTTGTCACCGCGACGCGCAGCTGCTGTCGAGACACTGTTTTGTGATCGCCAGGCAAACTGTTACAGTCGCGACGGCTTGTCTGCTATCGTGGAATTTCTCAGACCTGAAAAGATTCAGTCCCTTCAGCCCGTCAGTATAAGACATTCCCTGAACAACCAAGAAACCGTGCTTTTATTTTATTTAAGCAATAAGGCACTGAGGCCGTGCTACTGTATATCGTGACTAGAGGCACAGTAAAAAGGCGTTGTTAGGCCCGACGCGAAGCGGGTTTATAATATAAATAAGGGTTTTGGTAACATGCTGCTGCACACCTCAAACTTTTGGGCTCTGGGGTTCGGTTCTGGACTCTGTCCTTCTTTGTGCACTTTGCATTTTGTTCTCCCAATGCTTGCGTGGGTTTTCACTGTACGCTCCTTTTTATTCTCTCCTGCCAAAGTCGAGCTGCTGCGTATTGTATGTTAATTCCTCTAAATTGCTGTTGTATACTGGCCCTTAGCAGATAAGAACATCAATTTGGAGAAACGAAACTGAAAGTCTCCGGTAAGAGGAAAAGGCGTGCTTTTACCATCCGTATTTAGGGAATACCGAATAACTCTCAGCAATTGTAGTGAGGGAAAGCCTAGGTTTAACGTTGAAAACAAGCTATATTAATTCTTATTATATTTTTGAACGTACAATTGGATACATTTACGTGTGTCGTACGTTTACAATCAGATTCATTTCCTCTTTCACGATGTCTTTAAAGAAGACGTCATCTAACTATCTCGTATGGTCCCTAAACTTTAAAACAGGTGGACCATAATTTCTAGATTGACAGCTTTCTCGGACCGTTGATTGGTGTAAACAGATATATTAAACACGAATCCTTAAAATTATTTGCAGGGAGGAAGAAAGTGAAAACATTTCAGAGCAACAAATGAAGCTCGCAGGTACGTGTGATTACCATTGCTTAAGATGTTATCTTAATATTCAGGCATACTTATCCCTTTTTATTGACTCAATAAATGTTGGTGTGTTTTGAAAACTTCTATGCTGGATTACTTTGATAATAACAAATATTTACGTTAATACTTATTTGTTACGTTAATACTTATTCATATTAAAGACATTGTAATTGAAGCATGACAGACATTGAATAGAAAAACTATTAACTTTTCCACGTATTTCATTCTGTCACAGCAGTAGATCTTAATGATACAACAATAATGATTGTTATAAATTTTGAAAATACAGGCTGTGGACATTGTGTCACCATTACCATTGCAAATCAACGGAGGTCTGTTTCCTATATCGTTTTGCGTTCCACGTTATTGGATAAGCATTATTATTAAATGACTTACAAAAAGATCCGTATATATTCTTTTGTAAAATATAAAGTACAAAGTATACATGAGACGAAGAGGTGAGGAAGACAGGTGAGGATTATACTGTATGTACTGTACATAGAACTGCGGTCTGAAAGTCGATGCTCCGTAGGCTTGAAAAGAGGAAAAACGAGTATATCGCAATAGGAACAACTCACAGAGATTGCAAGAAGACGGAAATAGAGACCATCATCAGCTACTGTTCCCGAGCATGATTCTGTTTTTAGTGTATTTATTGAAAAGTGTTATACTCCTCCGCCTGTTATACGGGGGATCTCAGGGTCTTGGGTATCCCAGTGAAACTAACCAAGAAATATTCTGTGAATGTGCTTTGCGTCTTCCATATACTGTATATTTAGTACATAAACCTGATTTGTGTAATATAAAATATGTGCGGAGAAATTTAAATCTATGCTGCATCTAAAGAAATACTCCCATAGAAACCCTACCTGTAAAACAGGAAATATGTGAACCTGTCGTATTTTCTGCAGCTAAGGCTGCACTGCAGAGACATCTTTAGCAATGTCAATGTCCATGTTATGCCTGATAACAGCTCCATGATTAAAGAAGTCTGATGGTTTTGGGAGAGGTGTTGTGGTTTAACCTGTGCTGTCTGCTTGTCTCCTGTGCTGTAAAAGCAGTTCTCTCTGCTGGATGTGTGTGTCACTGTCATGAGTAAGCCACCGGGAGACCAGCCGCAGGGCCAGGCTGTGGGCAAGGAGCATGGAGATCTGGTTCTGGAGCCTGACACCTGTGGAGCCTCAGGGGAGAGTGTGAGTCTGGGTGTGCCCTGTTTCCAGGCTGACAATGGGCATGGGGGTGTGACTGTTTTTTGGGGTGCCTAACAGACCCAGACAGAAGGTGCTTGCATGGCAAAGAGATTTCTCTCTCCGATACATTTAAGATGCTGTTCTGAATATGTTTCTTTTCTCTCCAGTGTGTAAGCAGTCTAGTCTACATTTTTGTCTGAGTTGGAAAGAAACCACAAAAAGAATATCTACCCTGTGTCTTCACTCTCTCCCATCATGTCACATGTCTGTATGCCTTCATTGCTGTGCTTCTATTCTTTATTTTTTTATTTTTTTATTCTTCACTTTGATTTTGACAAGCCTTAGTGAATCATATCGATTAATTTCATAACTTCACACATGTGATCTTCATCTGCTCTGCTTCATCCTTCCTAACTTCATCAAATGATCTGAATGCGTGCATGTTATTGCCAAAGGTCCAGCTAGCCACTTGCAGCACTGTGATAGACAGTAATACTGCATGTCACCCACTACATGTTCAGAAATACTGTATAAAGAAGGGTTAATAAAAGTGGTAAGGCAGCTGTGATCATTCATGTGTTTGTGTTTAGTTGCTCCAGGCCATAATGACGATGCAACAAGCATGTGAAAAGTAGTGCAGAGCTGAGAGTTCCTGATATTGTCTTTATATTCAGACTTCTATTAAATGTGGTATTTTTAAATAAGGCGAGGAATTACAGGATTTCCCTGTCCTATCCAGTATTTACTCTCTGATCATAAATATTCAATCTGTACTTTCAAAGTACACTGAATAGTACTGGAGTTCATACAGTACGATGTTTTTTTTTATCACTTTGTCTTACTTGAGCTTTGTGTTTCTGTCCAAGCATAACACAGCTCTGTGGCAGACATTGAAACGTGGTGTAACAAGGAATTCTGTTTTAAGTCTTCACACTGTGGCTAAGACTTTTCTTTACATTTATAATGGTGACATTTACAACAGGAATTCCTGGCTCGAGGTATTCTAGTTTCTTTGTGCTTTGAGTTCTCAGGCTATTCGTTTGAACTACCATAAATACTGTATTTACGTGAAACACTTCACTGCTTTCTCTCTGTCTTATACAGTGAAGGCACACCTTGAATTATGTGCATAGGGAAGGGAGTTGGCTCAAGGCTTTGAAGTTTGTCCAGGGAATGACATTATTTGAGCCGCAGTAATTATTGTGAGGTGCTGAGGAAGAGTGAAGTGCTGAGGAAGAGGGAACATGAGAAGATGTTTTAGGTTCTCGACTGCAGTTTGGCATCTCCTTTTTAGAAGTTTTGTCTTTACAGTCCAGCATGATGACTTACAGTAAGACATCTTCTTTTGTCGCACACAGAACTGGAGGGAGAGAAAGAAGAAGGACTCAGAGGTGCCTGCTGTCCCTGGGCCACAGGTGAAGATATCCCAGGGTTCCCTTGTCGAGGAAGGTAGGGAACCTGCTCTGTCTTTCACTGCCGTGACCCTGGGTCTCCACTGCACAGGACAGAACACAGGCCTGTGTCAGCTTGAGATCTCCAGCAATAGTGAATCTTCGACAGAGGCCCTTTCATCACTAGTATGAAACATGGCACATGTGGGGATGTTAAAGAGAAATGTACCTTACTCAGGTTCACAACATCGGCCAAGGCCTGATCACCTGATCACCTGAGACTATGAGATAGCTACTGTACATCACCCCACCACCATCACAACCACCCACACTGCAATTTTCTCTCTTACATCAAATTAAAAGGACATCATTTCTTTCGGTGAGTGGATAATTCTTTGTTTTTCTAGGAGGGAGCAAGGAGCAGAGTCCTGCCACACAGACAGGCTGTGAAATGGAAGACCAAAGCAGAATGGACACACCCCATCACCTAGAATTAATGGAGGTGTCTTCGGTGGGAGGTGCAAAGACGAATCCGGAGACACGTGGTGGTTGCTCAGAGGGGGAAGCCATTGTATTGGTTGGCAATGGGAACCCAACTGCCAAAGAGTCATCCACACCAGAAGAGGGCACTGTGACTATCAAGCCCAGTGCAAGTAGCGATGGACATGTAAGGCAGTGAATAGCTGATTTGTCAGTAGTTGAAATACCTAGGAGTAGAAATGGATGATGGTATTCTTCTCTAGTACCCCATTTTATGTAGTAGCTCATTAAATGAACTGATATGGAAAATAAAGTATTCCAAAACATAGGAAAATGGTCAGTTATCATAAACCATCTTAAGAGTCTGGTTTTGATGTCTAACATTGATATTAATTTATGGATGGTGTCATCTAGTATTTAATTTGTTCATTTTTCTTGTGCAATGAATTCAGATAGTTTTGGTTTTATTTTCCTGACACAGGAACCAGGCAAATCATCAGGGAGAAGACAGAGGAAGAAAGAGAAAAAGAAACTAAAGGCAATAGAAAGAAAGGGAAACACAAAACCTGCAGCTGCTTTGATTGACAAGACACAGGGGAAAGAAGAGGAGCAGAGTGGTAACACCAAGGGAACACAGACAGAGGACAGGAAAGAGGAAGCTGAAATGACCAAGACACAGCCTGAGATAAGGCAACTGAGGACAAAGGACAAGAGTGTTCAGACCCAGCCAAAAAAACTCAAGACACAGGAGACTCAGACAGATCCCATGCCAGAGCTCGCCAGGAACATGCAGGAGAAGACAGAACAAGAACAATCAGAGGCCACTGGCACAGCACAACAGGCAGGTCAGTCAGAGTTCAGCGGGACCAGACGGAAAAAGGCAAGGAATTCAGAGACAGGCAGATTACAAGTAGGGTCTGAGGATAGCGCCAGTGCTGCTGCAGATGCACAGAGACAACAAGAAGCCAAGCCTGAATCCACAGTGACTGCAGAGGCCAGACAGCCTAGTAAGGACAGTGGCAAAGACAGTAAAGAGCTCAAGGAACATGAGAAGAGTTCAGAGGAGATCTCCAACCAGACAACAGCTAAAGAAAAGCAATGCCAGGAGAAGGCAAGCCAGTGAGTTTTCCTATTCCTCTTGTTATATTGTGGCCAATCTAAAAATATTGAGCAGAAACAGTAGGATGGGACTTTTGTTAACCATTACCAGCCTGAAAAATGCAGATACATCTCATCTTACAGTTCTGAGGTTCCCATTGAGAAGTCCAGGTTTGGTTATTTTATTTCTCCTGTGGTAGTTGTTAAATAGTTGGGTTTTTAATAGAAATTTAGAATAGTCAATTATTTGTTAACACCTACTGTACCCTCCAATTTGAAATACCTCACTGTGTCTTTACAACTTTGCTCAGACCAATGACTCTCACGCCTACATGGGGAGAATGAAGATGTTCAGTCAGGTTTCTCGGCTTGCCCACCCTGCAAACCATTCATCCTTTCACAGAAACATCCTGGTCGGAGCGCGCCAGTGATATGACCCAGGTGGAACCTGGGACATCTGGATCATAGAGTTCAACCTAAACTCTGAGCGAGCGCCTTCGTCACTAACACCGCGAGAACTTGAGCACTCCTTTAGTTGAAGTTCACACTGCTTTGGGACTCAAACACAGCTAGAAGAGCCCTGCTGTTAAAACCATGATTATAAAATGTGATGAAGTTGTCATGAAGCATTTCTTACAGAAGTGTCCGATCTGTCTCCCCTTTGCAGGAAGCTGTCTACAGGAAAGAATCCCAGAGATGCACATATCTTCACCATTTACATAAATGCTGTCCTTGATAAAAAGTTCAGGTTCAACACTCAGTCAGACAAACTGCTTTTGCTGTACTCAAATGGGTCTGTAGATCTTCAAATAAACTATTTCAGGTGAGAGCCAGTAAGGTGGGATGATCCTAAAGATACAAAACTCTCTGTTAAGGAATAATAACTGTGAGTTTGTACTCTCTTGCGAGAGAATCAGTAAGATCCTTATTGGTGCAGTTGATATTTGTTAAAATCCAAGTGTTTTCTTAGTCTCTTCGTATACAAACCTCATTTACAATAATAGTTCATATTATAAATAACTGTATGCATACTGTATATACTGTAGATTTCTTTCCTTCCAAGAGGTAAGGCTGCCTTCAAAATTAAATTATTATATTGATCTTAGAAAAGTTTATCTTCTTCTTAATATTGTTCTTCTTCTAACAAACCTAATATACAGAAGATTGATATGATTTATTTGGTTTATTTGCTTATTTGTTTCTTAGGGGGCTTGGTAAGCAAGGGTACCTGATTGAAGCTCAGTTCTCTGTGGAGAAATGGCTCCTCACAAGAGGTGAAATACAATATAAATATGCTGTTATGAAAAGAGGGAACCGTATTGAAGAAATGGCGTATCAAAGAAAATTGATACCTTTTGATTCGCAATTGAATGGTAAGAACACAGAATAACAATTTTAAATTGATTCAGAATGTAGTGAAAATAGATTCTGACTTGGCACATAAAAATTAAAAATGTCCAGAGATTGCTTTTTTAATTTTTAGAAGCTTTTACTTTGTACTAAGCAGTTTATTTTTCCACATCCAGAGGTGCACCTGTATGAGGGCCATGTACATTTTAATTCACTGACCTATGTGGAACGGCTTCTTGGATTATTCAAATCAAAGGAAGAATGGATTCTAATGGCCAGGTTGGATGCTGGCGACATACTCCTGCACAGAATCTTTGAAAAACTGGTGCCTTCAGAACGAGAGAGTATTACATGTTTCATAGAGCATTTACAAGCCCTTATGTGGCAAATAAAAACAGCTAGTCAACGTGAATTTTACCCTGGCATTCATTACTGTCAGCCTACGGACGTGAGTAGAATTATTTGATTTCACTATGAACTTGATTTAAAACTGACGTTGTACTGAGGGAGATATTATGAAAGAAGGAGACCAGCAGGTTGTGGTCAAGTCCAAAGTTTCAATTCTAATTCCTTTTTGACATTCACAGAATGGAAATAGGAATTTGTTTTAATTAGGAAATGGAATTAAAAAATATTTAATGGATTCCAACCTGGTTCCACAGCATTATTTTACATCCCTCAATGTGCACTCTAAAGCAAAGTGTTGCTGAGGTGGCTGTGGTGTGTGTGGTGTTGTTTTGGCGGACAGTTGACCATGGATGTGTTGTCCACCTGCCTGGTTCTGCTCTTCTAGGTCAGATTGAAAACTTTGTTACTGCCCCTTGTAACAGTCATTTCTTTTGCATGTCCTTTCCAAGTGTGATTTGTTTCATACAGCTTTTGGTCTGATCTGTCTGATCTAATCATACATTTCTTTTGTTAAACCTTGTTAGGTACCTGATATTGCTTCTTTAGAACTATAAAGAAACTATAAAAATGTGTACCTTTCTTTATCTCTTGACATTTGAATATTTGTTTCTCACATCTCTCCCACAGCTGTCCCAGTGTATTGTGAAACATTTGCTGCAGTTGCTGCAGAGGGGCTCTGACCAGAGCACAGCCATGCACAACCCTCTGGTGCTGGGCGTCATTGTGTTCCAGGTCAGCTGTGCCTGTGAGCTACAGCTGGCAGCCAAGGACTGGGCAGCAGTGTGCCGTCTGCTGTGCTTCAGCTCTGCCCAAAACAGCAGCCACCTGCTAGAACTGAAGAGTCTGTTTCAGAACTGTCGACAGTACGTCACAGAAGTATTTAGTCCTTCCTCGTGACTTCTTTATAGGTCAAAATACCATTTCAAATGAAAACTCTGAAATGGCACAAGGGCATTTCTTTCTTATGCAATTTTCATTTGAAAAGACAATATCTGGGTCATAGCATTTGCAATTCTAGTTTAACGTCTCAAATATCGCTCCATGAGAAATACCACTGAAGAAATAACCTTAGAGACTTCTAGAATGAGTGCAATTTAAGGGCAGAATTTGTCTCTTGCCTTTCTGAAGTAATAAATATGTTCCACAACACAGTAATGCTCTCTGAAAGCTCACTGTGTTTCTGCCCCCTGTGTTTTCAGCATAGTGGTCGGGTTGATGAATCGTTGTGCCCGGAGCGTGGTGGTGGAGCTGCCATTACTAGTGCCACTACTGCATGCACTCCGAGAGCCCAGTGAAGGCGGTACCAGGCCTGAGAGGGGCAGAATCCCAGAGGAGCAGGACTGGGCAGGCCTGGAGGGTGTGGATTTTTCCATTTATAGAAGCTTGATCCGTAGTATTTCTGACAAGAGGAGGTACATCTCATTCCTTTTTTGCTCTGTTGTTAGAGATGACTGTCTGCAGGTTCTTCATTCTTCATTCTTCATGATTAAGATGATGTCATTCATTGTATGTGAGCAGAAGGAAGACTCTTTCTGATATTTTAAAACCTTGTGCCCTGTAATAAGCCAAACCCAATGTAAGGGTAAAGTTGTGTTTTGTTGTAATTGGTGGTGGCTGGTTAATGCTGAAAAAAGTTCATTCTGGACATGATATGTTCTAAGTATTGGACCTAAAGCATCACCTAATTCACTGTCCTGAAACTAGATTTTATGTTGGAGTTTACTTTGAGATTCGACAGTGCTAAAGATTCAGCAGCTGTTGAAAAACAGAGTTTTGCAGCATATAGGTTGCATATTTTATTACAATAAAATAATTGTTTGCATTTCTGTCTACTGAAAGTGAAATAGACGAGAACTATTATGATCATTATATTTTCCCATTTTCTTTTAGAATGATGCTTGACTTGATGGATGCTCACAAATCTTTAGGAGGTGAGAGCCCCCAGGTGTTGCACAGCTGGCTTTCCCTAGTGGCCACTGAGGACATTCCAAAATATTCCAGAATGATGGGAACAGCTCTAGAACATGTGGTCCAGAACCTGCACTACAGACTGAAGGAGTGTGGAATAAGGACCCTTGATAAAGATGTTCCGGTGTGTAAAGTCCAGCTGATACTGGAGTGCTTTTTGAGAAGTGTTAATACTTTTGGTGTGCGTCTTTGTCATTTATATATCCTTTGTTTTTTTATTCCCATTAGGCAGTTGGGGAAACCATCGAACATATGTTGGAGAAGCTTGACGAAGAGAAAGAACGGTATTTTCCATGACTGCTTATATTGTTGGAAAATTAACCAAAGATTCCTTTTGTTTCTGACTTGTATTTCTTTTCCAGGATATTATCCTCTGGACAGCTTGATTACATCCTGATGTGCTGTATCAACAATCATAAGAGTGTCTGTAAAATGGCCAGACTGGTTCAACACTATAAAGTTGCAGTAGCCTCCTTCCAGCTGGTGCTGAAAGTAGCTGAAATTCAGGACTCTTTCCTAGGGAAGGTACTGGTTCTAAATTGTTCTATGATAAGCGACACAGAATGCACTTGGAGAATTATGATACTACAGACAATCTTTCAGCTCATTATTATAGCTGTGCGAAATGACATTACACATGCATGCTTAGACATGGTGAGACAGAGTGAGAGACAGCTTGCCTTTTGTAATTCACTCTAACTTGAATCTTCCTCTTCTAGGATTGTGAGGGGGACAGCTCTGAACGATCGCGTTTGCTGGAAAAGCTAAGTGGCCTGCAGAGTGAATTACTCCAGTGGAGGGAAAGCCTCCTGCGGCTCCCCCTTTTTTCAAGGGAAAGAAGGCGTCTCAGCTATCCTAAAGAGCCAGAGGTATGTGCAAAATAGCATCTTTACATGTGGACACTTTGTTTAGAATTCATATTACATGTCGATACATCTCTTTTTTAAACTTTCTACAAACCGTAACAGGTCATTATAGATTTTGTTTGTGTGTATTGTGGAACTTTTTCTGCACATGCAAGGTATTAAGCTATTTTAGATAAGTGTACATGACACTTCCTTAATCTTTACATGACTCAGTTACTGTATATGCCATATGATTTAAGGGATGCAAAAAGAAATCATTGTAGTCTATTAAAAATTAAAACACAGAATTGCTTGTGAAAATGCAATCAGTGCTCTCCACTGAAGATGATCACACTTTTAACAACATCTTTACATTCAACTCTGCGTGCAAACCTATTGTTCTGTGTTTTACCAATTAAAATGACCAAATGACCAATTATAAACCAGTTGACCAATTATAGCTGTTGTAAGTGGTGTCACCAGTAGGTGGTATTTTTCCCTCTGTATCAGACTTTCCAAAATGTAGATGACACATTAAACCAAGTATTAAAAAAAACAAACAATGGAGATGACATGGAATTTGGCATTCAAGTGACTGCATTTCCCAGTCTGTTATTTAGCTATTTTTGATTCATTAGACTTAATAAGAATCAGTGGATGTGATGTACTGTATGGTGCAGTAAAACTTAAAGTAAAGCTATTAGAAATGATCATTCCTTTTCTCTCCTTTTGCTTTCAGCTATGGGACAGTCTGCTGGGAGTGAAGTGTGCTATACAGCCTCTGTCAGACCAGTGGAGGGGAGCTGTGGAGAAGGACCTGAGAAAAAGGATCTGTCAGGTACAGAGGTCAACCCCTGGGTCAGATACCATGGACTGGAAAGAGACAGGGGCATTTTACTAAGGAATCTGAGTGTGTTTTCTAACCTCTCATAGAGTGCAGTTATTTCCTCTATGTTGAGAATGCAGGTGATACAGGGTCATTACTTTTTCTAGGGAACGTGTGACAACTGGACATTGCAAGGCCTGCATTTTTGGGCTTTAGATATATTCTTTCTGTGCTGTCATTTAAATATGCCTGGTTATTTCTTTTTGTTTTAAAAAGCCTTTACTCTAGAGAAGCGGTCTTTTCTTTACACAGAAAAACAAAAGCCTGTTTATGTGGTGTCAAAGTATAAATGTGCATAGACATGTCTTCCTGCATGGCATTTTGTAGATTTATTTTAGAACTGCACTGTAACTTCTTGCACCCTACACTGTGTATAAGCCCATGTCCTGGGCCCTTTCCACTAACACAGCTGCTTCATATGCTATTTTTGTTCCCTTGACCACTACTACAACTAGTAGTACAACTAGTACAACTACTACTACTGGAATTTCTACTGTAGTACAGAATGCAGTGTGTTCATACTGTACAGAGCAGTAATGTAGGGATACTCAGTGTGCCATTGAAAGTTTTTCTTCCTTCACAGGCTGGTGATCTACAAAGCATTGCTGTCTGTTGTTGCGAGCAGTCTGCCTTGAGCAAGACCTGCCCCACTGTACAGACCTGCTTCCGTGAGCTCTGTCAGTCAGCCATCCAGGTCGTCTGCCAGGTCAGTACAGACCAACTACTCTCAGGGAATGCTAGCATACAGACAAAGACGCTACATGACTAATAAGTCAAATGACATAAATAATGTATAAAAAATAAAAGATTATGAAGAATTTAGGGGAAACATTTGATCTTGTTTTGGAGATAAAGGGGTTTGGAGCATGAGACTTTCTAGCCTGATCTCATCAGATCTCGGAACACAAACAAGACAGGGCTTCATCAGTGCTGGAATGTGAGCTGTCTAAGAACAGAACAGATAGCTGTTGTAAGTGGTTGACCAGTAGGTGGTGTTTTTCCCTCTGTGCTAGACTTTTTGAAAATTAAGGGACACTGTGCCGGAGGAGGTGTCATCCTTCCGATGACATGTTAAACCAAACTACTGACAACTTGATCATTAAAGATCCTGTGGCAATGCTGGTAAGAGTACTGGTGTTAGCCGTAGTGTTCTGGTTGAATTCCACTTTGGACTTGCACAGTCTGAGCTACATAAAAATAATCCTTAATTAAATTGGTGATGTCATTTCTCGCCTATCCACCTAATCTACTGTGCAGTGAGGCAGAAAATGCATTTCTTTAACGTAAATGAAAAAGTAAAATTGGACAAGCTGGGTGCATACCATGTAGATTAACTTGAGTGTTCCTCTTTGCTCAGAATGAAAAGGAAGGGGAATTGCTGCATTTTCTCAACCCTTTCAGTATGGAGATTCCATCTCCCATCCTGTCCAGCATCATCCTGGAGTCCACAGCCAAGGCAGGGGAGGACCTGACAGGCCTTCTGCTTAGTCGGCAGTCTTCACTCTCCTACCTTCTGTCTCAGGGTACGTGGTGTGCCAGCTTTACATGAGAAACAGTTTGAACAAAAAAAACATTACAATTATTGTAGTTGATTGGTTGCTCGTAGTTTGTTGAGGATCTATTCCAACCTCGTGCTGAACAGAGAGAACCCTGAAAATACTTTACATCCACTTCATTTTTGGGGGCATGGATATGTCAAATTGAGTATGTTTTATTCATGTTGAAAATGTGGTAGTATTTTATATCACACTGCCAATACCACATAATGTATTGTTCCTAATTGCAACCTCTGTTATATCCATTTTAAACAAGCCTTTTTTCTAAAACAAAATTGATGATATTAGATTTTCCACTCTTCTCTCTCTAATGTTGTTAGGTGTTTGGCAGAAGCTGCAGGTAGATGAGAAGGCTTTGCAGACTCTTGAAAGGGGTCACTCTGCCCTGGCATCTCTAGTGGAAGGATTGTTACTGGGTACCATCCCTCTGGGACATCTCACAATCATTCTGCAAAATGAAGATCATTTCAAAAAGCTGTACCACCAGGGTAAGGGCTTGTGATTCTTCCTTCTGATTTTTGGGCTTTTAGAAAGACAGTTCCATTCACAGTCAATGTATCTGCTGACAGTAGCAAAAGACTGGTCTGTTTCTAGTAAACGTGATGCCTCATTTTAGCTCTCGCTGATGTTTTTATCTTCAGAAAACAAGCTGTCCAAGCAGGATTTCTTCCACGGCAGTGCAGAGAAGATGCTGCGGCAGAGAGAGGCTGACCTTCAGGCCTTTAACCAAGTGAAAGAGCACATGGACAACCTCATAAAGATGATCAGCAGGATCTCTGAATCTGTCACAGGTAACTTTGTCTTTGGACTTAATCATAAAGAGAAGTCCTGATCAAAGGTTTCTCTTCTTTAGAAATGTTGGCCTTGTCAGATTTTATCTTCTGGGTTATCCAGTTGTTAGCCATACTGAATACCTGAAGTGTTGGGCTGCTGTTTTCCTCACAGTGGAAGATCTCTCACATCTCAAGCAGCAGCACAGAGCAGAGCTCCAGTCTGTGAGCCTTGGAGATCTGGTGGAGGTTGAGGTCCACAGGCCAGAACTGGAGCTCCATGAGCAGGCACCGCGGGCTGTGAAGTGGTATATTGTCTGCGACATGGTGCGAGACATGGCTCGAGAAATGCACCAACTGCGGGACAGCACTCTGCTACTCAGCCTGTGGGTCCAAATGGCAGTATCCATGAAAGACGGTCAGTTAACTTCCATAATGACCTTGAGAAAGGTCCAGGCTGACATCTGGAAACCCCTACTGCTCCAGTACCGTCAGCTGGGCTTGAAGATTGCGAGGGGAACTGTAACATTTCAGGAGCTGGACAAGGCTCTTCAAGAGTCCGGGGACCGGGGAGAGGGAGCGGAGATGAAGAGGGAGTTGCAATTGATGGCCAGTCTGCTGGAAGATGAGGGGCTTGATGTGGAGTGGACACAAACTAGGCTGACTCAAATTCAGCAGTACCGGCAACTCCACGCTGCTGCATGGTCTGCTAGTGCTGTGCTAAGGATAGCACAGAAGCTAGAACTTTCTGGGGACTTCACGCAAATTGAGAGCCTCACACAGCTGGTAAGAGTATATCACTAGCTGCTCGGTATGCCATCAGAATCCTGAGAATTTGTGAAGGGACCTTTTGCAAGCTGTTGAGAAAGAATGCATTACATTACAAAAACACTGATACTGTATATTAAAATGTGGGTATAGATATAGAATACACATACACATACACATACAATGGGACATATTAAATGGAGCTTGATCTTTTCTGTTTTAGAGGGAAGACTCGTTCAAAAAGAGAAACCTCAAATCGCTCACTTCGGAGCTCATCTGTGCCAAAGAGCAACTTGCTGGAGTCACTGAGAAGCACACCATTTGTCTAGAGGAATTCCTGAATTGCCAGTCCTTGGTTAACTGGGTCAAGATTAACCTTGAAGGTGAGTGATGTTCCCTGCAAAAGTATGTATTTGCTGGTCATATTGATAGGTACTTATACTTTCTGCAAATGTTTTTGTGTATATCTATTAGTATTTATGTTTCCTTATTTTAGATTCCTACCAATATGACGGACAAGATTTGTCCTCAATGCTCATGTAAGTGCAGGCTTATATAAGTTTGTTTAACGACCTGTTTCAATATCATGTTCTTTCTGAGGTATGAGCGATTTGAAGGTGTTTGTGGACCTGGCCTCCATTTCGGCAGGAGAAAATGACTCTGAGATTGACAGGGTGGCCTGTTTCCATGACGCTGTGATGGGTTACAGCCCTTTCTTGTACTCCCTGAAGTCCAGTGATAACTTTGAGAGGTTTATGGCCTGCGCAGAAAAGGTCTGGGAAGCTCTGAGAAGAGATGAGAAGCTTCCAGAAAAGCTGGTGAGTCATTCTTTGGATTTATGCTCTTGTGTTTTTAGGGATGCAGATCAATAGCATTAGACATCAAAGTGAAGATGCAATGGTTAAGAATTTGCAGTATTTAGCTGGAAATAGCAGTGCTCTGTACTACCATATTTGACATCAAGAAGGTTGTGAAGTGTTTTCCTGGTTACAGATACTGTTTAAATAGGACCTTGAGCACAAGTTTTGAAATGTCATCATGTTTACAGGAAAAACTTAATATTGACTTAAATTAGTTTTTTTGATCTGAATGTATTGTGCCATGTTTTCTGTTTATAGTTTGTAGCACAAGTAAAAGTAAGATTCTCCTTGAATTAACTCTTCATGCTGGGATTTGTTTCTCCAGAGAGACTCGACACGCTGGCTGGACTGGCTGAAGGGCCTGCGAGAGACTCATGGTTCTGTGGAGCAGTCCTCTCTCTCCCTGGCCACAGCCATCAACACTGAGGGGGTATACCAAGTGGGCAAGCTTCATTCCCAACAGGGAAAGGTGCAGTCATAAGTTCAAGTGTTCGCTTTGTTTTTACAAATATTGAACCAGGTAGTGAAGGGGTAGTCTTAAACTATTTTTGTCTGGAAGACAGAAGCCTAAAACATTTCTGCCAAAATTAGAGACGTAAGAAAAATCGAGTGCAGTGATTTACCAGCTATTCAGAGTGCATCTGATGTAAAGCCTCTTTTCTTGTATGTTGTGTATTTTCTTCCTGTTTTGTTTTTGACAGATTTATGAGCAGTTAAACCTCTCATTACTGGAGTTTTTTGTTTTCAGGATTGGTAAACATGGTTATAATGAGGGTTTTGCATTAATGTGGTTATTAGGTTGTCAAAGGAGTGACACTCATTTTAACTCCTGGTTATAATAAAACGCCATGTAGGGTATTAGCTCTTTCAGCAAGGCTGATTGACCCTCTGGCTTGGTTCTAGCAATCCCTGCAAAGCATCTTGCAAGTGGCTGTGAAGAAAGACAGTGTGGAGAAAAGCTACAGCCTAGAGGAGCTGCTGGAACTACAGAACAAGCTCATGTTGATGTCATCCAAAGGAGAGCATGGCAGAACACAGGTCAACAGGTTCATGCAGGTAGTTCCTTTTTCTTCTCTCTGGACTGTACTGTACATCTGGTGATGTGAGTGATAGGCTAAGGCACAGAACAGACCATTTGATCTGGAAAAGTAATTCTGTTCAGGACACATTTGAGAAACACAAGTGTTTAGCTGTTAAAAGGTTCTTGATTCTTTTTTGATCAAGAGGCATGACGCATCAATGGCTTCTTGAGATAATTCACAAGAATCACCTGTTTTGCTAGCTGAAAACAATTATTGTAAAGTTTTCTGAGTATGTGTTTTTGTCTGACTGCCATGAAGAATTTGGATCTAATTCTCTGTGTTTTAATCTCTCATAAGGTGTTTGAAGGTGTTCAAAGGCTTGGTCGTATTCTTCTCCAGCTACACTCGTCTGGGAACATGCTCTTTCGTGAATGGAAGGCTTTCATTCACTGCAACCAGGATCATCAGCCCTGTATTAAAGTGCACTTTGCAATGCCGATGATGGAGGCCATTGAGTACTCTGGGGAGCTTGAAGAGCAGCTGCAGGAGGTGTGCCGATCTGTGGAGTTTTGTCACAGAGACTGGTGTACTTTTATCAGTGAGATGCGCTCACAGTTCTATCCTCTGAACTATTACACTTCTGAACAGATTGTGTACCTGTGCCACCAGCTTCATAACTGTCATACAAAGAAGCTACCACAACAGGTTTTAGCCTTGTTGTCCTTTGTGAAGCCTGGATGCACCTTAAAGGACATCAGAGTAGCCTGTTCCACAACTCCTGAGGTTTCCAGTGAACCAAGCACAGAAGACGAAAATTCTATTTCATCTGAGCATGAAAGTGCAGGCAGTAGGCATGAAGAAGAGCCAACAGAAGTGATAGATTACAGTGATGATGAAGTTGGGGATGATTATAATTTTGATGTTGTCTATAATTCAGATTATGAAGAAGAAATGGTATCTCTGGAACATTTTTCAGATGAAGAAAAACAGTGGGAGACAGAAATAGAAATTAGTATGCATCTTTCAGGCAAAGAGGCCTGTGTGAAAGAAGACCCAATAGAAACAGTGGAGGATCTTTGGAAGCATTTCAAAGAAAACATGGCGGGATCCCTGAGTGAGCATCTAGACATTATCACTCTTGGTCAGTTCCTCTCATGCCTTTCAGATATTAACAAGCAAGAAATAAAAAGGAAGTTGTGTCCAGTACTGCAGGAAGGGAAACCCAACCTTGTGCTGTGCCCAGAGTCAGATGTCCTGAGCACAGCTCTGAGCCTTTATGTGACAAGTCCTGATCAGCCCTTGCCCTCCTCTGATGAGCTTTTACTCTGCAGAGAGGACACCACAGCAGAAGTGGTAGAGATCTTCCTCAGAAGGGCACTGGGACAGGGTAGACCACATGACCAGGAGAAGATCTTCACACTGGTCAATCCAGGGCTTCTAACTTACGATGTAGGTGTCACAGTGGGAGAACAATTCGAAGCCCTAGAGAGAAGCTCTCATCCTAAGTACCATCTACTGATAGTCTCTTCTGTAAAGCATCAACACAGATATGTTCCTTCCTTCTTCAGTAACTGCAAGGTACAGGCTGGAGTTGCTGTTTCAACAGAAAAAGCAAAGAGTTATCTCAAGCGCCACTTCACTGTAAAGTTGGAAAAGTCTCATGTCTTGCATGCCTACCCCGAGCACCTCTCTACCTGGGTGGTTTCTTCCACACGACCAGCTGTAGGTAAGGGAGACTGAGGGATGGTAAGAAATTCATAGTGTAGTAATATATTTCTGTAGACCTATTAATGCATAATGATCTAATATTTGTTTATTAACTGCGAAGTGTTCTGTATGTCTGCTTTGAGAGAAGGAATTCAGTCAGTAGGATGTTTTTAACCAGTGAGTTGCTTTCATAATATAATCTTGAAACTTAGAGAAGGGATGGTTAAATACATGCATAAATAAAGTTAATTTGTCTCTGTGTCTAAATGTTTGTTCTTATAGTCTTTCACCCTGTGATTCACCTCTGTGTTTCTTCAGGAAAGTCCTTATATGTGACCCGCCTGTTTGAGAGATTCCAGGAGATGTCTTCAGGAGCACAACTGGTGCGGATCAGACTGATAGAGCCTCGTATCGACCCTTACTTATTTCTGAAGAGCCTGACTGATGGGCTCGTGCCACTGAAAGAGCACGACTCTGCCGTTGTTCACATTGATGTTGCAGCTGTATGTACTGCAATATATTTTTCTATTTCTAAGTGTTTTATATGTTGCTAACAGCTTGAAATCAAAATTGAGTCATTTCAACAAAAATGAATGACATATTTGACAGAGTTTATGGGGAAATTGAAAAAGAAACCCTCTTCTACTGAGCAAATGGATGTTTAATGACTTAACTGATACAGATTGAAGTACTAATATTTCAAACAGCTAACTGGACATTCTTGTTTGTGATGTGCAGGTCCGAACAGGCTTGGAGGTATTTCTTTTTGAAGTCTTGGTCCTGGGCTGCTTAACTAACAGTGAGGGGAAACTATGGAGAAGGAATCCAGCTCATCTGTTTCTAATTGAGCTTCTTAGAACAGGTTCAACCAGACAAATTCATGCAGAGCAGGTGAGCATGTTGGTACTCTCCATATGGTGTTTATCATTTTGAAAACAAAATAAGATTAGATTTTGTATACTGTTCACTGTGCCTAGGTCTAATGATATGTCAGTTTTTGTGTGCCAAATAGGAATTTACTTATCTGATTCTTATTCCTTACTCTGTTTTCACATTATTTCCTTGTTTTTTCCAGTCAAAACAAGGCCTGCTTGACATCCTTCCCACAATCCTCTGCCGACCTCCCAAGGAAGTCAGGACTTTGGAGCTGATGAGACGTCAGGGGACACTACAGAGATCCTTGGATCCTTTAATGGATATGCAGGTGTTTGCCAGTGATGGCGTGCAGAGACCCTATCAGTACTTGAAGAGATACAATGGGAAGCAAAGCTTAGATGACTTCACGTACCAGAAGGGATTCATAGAAGGAGACCCATCTGATTGTCTCTATTACCTACTGGCGTACTGTGGAGTAAAAGATCCATCCTGGACAGAATTGCGAAACTTTACTTGGTTTCTAAATCTACAGCTGAATGACTGTGAAAACTCCTTGTTCTGTGATCCTGTATTTGTTGGGAATCACCTCCTCGGCTTCAAGAGCTTCATTGTGAAGTTCATGATATTGATGGCACGGGATTTCGCCACCCCATCCATGGATGTGTCTGACCAAAGTCCCACATTTTCCTCCACAGATGAAGACAATGATATCCTGGCCCACCTGACCATCCGCAAGCGCTGGGAGAGCGAGTCTCACCCATACGTTTTCTTTAATGCTGATCATTTTACCATGTCCTTCCTTGGCTTCCATGTGAAGAGGAAACACTCAGGAGCTTGTGATGCAGTGGATCCTCACACTGGCGAAGTGCTAATGGGTAATGTGATGTCTTCTGAGCTCCTTGAGGGTCTCCAGCGTCAGGGGATCTCTCTCAGTGAAGACTTTGACGCTTTGCCGAGGGAGGACAAGATCCAGAGGCTCTCGTTTGTTGTAGGTGCTAAAAAGGGGTGGATAAAAGGGCAGTTTGATCCAGATCCCACTTATGAACTGACTGCTGACAACGTGATGAAGATGTTGGCCATACACATGCGGTTCCGCTGCGAGATTCCTGTGATTATTATGGGGGAAACAGGTTGTGGAAAAACCAGACTTGTCCGTTTCCTCTGTGACCTACAAAAGGGAGGACATCCAACAGAAAATATGAAATTGGTGAAAGTCCATGGGGGGACAACCGCAGAGATGATTTACCAGAAGGTGGAGGAGGCTCAAATCCTGGCTAAGAAAAACAAAAACCAATTTGAACTGGACACTGTTTTGTTCTTTGATGAGGCCAACACCACAGAGTCTATTTTTGCCATCAAAGAGGTGTTATGTGACAGGACAGTCCGGGGTCAGCCTCTGAAGCCAAACACAGGACTGAAAATTGTAGCTGCTTGCAATCCCTATCGAAAACATTCCCCAGAAATGATCAGACGCTTGGAACTGGCAGGACTGGGTTACAGAGTGAAGGCAGGAGAGACAGAAGACAGACTTGGTAATGTTCCCCTGAGGCAGCTAGTCTATAGGGTTCAGCCACTGCCACCCAGCATGGTTCCTTTGGTCTGGGACTTCGGACAACTCAGTGATTTTGCTGAACTTTCTTACACTAGACAGATTGTTCAAAGACAGGCCAGAGATCATGCACTGCCACCTACATGTACAGAAACTGTGTCAGCGGTGTTGGCAGCTTCTCAGAGGTTCATGCGTAGTCGCAGAGATGAATGTAGTTTTGTGAGCTTGCGAGATGTCGAGAGGTCCATGAAGGTGCTAATCTGGTTCTACCACCACAGTAGTCTAGTTTTCCACAATTATGATCATCTTAACAGCAATGAGAAGATTTTGAAATGCTTAGCTTTAGCAGTAGGCGTTTGTTACTACCCCTCCTTGGTTTCTAAAAGGGAATACCTCAACTGTATTTATAGGTTCTTCCCAGAACCTTTGAACAGACCTGACTTTATAGAAAAAGAGATCTCTTCATGTCAAGATGTTTTTCTTGAAAACATAAAGACAAGAGACACTGTGGCCAAAAACAAAGCCCTGAAAGAAAACGTCTTCCTGATGGTCATTTGTATAGAGCTTAGAATCCCTCTTTTTTTGGTCGGGAAGCCTGGAAGCTCTAAATCTTTAGCCAAGACTGTGGTAGCTGATGCCATGCAAGGCCAAGCCTCACACTGCAGTCTTTTTAAGAATCTGAAACAGGTGCACATGGTCTCCTTTCAGTGCAGTCCACACTCAAGTCCCGAGGGAATCATTGGCACCTTTTGGCAATGTGCCCGCTTCCAACAGGGCAAGAGCCTGAAAGAATATGTCTCTGTGGTGGTATTGGATGAGATCGGACTGGCGGAGGATTCACCTCAGATGCCTCTGAAGACACTGCATCCTTTATTGGAGGATGGTTGCATTGACAATGACAGACCAAAACCGCACATGAAAGTTGGCTTTGTAGGGATCTCTAATTGGGCCTTGGACCCTGCTAAAATGAACCGTGGGATTTTTGTGTCACGGTGGGATCCAAGTGAACATGAACTGGTGGAGACAGCCAAAGGAATCTGCTCTTCTGATAACACAGTCCTAATTAAGATCCAGCACCTTTTCCCAAAACTGGCCAGTGCCTTTCTGGGAATCTGCAAAGAGGTGGAATGCAACCAGTTCTTTGGCCTTCGGGATTACTATAGCCTGATCAAAATGATTTGTGCCCTGGTAAAGGCATCCCAGGAAGAGCCAACTGAAAGCCAGTTGGCAGAGGCCATCCTTCGGAATTTTAGTGGACGACTGGAAGAATTTGATCCACTGAATTATTTCCAGGATATATTTCAGGATTCTAGGAAGGTCACCCGCCCAAGCACTCTGTGGATGGTTGAAAAGAATTTAGACTACAGGAACCAGGAGGAAAGTCGCTACCTTTTGCTACTTACCACTAATAATGCCGCCCTTCACATCCTTCAGCAAAGCATATTCTCAAAGAAGGACCGTAACCCTCCTGAAATAGTATTTGGATCGGGGTTCCCTAAAGACCAGGAGTATGCTCAAGTTTGTCGGAATGTGAACCGTGTTAAAACATGCATGGAGACAGGTCGGACTGTGATTCTTCTTAATCTGCAGAACCTGTATGAGAGCTTGTATGATGCCCTAAACCAATACTATGTATACTTGGGTGGGCAGCAGTACGTAGACCTGGGGCTGGGAACACACCGAGTTAAGTGTAGGGTTCACAGAGACTTTAGGCTGGTGGTAGTGGAGGACCAGAATAAGGTATACACCCAGTTTCCTGTGCCTCTCATTAACCGACTTGAAAAACACCAAGTGGATAGGAGAGCCGATCTCACCACTTATCAAAAGAGGGTACTGAAGAAGCTTAAGGATTGGGTCCAAGAATTCATCTTTGTGGATGGAGAAAGGAAGGAGTTTCATCCTCATGATGTTTTTATTGGGTTCCATGAGGATGCCTGTGCCAGTGCTGTGCTGCAGGCCATGGAATGCAGACATCAGTGGAGGGACAAAGAAGTGGAAGGCCTGCAGGAGGATTTAAGTGTACAAGAGCAAAGTCAGGGGACAGGGACTGATGTAGAGATGGAGGAGCATGGTGAGTTTGGTGGTTCCTTTGAGGACACAATAGGAGAAAGTCAGAAGTGTGACACAGGTGACAGCGGTGTGCAAGCAGAAGAACAGAATGATGAGCCACTGGAAGAACAGATTGATATTGAAATGAAGGGGAGAGAGGGAGGAGACCCTATAGCTAAAGTAAAAAATGAACAACAGATGGAAGAAGAAGGAAGTGAAAGGGTGATGGAAGAAAATGAAAGTATGATGGAAGAAGGAGGGATTGTGAAGTGCAGTGAGGAAATGGAAGAAGATGAGGTCCTAGAAGCTGCCAAATGCTTCCTGCTGAGCTGTGCTACACCAGACTCAGTTTTGCGCCTCAAATACTCAGAGCTAAGCTCCCAGGAGAAGAAGATGCTCCAAAGAATGTATTTCCGCCAACAGCATCATCTCTCTCTCAGAGATTTCATGGAGAACCACATGAATAAGACTGAAGACCCGAACAGGTTCATAGAGGTAACTGATTCTTTTTAATAGTTTAACTGGTGGTGCATGTAATGTTTGTTTCTTTATCAGGTGTTATACTTATAGAATCTTCTGAGTGCTTTCTTGAAGGGAAAATAGAACAGGGTTAAAGTAATGTCTAAAATGTTTCTGCATTCTTTATATCTATATTTAATAAGTTTAACTTTTAAAATATCCTTTTTTCATTTAAATGCTTTTAATTTTTTTTCACCTGAAATACATACTATAAACTTAAATGTAAAATACATAAACAGAAAAGTTTTCCTCCTAACTTTGGAATTATATTTGATTTACTAATGATTGATGGTTTCAATGACCTCTGCTTTGATGACAATGGAATTTCATTATTTGCTCCTGTAGGTATCCTGTCCTTTTTGTCTTAAGATGTTGCTGTTAACTCCTGTTCGTCTCTGGCAGGTGACCACCTACTCCAGCCTCCTCACCCAGTCGGATGTGCGGGCAGTGGCGCAGGCTTTGAGTCTGGACACCAGTGGGATTCTTCTGCTTTCCCTGCACCAGTTTGACACCGAGTCCTCTTTCTGCAGCAACATACGGTACCTTCTGGAAATTTCTGATTTGCCTTCTTCATCTTTCAAATTCTCAGGCTTCCAGTGATGCTCACTAAATTATAATATTTATCTTCTGTTTATGACATTTGGGTCCAGTAGTATTGATATTTGTGCCAGCAGTCTTCTAAATTGTATATTTCTTCTATAAGGGTCATATTTATTTAATACATGTAAATGTATCCACAGACATTTGTTTTACTGCATATGTTCAAACAAAGACAAGAATGTTTTCATTTGACATATTTTTGTTTTATAGTGAATTTTATGTGTTCCTGAGTTACTCTTTGCCTGTTGTTCTGTGACTGTGCGGTTACAGGAATTTCCTGCGAGAGGACAGGGCTAGTCTGCGGGTCCTGCTTGTCCAGACAGATGTAGAAGAATCTGCGCACTGTGATGAGCTCATTGCCTCTGCCAAGTCAGTGCTCTTTCCTTTTCCTTCTCCAGTACTGCTCCACACAGCAGTCAATGCATTTTATACAATGTTAATCAAGGGGTCCAAGGTTTTGCAGTGGTCCCAAAATTTCTGATTTATTTAAGGGTGGCATGTGCATGTACGACAATATACACCCTCATTATCAGCTTGGAATAAAGATTGTTCATGTTCACAGCGTAAGGTCCTGATCAAGACACATAACCAGTGTCCAAAAATCAACTGGTCTCTTACATTAAGAATCAACAATGCATGAATGGCCATGTAATGAAGGAGGAACCCTATCACAATAGCTTTCTGTAGTTGAATAAGGCTTAGATTATGAATACTATCCTTATGTGAAACAGTTTTTCATGGTTATCCCCTCTTCTCCAGGTACTGTGCCATGAATGAAATGAGCTCAGTCGGGACCAGAATGTCCCAGTGCTACATGGTCTTCATCACCAAACTGTCCAGGATAGCAGGCGACTCCCAATATATTGGTTTCCAAGGAGGTAGTTTTGAGCATCATATAAGCAGATCACTTCTGCAATTTTTTTCTGCTTGACACCTTAATTCATACTATGAGATGCTATAGGTCCTTGTAAAGTTTTGTAATCAAAGTCACTCTTCCTGGAATAATGGTCCCTGATACATTTTTTAATAGTGTGAGCTTGTAAAAGGGGCTGTAACTGAGTCTTTATTAGCAACTCTGTAAGACTGTTAATTTATATATTTTATTTTTGCAGGCAGGTGGCTGTCAGTCCATATTGATGACCTGCGTGACACAGAGGACATGAGTTCAGACCTCTCTGCTTTCTGCGGCTTTCCTATCAGTGAGCTCCTCACCAGTTCTTCACAGCCAGGTATTCGCTGTGTGTGATATCAAAGACTTTCCTGCCAACACTTGCCCCTAACTAGTCCTCAACAACTCTAGAGAAGCTATATCAGAGAATTCTTTTCAAAATTGTATTAAAATTCTTTACCCACAAGTTAAATGACTCATCACTCATCAAGGCTTATCTTGAAGCAGATTTTATTTTAAACATATACTGTTCATGAAATTGCAGATTAGATGACCATGCAAAAGTGTATGGGGATTTTAGAAAATATTCCACATTTACCCTCCTTGTTCTGTGTATGCTATGTTTTAATATAGAATGCTACAGTCATGGCTTTGGACAACTGAAAGGTTGTAGGTTCAAGTCCAGTGTGGGGTACTGCTGTTGTGTTCTTCAGCAAAGCACTTCAGAGTGATCGAGTAAAATGCTACAGTATGTTGTAGAAATGGATAGACATTTAAGTTGTTTTCGATAAGAACATCATCCAGATAACTTCATAGTAATGTAATTTGTGCAAAATCTAATGTGGCTTGGTTTGTTTGTTGTTTGTTTTCAAATCCAGAGCAAGCTGGCAGTCTTGGAGACAGCATTGCTGAAAACCAAAAGGTATAAACTGTTTATTGGTAATTTCAGAGAATTGCACTGCAAGGGTAGGACACAGAAGGCAGAGAGAACTGTCTCACTGGGAGACAGATATTTATTTCAGCAGGTGATGATCCTGGCCATTTTCTGACTGTTCCACATGTCTGTGTCTGCCGTTTACAGGGAAGCAGTGCCCATCTGGATTGTGTTTCTCTGTTGAAGTCTTGTGTCCAGAGTGCTGTGGCTTTACTGAGAGACACTGATGATAGGGCCTCCCGCAGCATGGAGTGTGTGCAGATATTGCTGGGGCTCATGGGAAAAAAGCAGGGAACTCCAGAAGGTACAAAGCAATAAACAGCTCATTGACATTTTGAATGAACCCATCATCAAGAGGGTTTGTGGTAGGGAGAGGATGAATGTTAGAATTTGTCTGCTGAATGTATATATGAAATAGCTGCATGGCTCATTCAGTAAGATGCCCTTGTTGCTATTTAGTGGAATCGGCTTCTGTGACCTAGTGAGGAAAGGTGATCAGAACAGTCGGCCTTGTTCGATCTCTGTCTTTGCTGTCCTTCCACAGTGAGGTTTGTGCAGGTGCTTCTGCAGAGGCTTTCTCAGATGCTGGCACTGAAGGAGGAGATGGTTCCTTCGCCAGAGGAGTGGGTGAGCAAGGAAGCCAGGAAACGCCAGGCTCTGCAAGAAGGAGGCACCCTCAGGTACCCGGCCCTGGATTTGTAGATCTTTGTTCTTGCCCATTCTCTTCCCTTTGAAGCTCCTCGCTTCAGAAATGATAGTCTTACATTTGACCCCCCATAGAGTCTCGTTGTGAACTCATTGTGTTCATTGCAGTGTTTTGTGCAACACTGGAGTACGCATTTTATCCAGGCTTCAAGGTTTTTCACCTCTGATTTCTGGTTTTGCTTCTTTCACTCTTGGTTTTGTAAAAAATAACTAGTGGTATAATGTGATTCCCTACTGGAAGGGTTTCTCTGCACTGATGGGCATTTTCAATTCCAGACATACTGTGTGGCGCTGCCTACAGGCGACAATCACTCCAGTTCTGGCCCGAACGGTGGAGGTTCTGGACCGGGACTTCAACCTGGACCTGCTGCAAAAGAGTGAGCCTGGGAACTGGCTCACACAGATGTGGATTGACATTCTGGAAGACCACCAGATACTCGAAGACCACCTGATTTTGCCCCAGAACCAAAGGTAACTTTAGGTGCATTTCTGGCCTTTGAGCAAGAGTGAGATAGAAGCACTTCTTAATCCCAACCAAGAGAGACCTTAGGGCAATGTTAGCGTGTTCTTCCATGCATAAGGTAATAAATTATATGGCATACTTTATATTTCCCTGCAATGGTCTGGCATCCAGACAGGATAGGCACTGGCTCCCCTGCGGCTCTGTATTGGATAATGTAATTGGGAAACAGTTGCTTCCTAGTGGTCGCCTTCGTATATATGAGATGAAATAGGAATTAAGAGGCTCCTGTGTGTTCATGGTCAATCATAAAGTGACTTTTCTCACATTGCAGAGAATCCTTTATTAATTTGTATTGCACGCCTCTCAAGTTAGTGCAGCCCATAGTTCAGTGCAAACATAGATTTAGCAACACGATGGGATAGTTTCATTTTTGTTGTCATTATAGTACGCCATACAATTTTATGAAGAAAAATTACTCCGAGATAAAACTATCTTGCATTTTAAGAGACATTTGTCTTGTGATTAAATACACTGCCTTTTTTGTGTGAGAGCTTTCATCAGGGGTTTATCAGATTCCATCTGAAGCTAAAATGAAAACGTTGGGTATAACATGTACCCATCCTCTCTTTCAGTGTAGTGAATGAGGAGATCCCAGTGCAGCGCCATCTGTGGTTGGGGAAGCAGGCACAGCCCTGTGCTGCCCCCTTCAGCTGGTTGATCAGATTGCAGTGCGAAAGCATTTGGGAGGAATCGTATTATGTTCCAGGTTAGTGCCTTAAAAAATGTGCTTCTTCTAAAACAGAGCTCATGTTTCAAGACGCAGTGCACAGTTAGATGACTAGTCAGGATTAGTCACCCAGGATATTTCCAACCCCCTGCAAAGCAGCACCTCCAGCAACCTGTCAATCAATGTAAAGAAATAATTAGCAATTCCAAACTGGGTAGGTATGAAATGGATATGGTACACAAATCACAGCATGTCACTTATCACTTGATTACCAGAGATCCCTTTCTTTTCCAAAGTCCGTGTATTGTTCAAAATGCATGGGATGGATACATTTCCTCTTCATTCTGGGCTCTGGGTTGATTCATTTTGCAGCAGAGTACAGAAAGCAGTTACATGCCTTAATAATCTTTTAATTATCTTTTACTCTGTTTAGGGACAGAAGAGGACAGTGGACAAAGGATCCTACAGTTTGTGAACAGTTTTAAGAGCAGCAGGCTGGGCAGCTATATTACAAAACTGGCAGAGGAGGAACAGAGAGAGCTTGGCCACCGATTCTTAAAGGACTTCTTGCTCCTGTCCATCAATATCTCCTCCCAAGAGGAACTGAAGGTGGGCCGTGCCCTGTAAAAGCAAGTCTTGCTCCAGGCTTGTCCTTTAGTTTGTGCAGATAACTGATGATATGGCTTGTAGAAAACCATTCAATAAAATAAATCTATATGCCTGATATAGATTTGATATCTCTGATGAAGAGCTCATACTATGCTGTGAACCTGTCAGGGAATTGTCTTAAGTGATTGTCAGTGGTGATATAGTATCCCTTTAGAGTGCAGACAATGAGCAGGGCCTTCAAAAACGTAACCCAGTATAAGGGTTCTGTATAGATAGAAAAGATTGAAGGGGTGACATGATCCCTCATTTGTCTTTGTAGGTATTCACTAGGGCGGTGCTGAACTGTGTGTCAGAGCTACAGCAAGAAACAAAAGTCTCCTCTGACCTGTCTCCAGCCTGGATTGTAGCAGCTTTCAGACATTTTGGGCCACGACTGGTCAATCTCTCCCACATCCTGCAGCTTCAGCCTCACGTGACCAGGATTCTGCTGGAGGGGGCTCAGAGTGGGTCTCCTGAAATGGTAAGCGGTTGGGAAAAGGGTTGGGTAGATTGAATAGAGCATAGCTCCCAAACTGCAAAGGCTGCTTAAAACCCAGAAATGACGTCAGATTTAAAATATTACTTCTGTTTGTGCTATGTAGAAGAACAAAGAGTTAAATCAATAACTGTTTAAGTTGAATAGTTATGATTTATATGTATTACATAATTCTATGTTGCTGCTCTGTATCAGAACGAGGATGTAGTGGCTCTTGGAGTGTACGCTGAGGCGATTGAGAGACACGCCACTGGAACACTGCAGGAGTGCCGCTCCCTCCTGCAGAGTGTGAGACAGCTCCAGTCCTGTGTGGAGAGAGCATGTGGACAGAACTACAGCACACTCTGCAGTCCTGGGTGTCTCAAGCAGCTGGATACAATCAGGTGGGCTTAAAAACCCTTGGGCGTTAGATATCTAATTTTTAATATTTTGTTTTCACTATCAAAGCTGCTCTTAGTTGCGCTGGGTTTTGTTTTAGTGTTGTGAAAGTTTCTCTTTCTTTAAAAAAAATAGAAGAACTGATAATTTTGTGTTGTACCCATCTGATTTGGAAATGTTAATTGTGTGTTTTTCAAACTCTGGTGGTTACATCTTAATTTCAGGTATAATCTTGTTTTGTATCTGTGCTCTAATGTTACTGCTGTCTTTGCAGGTCTTTGTGGCAGGGAGTGCTTGTAATTGCAGCATTCATCCAGCAGGTGGTAGTCAGAGTGAGTATGACTGGAAACCAGAGACTGGAGGCTCTGGCTTTGAAACACTGCACACTGCTGCACAAGGTGAGATCCTGCTTCACTTTTATATTAATTCCCCAGCCCTGTTCTTCACAGTTGCCTTGCAAGACCTGGCTGTTTTCTGACTGGATGTGATTTTCTCTTGTATCCAGTTTATGCAAGGCTCCCCTGAACTGAGAAACAGAGACGCACTCCAGGGGCTGATGAGGGTTCTCCATTCCTGCAATGAGCAATCAAGCCACCTGGACTTCAGGTGATGGTGCCTTTTATCCTGTTAAACACCTCAGCCCAAGAAACTTTAACAGAATTTATGAGTTGGGTTTTTAGATTTAATGTATCTCCACTGCACTGTTCCTGACTCCTGTATGGAGTGATCTGTGGAATTAGGCATGTGTGGCCCATCCTTATCCAATGGGATTGTAATGTAATGCACTGTGGATAGGTCAAGTAAAGAAAGAGGAAGTAAAGAAAGTTGTTGCTGTTTTGCAGGTATGGCATTCAGAAATGTCCAGTGTGCCTCCTGGCTGTCTCCGAGCCAGCCATTCTCCCCTGTGAGCATGTTTTCTGTCTCACCTGCATCCAACATAGCATTGATGGGGACCGGCTGTTCTGTCCTCAGTGTAAAACAGGTCTGCCAGCAGATTACCAGCCAGCTGTGTCTGACAAGCTGAAGTAAGTAGGATTATACAATGCTATCCTTCCTTCCGTGCCTTGAGATGCTCCAGAAAAGCTAATTGATTGATCTGCCCAAATACAGTAGATGAGAAGATAACTAGACATTGAATTTAAGGAAATCCAACATTTTTGTCTAAAACATTATTAAAAAATGTTAGATCTCTTCCAATTCATGCTTGTGCGCTCAGCTTCAGTAGGCCTTTATGTATCTTGAAATCTCTATTGATATAAAGAAATATGGATATTATTATAACTTCTGTCCCTGGCGTAGGGGTGCCCTGCAGCACCATGAAATTCTTCGGAGACAGTGCAACTGTTTCTTCCTGGAGGTTGTGTCACGGTTCTGCCTCGCAGAGGAGACCTGCCCTGAGGAGGGCGTGGTGGAGCTCCTCTTCTCCCTGCTCATCTCTGCACAAGGTGAAAAGGGGGAGAGTGGAGGGAGGGAAGGAGGGAGGGAAAGGTGAGGCAACTGTGGATAGAGAGAATTTAAAGAGCGTAAAGACCAGGGAAAATGTTTGTATCATATGGTTAAAGGAGAAAAAAACCTGGCCTGGATTAAAAACTTTGCTCTGTTCCCAGATCAGTAATGTGATTGAAATGAGCTGTGATAGCTACTGTAGCTTTCAGATCTCAGGTGTAGAGAGCTCATACCAGGTACATTGACCCTGCTGGTGTGCTTCTGTGCCCAAAGGTGCTGTGTACAGGACTAGAGAGCTCAGCCCTTTCCTGGAGTGTGTGGACCACAGCCCTGTAGTTCGCTCTGTGCTGCCCAAACTGTTGCTGCACTACAGGTACCACCCCTGCTACTGTGCTATGTTACACATTTGTAACCTTGTATTTGACCATGGGAGAGCTGTCAAATGCTATGTGCTAGTAAGCTTATACTGCAGAACTTTCTCATGCAGGAAAAAACTTGCTTTCACCTGTGGGATATACAGTACTTCAGTGTTTGTACTTTAAACAAAGTATCAGTTCACAGGAGCTTTTTACTTCAAAGAAGAATGGGAGCCATGACCTGACTCTATCCATTTAGGGCACTACAGCACTGTACTGCAAAATAGGGAGAAGCTCTTGTTGAAATAAGTCATGGATCAGTCATCAGTTACTGTATGACTGGAATGTCAGCTGTTTCCCAGTGGTAAATTAAGAGAATTAAGGAATTAAGAAGGGTTACCAGTACTGTGTCTCAGTTTTGAGCAGGTGAAGGGTCACATCCAGAGGTACCTGCAGAACCTGGAGAGGAATGTTCTGGACCGGGAAGACCTCACTGAGCTGTACTTGCTCTTTGTCAACTGCTTCCAGGTAAAAGAATCAGAGAGCAGAGGGGATAACAAGTAAATCCCTAATTATCACTGCACGCTTTTTTCAATTTTGATTTTCAATTTTTAATGTGGTACATGGTTCATTTTAGACATGAATTATTAGTAAAATTATCCTCCTACACAAGGAATTTCTTTTATCTTTTATAGTGCAATATGTTGTTCTTCTCGTTCTTTTTAAAGTGAAGTCACTGAGAGTTTCAAGGCATTCTTTGCATTGTTACGCAGTGATAGAGTGGATCTAAACTGATCTGAAGTGAGTGCAGATAATTCCCTTTCAGAAAGAAAGACGTAAGGAGTAGATGAGCAGAGAGGGTTAAGGAATTCCTTAGAGGAACCCTCACTCTCCTAAGCTCCAGCAGGTTCAGTCAGATCTGTGCTGTGGCCTCTGTTCCAGGATGCCCTGCTCAGCCCAGGCCAGGAGGAGGGACATGTGTCGCAGAAGCAGTTGCAGGGGGCCACTCATTTTCTGAGCAGGGTCGCCCGCAGACAGACCGCAGGGTTCCAGGAGGATCCTGCAGAGTTCATCCAGACCATGGCACGACTGAGACTCTATCTGGGCACGGCTTCCAGCTTTCTGAAGAACACGTGGGCTAACCCAGGTCAGCAGCTCATCTATATCTCTTGTTGTGGTTGTTCTAATTTTGTTGTTGTTGTAAGTATTAATGCCGTGGTACTGCTTGCAGTATTACTCTCAGTTATATTAGAGACAATTGTCTAGTTGTTCCTATATTACTGTATATACAACATCTGTCATTGACTCTTTTTCCATGTATTAATAAGATCTCTATGCTGTTATGACTTACTTCTGTACTAGTTGTTACTTCAGTATTTAATAAGTAGGAAGTGGGTTTGGCTACACATACTATTAAAACCTGCTGCTTCCAGCAATTAGCCACTATGCTGTTTCTGAAGTTTCTTTTATTTAGGGACATTATCAATCAGCATATAGAAGAGCAGAGCTCTGTTGTTCCGAAATGTCCTGGGGTTGAGATGTGCCTACCTCCCCTGGCAGGGTCAGAGCTGGTCGAGGGGTACCTGCAGCAGGTGAGGGCCGTGTGTGAGTACTCCAGGAATGACTGGTACCGGGTCTACCTGCTGAGGGCTGTCAACAGACTGGCAGGAATGGATTGTGTCCAAGCTCTGCTACGAGATGCACATTGGCACTGGATTTTTCCTGCACAGGTCATTGAATTACAGGTAACAGGTTTATACTACAGTATATATAAGGTGCCATTTCATAAGGTCTCAATTGTAGGTGCACATTTGTATATGTGTTTATGTGTAAAATGACTGCTATTTTAATTTGCACAAAAACACCAGGGTTTTTAGGGAGAAATACCCAGAAATATCAATTGATGGCACTATAACATAGTTACTGAGACTATTGTGACTCCATTCTGACTTCATTTGCTTGTAAACAGTAGTTGAGATTAAAATGGTCATTATGAATACAGCCTGACAGCTTATTGATTGATGAGTGTTGCAAAACCATTGCTGCAGAAAGAAGTAAATCAGACAATTTGTGATTAAGTTAAGGGTTGACGACATTTTATTTCTGCAGAAACTTTCGTCGTTCTAATTGTTTTTAACTGAATTTCAGTGCAAAAAGTAAAAGGTTAATTACAAATGCTCATGTCATGGCTATAAATCAATCCATCATAAAGTAAAGTATCCATATACAAGTGTACAGTGGAACAAAATATTGTTCCTCCTGGTCCACGGTGCAAAAACAGACAGGACACTGACATAGACAAGATATACATAGTCAGTAAAAGAAACACTAATCCAAGAACAGATTAAGTTCTGGAAGGATGTCTTTATGCTGTGTTTGGGTTATGCTATGTTTGAAGTATTTAACTTGACGTATAGGCACTATCTTCTCTGGGAGTTTGAACAATTAAATAAAAACAATAAAAACTTTACATGCCATAAGTTTTTTGCTTTTCTCCAGAGTCATGCTCCTGCTGAAGTGGACCGCTTTTTGTGCTGTGGCCCTCACTACAAAGCCCTACGGGATGACTTGTGCGGGGCTCTGCTTCAGTCACAGACTGACCCCATCACTGCTGCTTTACAGGTCAGGGGATTCTGCATAACTTCATAATTCTTAACAGCCTGGTAGACCTCCATTTCTAGGGCTATAAAATCTGTTAAACAAGAGACGATTTCAGCACAATGCTGCTGTTTGAGGAGATACTGTTATTGTTGCAAAATTGCAGTAAGAACTTTAAACTCTCTTAGTTGAATTTTGTAATGTGGAGCAGGTGTTACTCTTTAGCAATAATAATAATGTTAATTTTGGACACTACACTCAAAGCGCTTTACAGGTAATGGGGACTCCCCTCCACCACCACCAATGTGCAGCAGCCATAGCGCACCAGTATGCTCAACACACATCAGCTATCACTGGGGAGGAGAGCAGAGTGATGAAGCCAGTTCAGAGATGCGGATTATTAGGAGCCCATGACTGGTACAGACCAGGGGGAAAGTTGGCCAGGATGCCGGGGTAACACCCCTGCTCTTTTCTAAAAACGGCCTGGGATTTTTAATGACCGCAGAGAGTGAGGACCTCAGTTTTACATCTCATCCAAAGGACAGCGCCGTTTTACAGTATTGTGTCCCTGTCACTATACTGGGGCATTAGGACCCACACAGTCCGCAGCCCCACGAGCGCCCCCCTACTGGTCCCACAAACACCACTTCCAGCAGCAACCTTAGTTTTCCCAGGAGGTCTCCCATCCAGGTACTGGCCAGGCTCACGCCTGCTGAGCTTCAGTGGGTTGTCAGTTGCAGTGTGATATGGCTGCTGGCATAATGAATAAAGGAATGAATAAAGAATAGGTTAAAAAGTGCTACTACAGCCTAAATAGGCATTTGAACAAAATGAAGCTGTAGCAATGAGTCCAGTAACACCATGCTTAATCTTGATTTTGTAGCCATTGATTTGTAAATATGTTGTTTTTTTATTATGCCAAGATTCTGTTTCTGTGGCCCAATGCTTTGCAGCTACAGTGTGTCACTCCAATAATGCAAACCCATGTAACTGCTTTACATCACACTCTAAAACAGCTTTAACTTTTTCATTAAACTTTTTTCATTAGACTTTAATACTTTAATGCACTATATGTATATTACTTTATTCATAAATATTTATTCTACAGTGCATTAGCAGAAGTGTGAACGGTTATTTTTAGTTTGATACTTTGAATACTGGATAAAATACTTTATCTGAAGCAATAATGGAAAGCATCAATGTATATCTGCTCCACAAACATACTTCTAATGCGAGTGTGTAGGCTGTATTAACCTGTTCGCGATCCTAACATTTGTAACTCTTTATCCTAACTCTTTTATGGCTTTGAAGCTGATGGATTCTTTCAAGAAACAGCTGAGAGAGATCCCTGGATCAATTAACCACTACTAAATAGAAAGATTACATTAATCCTTATGGAGAAAATTCATTTGATGTCCATTGATTCTTTATACAGTGTATGCATTATTCAAGAACACATCCCCAGAGTATACTGGAGTCACCGATTTTATTTAACTCTCTTGTTGCAGGAACTGGATTGTTCTTCCAGTACCGCACCTGTGCTCCTTTCCCTGGCCTTGTTCCGCCAGGTCACCTGTCTGTATGTATCGTCTGACCCCAGACTACAACCCAAGCCAGAGGTATGCAAGTGTGGATCTCTCCCAACATCCCCAACAAAAGTTAAAAGGAAGGCTTGTAGTGTGACATGCCATTGAAATGTTTTCTGCTGAAGAACAGTCCACACTTGGATTGTCTGGTTAACAGATTTGAATAAATGAGTCTTTGCTTATCAGTAGGCAGACTTTAAAGGTGAAGGTGGATTAATCAATGCGTTTTCAATTGTGCAGGAGACTGGGTTACTGCAAGACTTCATGAGAATCAGCCCTCTCCATTTGTCAAGGGAATACCAGGAGTTCTGCTCTGCACTGTTGACTAATGAGCTTGGAGGGCGTGGGTCCAGTCTTTCCATCACGCCAGCGCTGTCAGCTCAACGTCGCACTCTACTGGAGATTCTAGTGCATGCAGCTGCCATCTTCCTAACTGGAAACCACCTATTGTCACCTCTTCAGCAGATTGCCTCTCAAACACAAACAATGAAGGTGAGAAAAAATTGCAAATAAAAAATGAATGTGCACATTTTGGGACCAGCGGGGGTTCTGACAGATGTCAGGGCTAGAAAAGAACAAAACTACCGGCAAACTGCTCAATGCTCTGTGATCATCCTGTGTCCCCTTTTACCTGTTTAGGATGCCTTCCTTCCCACAATGCCTGATGATCACTCAGCTGAAGTTCATAGGTGGATGAAAGAGAAACTGCACTCATACCGTGAGTGAGCCCTGAGCTTGTCCTGTTGTGTGATGACATTTAAAAAGTTTCCTTCCATAATTATTATTATTTATTTAAAAAAAAAAACATTGTTGGACAATCTATGACATTTCTTAAAATAATTTCCAGGTGCTGATGTATTAGTCTCAGAAGAAATCAGATCTTTGATCAAATTCATTTTTCAGTTAGTATCTTAAGAAACAAAATATCACTGCACCTGCTGCTACTAACACTTAACTCTTACATTTTAGGTTGTGTCAATGGTCACGTATGCTTTGTTGGAGAGGTAAGATAAGACAAAGAAACCTTTACCTTTTTCTGTAATGTTAAACAGTATTGAATACAGGTTTAATCTGTATAGCAGTGAGCTAGAATTCAATACTGTGTTGTGCTACATTTTCCTAAGGATCAAAGTTTGAATCTGCTCACATGAAAGAATGACTTTCTGCAAATACTCAGATTAGTTTAAGCATACAGCATTATGGTCTTTTAACAAGTGATGCTTGATATGAAGGGTTTAAAAGTGTAATGGAAATTTATCTTCATTTCTCTGCCAGTGTGGAAGGCCAGTGGTTACATCTGTGTGTCTAGACTGCGGAGCACCCATTGGAGGCATCAGACACAACCCAGTTGAGGGCTTCATCAGAGCAGACATGTAATCTCCAGTTTATCCTTATTATGTCATTGAACCACAGAATGCTCAGAACAGGGCTCAGTACATCGTACTGTTCCAAATTCAGTGTCATAAACATATTTCTTGAAACTAGAAAATTACCGATTTTGTTTTTCTTATTAGTAGTATAACCATTGTTTTTGGGAGTACTTTTAAAAGGCAGGTGTCAGAGAGTGGATTAGCGCTCTCTCCAGCGTTCCAGTGTTTTGGGCTCAGTTCTGGCTTTGGGTGGAACTCTCTTTGGTTTCGGCATGTTCTCTGTGTTTTGTGTGGGATTTGGCCACTTTCCTCCCTTTTTGCAAAGACATGCTAGCTTAATTAAATATAGATAGCGGATTGTCCCTTGCTCTGTGACTTCTCAATAGTATACTAATAATGGACTGACTTTTAAAATGGTATCATTTAATCATGTCTGGATGTCAGTTTACTGCAGATAATTAGATTTTGGGATATATGTTTGAGTTTTTCCATTTTTCTTTTGTCTTTATAGCATAGAGGACCAGACACGAACTGGCCATGTTTTAGGGGAAGCACATGTAAGGTCAGATGTGCCAGACAGACAAATATCCTTGGCTGCCTTCTCCATACTGAGGCTTTTGACACACCTGGCCATGCTGCTGGGAGCACATTGCAGTCTTCAAGTAAGAAACCAATGAATTTCCTTTTTGTGTTAAATGTAAGCTTCGCCATAACTATCACTTTTGCATTTTCCTTTTTGACTGATCATTTCTTAAATTTATCTAGCCATTCAAATTGCTTGTTACATCAATTAATGGGGTGAATAAACAAAGCCTAAGAGAGATATTATAAGAACTTTAGGTTAGGAGTTGCAAGCTGTTTTGGTTTCTATGAGATTCTGTTTTGACTAAAAAATTATACATCTGTAACTGGCATTTTCTTGCACTGTTTTATTGTTATAGCCAGTCTCATTGTGCTATTTTGCAGTACACCTCTCTTGTTAGCTCATGAAGTTTAGATAACACTTGTTTACAGGGGATCAGAGACATGATATACCCACGTGTGATGGATGTGGTGCCATTCTTGTGGAGGCACCTTGAGAAGGACATGACAGTGTTGGGCAAGGCTCTGGACAAGAACATGGATGACACAGCCATCACTGTCCACCTGGTCATCCATGCCTTCCTGGGATGCACTAGAGGTGTGTGGTTAAAAAAAGAGACAGCCTTCCAAAAAGCCACCAATTGTTCATTTAAAATGATAGTGCTGGCCTGCTGTGAGAAGGCAGTGGGTGTGAGTGGCTCAGTTGGTAGTACCCTGGGCTATGGTTGAGAAGGCAGTGAGCTCAGTGGTTGCAGAACTACCTGTGGCATGGAACACTGAGTGGCTCAGTAAGTGCAGTTCTGAGGTGTGGAGACTACTGTGTTTGGCCATGCCAAATCTAGGCTGTAGAAGTGACAGTAGCCCAGTGGTAACTTAAATTTTCCTTTACCATTAGGATCCTCTGACATGAGCCGAGCATTGTCTTCTAAGCAAGCCAGGCAGCAGTGGGAAAAGCTGGTCTGTAATGCTGTGATCAAGCCTGTTTTGCAGGTGAGTCGAACAACCCTCTCAGGATGTGATTGATTCTGGATCACGGAGAGAAAAATACACAACATCATAGCTGTCGTTTCAAAGGATGAACAGGGAGAGTGCCATAATTATATTACTATTTGATTGATTTTTCTTCACATTTGCTAGAGCTTCACTGCGAGTCTTTCTTAAATTTGTAAGTATAGTTATATGTGAGGAAGAATTGCCAAAGCATGCCTATCTGAGGGTTTCAATTTGTCTATTTGATTTTTATTTTTAATGAAGATGTATTCAGGATCAATGGAGATTCTCAGTTTCATTCCTTCGCAATTGGCTCTGCAGGACTTAGAGCAGAAACTAACCCAGGCCCACGGGCAGATCAGCGCTGATGACCGGCTCAGTGGGAGTGTCCTGATGAAGGTGCTCTATGGAAACCCTGTGTCCATACTGACCCTCCCCTCGGACAGCCCCACTGACAACTCCAGGTTTTGGACCTGCCCCGAGAGGCTGACGTTGGAGCGCTTTACCCAGGTCCTGGACCAGAGTGGAGGATGGGAGGGCTACCCTCTGCTGTGGCTCTTCCTGAAGAAGGTACTATCTTCATTCTGTCCTGCTCTGTAATCCAATAGTGACATCAAAATGCAAAGGTTTCCATTGTGCATTTAATTCTGCCATAGAGATCCGTCTCTTTATTAATTATTTCTCAGATGAACTGTCGGGAATTGATGAGAGTCTCTTTGAACGATAACTAACCTGTTTTTTAGCACGTGTATTCAATGAAGATGGTAACTGTAATATGTCTGTCTTGTTTTTGTTCTCATAATCTGGATCAATTATTTTCAATAATGTGATCTGTTGTGCTTTTATTTTCTCTTATTTAACTGTTCAAGACAGATGCACCCTATGATCCCCAAATTAAACAAACCAGCCAGCAGGCATATCACTCTGCAGCCCACAGCTGACAACCCACTGAAGCTAAGCAGGGGTGAGCCTGGTTAGTACCTGGATGGGAGACCTCCTGGGAAAGCTAAGATTGCTGCTGGAAGTAGTGTTAGTGGGGCCAGTAGGGGGTGCTCACCCTGTAGTCTGTAATTGACCAATCATGTCCTTTTAGTAATCCCCATCTATGAACTGGCTCAGTTCTCCTCCCCACTAATGTGGGGTGAGTGTACTGGTGTACTATGGCTACCATTGCATCATTCAGGTGGGTTAGGGTTAGGTAGGGCTGCACATTGGTGGTGGTGGAGGGGTGTCCCCGTTACTTGTAAAGCATTTTGAGTGGAGTGTCCAGAAAAGTATATAAGTGTGAGCAATATGCATTATTAATGTATTAATTAATAATTAATACTAATTGCACAATTAATTTATAGTACAATATTATTGTTCAGCAAATTAAATTCCATTATTAAAGGAAATTAGGAAAAGGCAAATCTGTATATCAAAGAGTAAATCCAGAATTTCAGGAAATAATCAGAGCTGCTGACTGGTGTCTTGGTGAAATGTTTTTCTCCTTCAGGCACACTGTATCAGACACCTGAGCCACCTGCCTGAGTTGGCTGCCCTCCAGACTGACCTTCTGAGGATGTTTCCTCATGTGACAGTTGTTGGCTCTCAGAGCATCACCCAGATTCTCCAACAGCTGCCCACAGGTGCACAGCCAGTTCTGTTCAATACCTCTTTTGCTTGTGTTGTGCTTCTGGAGCAGTGTATTGGAAACAGCAGAGCAGATAGGTGCCTTGAAATGTCTTTGCATGGTAGAGTCTTGCAAATTTTTATACCTGTGCTCCTCCTTTTTGTTAAGATCTTTTTATCTTAACATTGTCTTCTGGGCATCTGAATCTGGTATCCAGCAGACTCTTTAAGTCTTTAAGTTACACTATAAAGAGCTCTTCACAGAGTGTTAAAATGATCTCATTTAGGTTTCACTCAGCTGGTTTTTCCCTTCTAAACAATCTTAAGGTGTTGACAATTTAAATACAGTAGAGGTAGAACACCCACTGCATTCTGGATCCTGCGGATGAGAGTGGGGGACCTCTGACTAAGTTTATAAGTCTGTCCCCCCCTTCAGGCTATCAGAAGAAAGTGCTTAAGAGAAGGGTAAAGGTCTTCATAAATGTCTGGAACCAGCTGAGGACAGAGATTGCAAACAGCAGTGAGTATTCTCCTATATTCTTGCGTGTGCTTGCATTAAAACAGGTGGAAATCTATTTGTATGCTTATGCACACAGGACCGTTCCTTGTGCATTTTTTTACTAGAGTATACTATACAAGAAGGTTGAGGTACAAGAGAGAGTATTTTTTGTACCTTAAGTACCAAAAATAATGCTAATTATATTTTACTGTCACACAATGGGACAATTTTAATTAAATGTCTGATGTCACATGGCATTTCTAAAGCAAACAAATCTTTAATACCAGCTGCTGTAGTGAAGTAAGCCAGAACACATCCTCCATGTGTGATTTGGAAGACTTTAATTTCGAGAAAGGAAATCGGTCATCGAAGCAGATGTTGTCCGATGAGATGGATAGAGACTTCAAAAGCAGATTTAATTTGTTCCATTTGTTCCAAAAAGCACTGCATTATTAGCAGTTTAACCTGTCTGCACCACCGAGAAAAGGAGTTGTGTGTAGGCTGTGTCTCTCAGTGATTGTGTCTCCGGCTCAGAGGAGACAGGTGTCCAGCAGGAGCTGTGTGAGGCTGACCTGAGCACAGACAGCTCAGCGGGCTTCCTGTCGCTGTGTCGAAGAGGGCCCGGCTCCTGCCTCAGCACCCTGATTGACTTCCTGACTGAAACCCACAACAGCCTGGTGAGAGAGGCCCGGAAGGAGGCCCCAGAGACAGACAGGTCAGCGCGCACACTTCATTGTACTCTCGACCAGGATATGCACACCGATTAAGTTGGATATATTCAGTGTGTACATTTCACAGATTTTAAATATGAGGGGAGACTTACTGTCTACAAAAGAGATAATTCCTTTCTTTACCCCTATAGGTGGCTCTTCTTTCTAAGTTAAATAAAAATGAGCGTTCCTCAGGAGAGCAGTGGCCCTGAATGTACAGAATAATATGAATTTAGTCTAAATCTCTCCAGGGCCTCATTCTCATGCCTTGTGTCAAGACACAAATGTACTGCCACCTTTGTTCCTAACAGCAATTACACTGTGTCCCTGGAGGGAGCATCTGAGACCCAGCTAGCTCTGTGCCACCCTGAGCGAGAGTTGCTGCCCCTAGTGTTGGCACACTGCCACTACACCCTGAAGAAAGGCCAGCAGACTGTGAGCAGCTTCGACATGCAAGGAATTGAGAATCAGCTCTCTCGCAGCTTTCTTGCAGGCAAACCACTCATCATGACGGTAAGACTATTGACTGCTGGGTAGTGGGGAAAGAAAGGGAACTGTTACTTAGCAGTGGATGGTGGGAGTTACAGAACAGAGCACTGCAGTTGTATAAAGCGTTCTTCATTCACAGAATAAATTAATGCATTCATATTTTAAATGCTTTTATTTTAATTTTAATACTGTCCTATTTAATACTTTTAAATGCTTAAATTAATATTTTAATGTTATCCCAACCAGCTCCGGTTGTCATGGCAATTAATTAAGCTGAAATGTTGGGTTTGAAATGTCAGGATTCGTCTGAAGGATTTCTAAAATGTTTCGTGCCTTTTTTCTTTTTTTTTTTATAGAACACTTCAAAATACCTCAACAGGCACCAGCAGGACTTTTCACAGATCTTAGCTGGAGTCCGAGCGAAGATCCCTCAGGCAAGGGTTTTGATTGAAGATTTTGTTTTTTTGCCCAAGTTAGAAATGGTAGATAGACTGTTCTAGTTAAGAAAATTATAATATCACGTGTGATGGAAGAGCTGCTCTCTTCTTGTGACAAACACAAGCTCTGTATCTTTCAGATGCAGGTTGACTCTTCTGTGAGACAGGCACTAATAAAAAGCTGAATGAAGTGGATGTGTGTGGCATTCAGCATGGCAGAGACCAGTGTCTCGTTCCAGTCAGTATCATGATCAGCACTTCCTATGGGTGCACGTCCTGCTGACCACTGACAGCTGCGTGCTGTACTTGCAGGAGCCCTTGAAAGGCTCAGTGAGCAGTGCCATGAAGACTGTGCTCCGCTCCTACACCGACGTGTGCGATGCTGTGTTTGCTGTGGAGATTGGTCTACGGTTCCTGGGCAAGACTGGTGGGGAGGCCAAGGCACCACTGCTGCCCTACCTGAGGAACATGCTGAAGATGGGCAAGCAGGTCTCCAGCACTGTGGCCAAGGTACAAGGTCTCTCCTCTCAGTGGTGTGCCCGTAGGGCCAACCAAGTACCATCTGATTCCCTAAACCTAATGCAGTTTTCTACATTTGAATAGCAATTCACATACCTGTACACTTGAGCTTAATCATGAGTTAGCGGGGATTGTGCCCTTTTGCTGAAAGCCCTTCAATATGATTGCTATGAACTTAACCCAAAAGGATTAGCCTTTTTATTCAGTCCTGTCCAATCACAGGTTAAGGTGGGCTTTGTCCCCACCAGTTACATGTGAAACTGGATATTGTGGAGACACTTGGAAGCATGCTGGTTGAAAAGAAAAGGGCTCTTTTATGGGACTGTCCACTTGTTAATCAGCAGGCCAAAGGAATGTTAAAGAAAAGCTTCAAGAAAGTGCTTATAAATAAAAATGTCTTAATTGCTTTTGATTGACAAACTGACCATGAGGTCCACCACTAGATGGATTTAGTGGGTCTTTACTTTTGCTGGGGCTTCTTTGTTCTTTGTTTGCAGGCCTTAAATGAGTGCTGGCTACAGCACATCACATCTGTATGGCAGCTGCTCACCTCTTGGAAGTCAGAACTGATGCTGCAGAAAGGAAAGGTGAATATTGAAGCTGCACTACTGGATCATTTCATCTTGGCACCAGCTGCATGGGCTCTGCAGTTTGTTTCTAGGCCATCATGGTATTGCCTCAGCATTGTTTAAGACAGGCACCGGGAGGGTCATGAATTCAATGTGTCGACGCTGTTGTAATTACGTAAAATCTCAAAGACAACTTTAAATTGCATTTAGAGACCTTTAAAATCAGAATTTTATTGAGTTGATTTTATTCTACCAATGAAAATGTTCTGGAGGATTTTTATTTAAGATCTCAGGGATCCTAGTTTGTGGAACTGCAGGTGCTATGCCTGGAGTCAGTGCTCAGCTCACCTGTATCTTTCTGATTCTGATAGGATCCCTTTGAGAGACTGCCGAGAGAGTACCAGCAGAGGCTGACGGAGGAGGAGATGAGAGGGCTGAGGGCCTTCCTCAGAGTGACTGATATTAGCACCTTTAACTTGGAGCTACATGAGATACTCTTGCTCAAGACAAACAATCCCAACCCCGAGACCAATTACCAGCCACACTGGGAGTAAGATTCCTTATTTTTACTTTACACATACCTTCACTACTTTTCTTTGGTGGTGTTTTTGCCATGGTGCAATTTATATTGCCGATTATTTTAGCTCACACATTTGTAATTGATTATTTTTGTCACTATACAAGAATCTTTCTTGCCTGATTTAAAATGAAAGTTAAATTATATCCAAAAAATTGAAAAAGCTGTCTCCTTTTCTTGGCTCCTCTAATAAATGCTGGTTGTTGGACATCTGGAACCAAAATTCACCCCCTAAATTTTCACATGTGGGGCACATTTCACTTTGAAACTAGAATAACTTTCTAGAGCCTTACCTTAAAACCAGCATGAGATTCGGAAATGTGGGTGGTCTCTGCCTCCAGCATGGAAACTACACCTGTAAACAGATAAAAGGAGAATGTATTGTATAAAAACAAAGAGTTAAAGAGCTGTTCTTTTTTTTTTGTTTCAGTCTGTGCTCCACTCTAGAGAACCATCTGGAGAACAAGCACTGCCCTGCACTGCCTGGTCTGGAGGCCCTGTCTGATTCCCTCACACTGAATAAGGGACCAGATATCTGGAGGCTAGCAGTAAAGTTCAGAAGCTGACCTGGAGCTTCTTCCAACACGTCCCAGCTCTAGCCAGCATGGCTGATCTGTCTTCTTGTGCTTTTCTTTCCACTAGACTTTCTGGTGTGTCAGATCCACGTACACCAGTACAGGAAGCAAAGGGCTGTGGGAGACTGGAACAAACTACTCAGTCATGTTTTTGAAGCTGATACCCTGGCTCCTCTCAGGAAACTGAATCGTCAAATCAATTAGCTGATAGTAACTAACATTTACTGTCCTCCTCTTCTTTGTAACCTTTCTTATGCTGTTATGATACCATTCCTAACCAGTCGTAATGTTTGCTGAATCATATATTTTTTGGGATTTCTGGGATGCAGAATAACTTGGAAGACATCTTAGATAATGCTTTGGACTTAGAAGCACATTATTTGTACATCATAAGACAATTAATTGTTTGAATGAGGTACTTACAGTATATGCATATAACAGGAGAGTGCAATGTACTATATAGCAGTAGTGTGGACTAGAGGTTAGGGCTTTGAACTCTAGAACAGAGAATTGTGTGATCAAATACTGGGTGGGGTGCAGTAAAGTCAATGCATGTTAATGTGTAGAGTGATTAATAGTTGTACCCAGGTTGGGATGCTATACACATGGTTCCATTTTGCCTATAATGAAGTGTACTTCAGTAGTTACTGAATAATGTATGAAGATTTTTTTTCTTTTTGAAATTTTGTATGTTTGAATTTTGAGATGGATGTAAAGAAACTGTAGAAAAGAGACACCAGAACATCAAGGCACTAAATCTGATACTGTACAGTATATACTGAAAAAGAAAACTCCCGCAAGTAGAAAAGGTACTTTATTTTTCTTGACGTGAATTCATGTAAAATGAGTCATGTAAATGTAAATTGCTTTTTGTATGCTGCAGTTTTTTGTTGTGCAATAATGAAAATTATTTTGGACTCAATTTACTTTTAATGATAGATAAATTTCTTTGTACAGTATATAAGAAATTGTTCAGTCTATACTGTTAGGAACTAATTAATTAAAATCCCCCCAAAATTATAAACCAAAAAAGATTTAATAAAGTATTGACTTTAACCTCCCCACAATGTGTCTTACTTTTTTGTAAGCAGAAATACATACAAATCTAAAGATAATGAGTTTCTTATCTTCAGAAGACATATTTCAGCTGGAGATTATCTGGAGTTACAGAAAAGTAGAAAGTAGTGGCAAAGAAATTATCATCTTACAAATTATTATTGATTATCAGAACAGACTAGTACTGGGGAAGGAGATGAATTTGTTAATTTATGACACTAAAAGAACAGATTGTAGCACATTTCATACTTATCCCACACACTAGGAATAACATCATTTCTGTGAAACTGAGTAGAGGAGAAATATTGAGAAGATACACAGATTCCATGATTGCATTAACATCCAATGAAAGAAATAGTTGATATGTTAATATGATAAAAAAATGCATTATAGTTGTACTACATTCTTTGAAATTGACTATACCCCATTTTACAGTATGCACCATTAAATTTAACAGGTGCCCTACATACTGTACAGTACATGCAAATAAATGATAAGAAAATAATGTCCCCTTGATCTACATGCTTTTAAGAAAGTTAAAAAGCCACTACTTTCTCACACCCCAAATCATTTTAAGTTACAACAGTCTGTCCATCTACATACTGTAAGTAGGTATAATATTCCCCTTTATCCAAAAAAGCATTGCCTGTCTCGAGGACATCTGCCTCACTTTATGCCACACCCCTTCTTCTGCAGCTTCAACCAACCTTCAGAACTGAACACGCCCAAATATCTCCCGTTCCTATAACAGGCAGTCCAATTAACCTATCAGAGCGTCGGAATCCAGAAGCTGGGGTTGTGCGTTTGCCAATCCCAACATGTAGTAGGCGGGGCTCCACTGTTTGCTGGTTGCTACAGAGAATGTTATGCTTCGTTGTCGGTTGCAATAGTTTTTTTTCTGGTGTTGGTGGGGTTGACATGGGGTGTCTTAAACTTATCCAGTTGTTTTGTTGTAATGTTTGAGAGAAGTGGTTGTTTATAGTGGTCTGTGGTCTAATGCGCAAGGTAGTTAAACGTGGCAAGAGATCAGCCTAATGAGAGAAAACTGTTTTAGCATTGTTTTTGATCTATCAGAATCACGTAGTGTGCCGTTGTTTTCAGCCCCTACTGCTATCACCGAAAGGAAAATACTTTATGTTAAAGATGTATACAGTACGTTGTGTTTTTAATTGCGAATGATGCCAGGCGTTTTATGTTGACCTTAATTTTTTTCATGCTTGGAAGAATTTAACGTATTTGCGCTTTGTAAAGAGCTATCAGATTTCGTCTCGGTTTTCTTAACCGAATCTTAATCATAGATTAATTTTCTAAACCCCTCACCCTTTCTTAAAAAAAGGTAATGATTTTTTGGGGGGGAGGTCAGAGTAGCACTATTGTGTAGTTACTGAATTGTTATTGCAACAGTTGTACAGTTTTTTTATACCTGTCAGCCAAATCTACGATTTCCTCGCTGCCTGCTTTTGAGACCTGGACAAGGTAAGATATTAAACTTTAATTTGTATTTTGTTTTATGTATTATAGCCAGGGTATGTTGTAGTATACGTCTGCCGCCGTCCTAAGGCATTTTTTAAAATTTCTTTACGCCTGTTTTTTCACACGCACATGTATTTAGTTTGTTGCCATTGTCTGCTCTTAGAACAAATGGTAAACTGATATTGTACGAATAACCTGTAAAGTATGTGTTACTTCACCATTGTGCAGTATCACATACACGTTTTAGGATAGTGGAAGCTAATTGATCTCGGCCTGTGTTCAAGGCAGTTCTTGAACAGCAACCTCAAAACATCGCCTGAACTTACTCTGTAGTGTAACTTCTGAATGGTGGCAGGTTTTTAGCTTCTAATAGTGTGATTCTTTTGACCGTCTGTCTGTATATTGCTGGACATTTTAATGTTTCTTTCTTTTCTGACAGAATAACAGTAATGTAACACTGCATTTCTAGAATTATAATGGTTGTTTTTTTTTTAATTTCCAATGACTCTAAAAAGCGAACAGCCTTCTGTTTGTCAATACATGTTCTGTTAAAGATATGGGGGATTGTGTGGCATTTCTGTAATGGCATGCGGCCAGGCTTGGAAATGCATGGGAATTAGCCTAGCTATCTCTTGTTTCCATCCTCTTTCTCTCCAATAGCCCATCACTGACAATTTTACCATTTCCTCCAAATGTTCTGCCTTCCTGGAACAGACATCATTGGCATCTTCAAGGTATTGGCAATGAGGTCCAGAAGCCATACACCCACATTTGGAATCTGTTTTGCTAGTCTAATTGCCTATACAAGATCTAAGGCAAGCACCAATTTGTAGAGGAAGATCAGTTCAAACCAGTATGTGGAAATATGCCTCTGCATATGCAGGCCCCCATTTTGGCAGCTGCAATGCCCAGAATATAAGTTCACGTGAATCAGCTACGGTTTGTAGTTTTGCAATGAGAAATGTTAAGAAAACAAGCGTGAGCTTGTGTGGATGTCAGTGACTGTAAGATGTTCAATGCTTATAAAAACTAAGAGTTTACATGCAATTTAAAAAAAAAAACTAAAAGCAGTGTGCAATATTACATACGTGATATGCATAACAGAAGTAAAAAAAATACACTGTAAACATAACAAAAAATGTATATACTGTAGCAAATCAAGATTTAAAAATGTCCACAGTTGCAGAGTCTCTAATGAATGTGGGCAGCAGGTTCCGGTACTGTGGTGTTGCACAGGGGAAGGTTCTGTCACCCAACGTGTGCAGCCTTGTTTCAGGTGGAATAAAAAAAAAAACTAATATAAAAACTAAACCTGCAGATCTCAGATTAAGTGTTGGCCTGGAGTGACAGTTAAATGCCTTATGTTTCAGCTGGAAAATCTTACAAAATGAACTATTTTGCACGTTTTGGTGTTTTACATCAGAGCACCATGGCTCATGTTGGAGATCTTCCATTCCTCAACACTGTGAAATTAAATCAAGCTATAGCTGTCTTCTATCTTATTCCAGATAACTGACAATCAATAATTAACAATCAATATACTGGTTGTGTGACTGCACTGTGGTGGAGAGGGTCTCACATAGGGTGGTGTTGCATTAGGATTTAGAAATTCTAAAGGAACATCTTTAGATTCAAGTCTTGATGTCTTGTTTTGCTTTTCTATTGATTCCCTTAGATTGCTCTGCCACACTGAATTAGCAGCAATAATATCTCTTTAACACTGTTGCCTGAATGCTTAGTGCTTTGGTTACAAGTTAAAATTATTTATTTAGGTGCAGTCAAGGTGGATGATGCTGTTTCAGGGAGGACTTTTTAAATTGCATTAAAATGCATTAAAATATTAGCTGACATTTAATCCTAGAATTGATGCCCATTTTCTCTGAGCATTTATGAGAGCCTCACATTCTCACAGGCAGTGTCTAGAGTGCTAGTTGCTATGGGTAACGGTGCAATGAGGAAAAAACATTTTGTTTAAAGGCATACTTGAGCCTTCTGTTTAAGAGAAGCAGGGTACAATGTATAGCATATTGCTCCTTTGTTACGTGACTAACATTTGAGCTTTTTACAACTGAAAATCTAAGACTGAAAAATAGGATTTTGGCTTGTTTTATTGCATTTATTTTTAAAGTTCACAATTAATTTTCCCCCAAGGTATAAGTTGTTGCAGAATGCAATAGAATGCCAAGTCTATAAGTGTAATGGGTCAGGTTGTGTTTGTGTTGGCCGGTTGAACTGGCACTTTGTTTAGAGTTACACATGTTTTTGTCTGAGATAAAAGGCAGACTTGTTGAGTGGCCCTGGCCTGTTTTTGTATCTGTGCAGGTGTGTGAGGATGCACACTGCCCGCAGCCCCCCATCTCTACCTGGTAATGCCTCTGTGGGTGCAGGCGACGCGCTGGATCTCAGCCTCACTGGTTCTCAGCTCTCTGTGTCCCGCCGGCCCAGCAGTGCCTTCCAAGCCAAGCACTTCTCCCGCTCCGTCTCCCTCGCCTGCGACGGCAAGGGCAAGCGCAATGCCCTGGTGAGGAACAGGCCAGTGTGTCGGGAAGCGCTGGAGCGCAATGCAGAATTAACCAAAAGTTCCAAGAACCCCATCAGCTTGTTGTTACCTCTCTTTCCAGACTGAGGCTGGACTGGCTAGCACTCGCTCCATTAAGAACCTGCGCAGATCTAACAGCACTACCCAAGTCAACCAAAGACCCAACACCTCTGTCAGGTACATTCTTCCAGAGGAGGTTTGCTTCCTCCCTGCACCCAGCCCTCGCAGTCTTTAACTTTTTGTTTTTGAACGTGTTCTCTCAATCAGGTGCTGCACGTCTAGTAGAACAATCCAGTTCCTTTGGAGCCAAATATAGGAGCATCAATGTAGATTATTTAAAACTTTCCTTGGTGCTGACCAATCCTGGATCTTCTGTTGGTTCATTGACAAAGTTTGCATGGACTGGTTCTTTAATTTGTCACAGGATTTAGATATGGGGTTCAAATTGGCGGTTGTCTGAGATAGGTACAGCCACATGACTGGTGGAGTCAAAGTTTTTGCTCATCGAAAAGCTTTTGTTTTCCACTTGGGTGTTTTTAGTTGTGTTGACGTTCTGGTTGAAATTTTTAGCAGTTTGTTTTCGGTTTCTGAAGTGACACTTAGTAGTGCCTCAAGCAAGCCCAGGCAGATTTAAATGCAGAAGGCAGGAGTGTGTGGATTGACTTTGGAGCCTAGGATTCTTTGCTGAGTAGGAATGTGTGTGGGAGCCAGGGAGGGTTCAAAATGCTGAGCCATCCATAGCCTGAAATGTGGATCTAGGCTTTCCAGTTGATCCTTTGACTGGAGTTTGTCCTCCAACGGCAACAGCTGGTGCTGCAGTCAGACAGATTCCCCTTTGCAAGGACAATAGCCATTGAGGAGCTTGGCTGTGTATAAAGGGCTGACTGGGGACTGTTGTCAGGGAGCAAGCCCTGGGCAGCAGCATGTATTGTATGAACCTAGAGGGGGAGGGTTAGAGTTAAGTTTGATGAAAGGATGCAAATTGAACGGGTAAGTTTGTGCATGCAAGGGCCTCATTGTCCAGCAGCTGCCTCTGGTCCTGAAATCTCCTGGGGCCAAAGAACAGGGGGCTTAAATTGAGGAAAATCCCTGTTTCTTCACTTTATTGTAAAGTTAAATGCAAAGGAATGTGTTTTTTCAGTCAGTGCTGTTGAATTCCTTTTTAGAGAGCCAGCTGGCTTAGTGAGTATAGGCGCCAGCACAGATGCTATAGGAACGACTGTTCTGTTTTGGGGGCGGGGGGCATGTATCTGCATTCATTCGGATTCAAAGAGAGGCAAAATTTGAATGTTGAGTAAAAGGTAAGCAGAGTATGTATGTAAGCTCTGATTTGCAATGTACATGTAAAAAGAAGCACCACATGGTAAAATGCCAGAAGGAATCATCATAAGATTTATATGTATCTGAATGTGTTTATGCATTTGAATTCAAGCTTTTTCTTAGAATTCCCTTTCAGGTTATTTAAACGTCTCTTTCCCTTCAAGCTCATATTATTATATAGATTACAGATATTATTATGAAATAGTATGATGAAATATTATTATTAACATTATGAAACTGAGACCTTAGTATAACATTATGAAATTGAGAGTTTAGGGAGTGTAAATTAAGTTATATTACAGTATGTTAAGTATTGCTTAAAATCACTGCAGATCAGGGAATTTCTATTAATTATAGGCATCAAATGTCAAATGTGAAAAGTAAAAGCTAGTTAAATCTGTCTCGGAGATCAGTTTGTTGATCTTACTTTTACATTGCAACACATAACAAAACTGAACACTTTCTTAAGGCAGATGTGTTATTGTGGTGTGTTGCAGTGAGGACCAGTCGGATGATTTCCTGGCTTTGTTTGACAGCAGTTCAGATGGCAGAAGGAAGCTTGCCAGCCTCAGCAAAGCCTCCCCAGACCGCACCACTTGGAACATCTTGGTAATCCAAATAACACTGGAATCCAGACCAAAGTTCTGTGGGGGGAAAAAGCACATTATGAATCCTGCAAGGATTGTGTTTTTCGTCATTAATGCAAAACGCAAAACATTACTGATATTTCTTCTCGATTTCGAATGGTAACAGGTTAATTGTGTACTAAAAGTTATGTAATCTTGTACTGTACATTTAAAGTGTCTTTTTTCTCGTTATACTGTTTATGTCACCCACATACATTACTGTGCCTCTTCTTCATAGTCTTAAATATTAATGTGGTGTGCTGTTTTCTCTGTTCTAGGATGACCAGCCTCGAGCCTTCCCTACACCTGGCAGTGCTCGCAGTACCAGCACCGTGGACTCCCCTGTGGGTATGAAGAAGAGAGAGGCTGGTATCGCTCTGGCTGCCAACTTCACAGCCAACAACAGGTCAGAGCTGCTTCTGTGCCAGTCAGGTGTAAACGTGCTCCTCATTCTCATTTAATGAAATAATAGGTGAATAAAATAATTCAGTTGTCCATCTCATTGATTTGTGTAACATTCACTTATGCTTGGACCTTTTCCATGTTCTCAGAGAGCTGGTGCCAGTGTTTATCATTTACACAGCATGGTGTGAAATTCTTGCCACACCCTTTTTTTTGGCATTTATCTGAGGCTTTTTTTTCTTCCCTCTCACTGGTTCAGGAGCAACAAAGCAGCAGTGGGGAACTCTGTTACCACAATCCTCCACAATAACCACTCTGACAAGACATTCACCCCAAAGAGCTCCAACCAGAAGCCATCCCTCAAGTGAGTTGCATTATCTCCCTCGCATGTCCCTACAGACTTCTCTAGAATTATTCCTGAGAAAATGGAAGCCCACATACTTCTTATCTTCTATGTCTTTGTGAACTTTTAAGAAAACCTTAACAGGCATATTGAAATTGTGTTTACAATTCTATTGAGTAACCATTGTATATATCATGTGAGTCAGGTTGAAGTGTAAATTGTTGATTAAGCAACAAAAATGAGTGACAATAAATTGGTAAACACAAGCTAACCATGGTTGTACATCTTGTGCCAGGTAATCCCTTTATTTTGTAACAACGCAATTAGATTGCATCATCCCCCTAAACTGCTGGAGTTAGTCTGCCAAGATTTTCATCCTGTCTGCTGCAGTGTTTTGTACAATAACGCCATCTGTCTCCCTGGTGTTTACATCAGTAATATTATCAAGGCCACAGTCCATGATGAGGGCAGTCTTGAGAATGGGTCCTTGACCAAGTCCCAGAAGAACTTCTCCACCAATAACAACATGGCACTCGGCAGCCCCACCCACCTGAGGAGACAGGAGGTGACGGAGGAGGAGGCTGAAAGGTGAAGTCAGTCAACCTCAGAGCTACCAAATAATTGCTGCCAGCCATGATGGTTGGTCTTGCGGCAATTATGGTGTCCCTTGAATCTGTTTTAGGTATTCTTTCACTTTGTATAATACAGGTGTGTTCTTGAAGTTGGCAAAAATGAAGACTAAAGCAGCAATTAAATATGAAATAAATGTATTTGAGTAAATATATATAGTTACACTGCTTACAGTGTAAATGCTGTTTGCTTGGTGAGTAAAACAGAATTACTTGAGAATCTTTACATCTAGAAGACCAATGTTCTGGATTGCCAGTAAAATAATAAACCTCACCCAATAAACTTTACCCAACACCTGTCCGCTTCTCAAACTTGGTCAACTATCTGACTAATGTACTTCAGTGGGATTAATATCGGAGTGCTAAGTCTAGCTCACTTCCTTTTGATAAGGGTTCTTGTTGAGTTGCAGAGTGAGAAATGTACTGACGCCTTGCCTGTCTGTCTGTGATGTCACCAGGTTTATCCAACAGGTGAACCATGCAGCGGTGACCATCCAGCGTTGGTACCGACGACATGTGCAGAGGCAGCGCGCGGGTGAGGCGGCATTGAAACGGCTTCTTGCCACCAAGAAAAGGGTACGCCTCACTGTTTAATCTGAGATTTTGCTTGGCTCTTGATTCAGATGCATAGGCTAGCTGAGATGCTGGTTGTGCCTATGGCATTAATATTGCTGTGTTAAGTGCCTTAACCTCTGCACATAGGAGCATTGTCTTATGTCTAAGGTTACTGTTGTAAGGCATTACAGTAAACTGACTACATGAGCAAGGCTGTGAGCTTGTTTCTGAAATGTTCAATAAATTACAGGAACACAAACTGTTTTGTAGGAGATAATACAGTCTGGCAGATCTTCAAACAGTGTATAACAATTGTTACAAACAGTTATAAGCTGCATTGAAGGTGCATGGATTCCAGACTCAAATAAGTAAATGTACTTAAAGTAAATTCGTAAAATAGAATAGAAAGCAGTTTTATTTATATCTGGTTTCAAAAGTTTCAAAACTTTGGTTTGTGGTCTGGGAAACTTTCCACTTCACTTCCATCTCTGTGGAAGTAACTGAAAGGAGTTTATTTCTGTGGATACAATTTTGTTTGCATAAGGTAATGATTGACCTTCAAATGTTTAATGAATTATGATGGATCTTAATATCTTGTTCACTTTTCTGCTTTGCTTTATGATCTTGCAGGAAAGGGAACAGAAGGCAGAGGAAGGGAAGACCCAGGAAAAGAAGAAAGAGGAGGACCGGAAACAAATTCGGCAGGAGAAGGCTCGATTGGCAAGGCGAGCTGCTATACAGGTACAGCGTGACTCAGCTGTAGGAATAGCTCTCTCTGCTCCTTTCACATGGAGTTCTTCAGGTTTGATTTCTAAAAGCAAAGAAAACGGGAGTCCACATGTTTTAGAACACGCATTCTTCAGTTTTTACTGTTCGCATCTAGAGCTTCAGTTGCAACCCTAGTGGAACTGGTCTGTGTAATGATTTGTGCGTCTTGTGCAGGAGCTGCAGCAGAAGCGCGCTCAGCGGGCTGCAGAGGCCCAGCGTGTGGCAGAGGAGGAGCTTGAGGCTATGAGGCAGAGTGGAAAGGTGGGCCGAAAGAAGCCCACAAAGACGTCTCCTAGCAACAGGAGCAGCAGCTCAGCCAGCGACATCAAGACAAAAAACACAGGTGAGGGGCGGAGGGTTCCAGTTCACAAGCCATGCTGTTCACAAGCCATGGTAAAGGCAGGAGTATCATGTTGGGCTAATAGTGTTTTCTAGAGATTTGGAAATTCTGATTGGTGTATTATCAGCCGAATAATCTATATACTGGCATTTTAATCTTAAAAGGCACTAATACCATATGCCTTCAAGATCCTAGTGTACGTTTACTGTGATTGTTAGTATAAAAGCTTTGAATTTAATGTCATTCTGACTTTGCCTTCTTTTCTGCTAAATTCAGCTCCAGTAATTTGATTTTTACATCATGAAAGAATCCCCAGATGAACTCTTTTTTTGTAAATTTCTCTTACAGATGCCAATGTGAATGTTCCAGCTGAACTCGATGACATTTCCAACCTGCGAGCTGGATCCCCTACAGACTCCCCCGGAAGAGGGTCTCAGTGCTCACAGGTACCCCTCTGCACTGTCACCTTATCGATTACCCCTCTACTGAAATACGTTGTCTGCCTTTAGTACTGATGCTTACCTTACTGTTAAGATACAATGGTGTTGATATAGAAGCTACTGTAAATGGTTTGATGATATTAACTTTTTAAGTTTTCTTTAAAGCAGATGTGCAAAAATATTTTCCTATTACTAGATCTGCAGTATATACAGATCTATTAGCATTAACACTTTCTTTTACTTTTTGCTGAGTCCAAACAAAACTTCAGAACATCTCAGAACCCTTATATTTCTGTGGGTGTTAACATGCCGAGTAACTAAGACAGTGTTGGCTGTACTCTCAGCAGGAACTTTTACATAAAAGAATGAGCCAAGAGGAGCCGCAACAGGGGGCACCATCAAGCATAGCCCAGTCTAAAACCACATTGAATGACCTCCTGGACACTCTCAAACTGCTGGAAGAGGAGCCTGAGAAACTGCCCGAGCCCAAGAGCTACAGGAAGGACAAGTACTCCTGGATTGATGAGGTGAGACTCCGGAGGCACAAAAACACTATTATAATGTGAGAGGTGCACCAGTGTATCCTCATGTAATCAACTAATTCTTATAATATAAATATATGTGTGATACATATAATTCTCAAAATAATCCTCATTCCCTCATATAATGTTTTTTTTATTGTCCCCTGGGGATGAATATATTATATATATCAAGTATTCATCTTCAGGCACAATAGGTCTTCCTAACCTCCCCTGTCCCGTCTCAGGATGTAGACAACTCCCTGACACTAGACAATTTGGAACGCCATGGCAAGCTGAGTCAGCCTGCTGCCCTACCTGATGGGGGCGCTCTGCTGTCAGAGGCCAAGCTGCAGAGCATCATGAGCTTCTTGGATGAAATGGAGAAGTCTGAGCAGGAGCGGCCACGGTCGGTCACTTCAGGATCACACCGCGAGGTAAACTAGGACTGTGATATGGGGACCGGGATATGGGGATATGGCAGTGGTCTTGGAGAAAATCCATCTGATTCCCCACTGGGAACTGTAGAGTACCTAAGATATGCTCTCACAAACCTGTTCTCCACAGGTGTTGCTTTCTGAAGAGGAGCTCGCTGGGGTGGAGCAGGCCTCAGCCACTGCTGCAGAGGTCACAGGCTCCATGATGAGGCTGAAGCTGGAGCTGGAGGAGAAGAAACGGACCGTCAACATGCTGCAGACAGCACTGGTAAGGAATATAGAAGGCACATCTGACCAATGGCACCTTTTACTAAATATTGACCATCATGAACACCGATCTCTGATCTGTGATTCCCAACCTTGGTGCTGTACAGACCTATATCTCCTCATTCTTTTTGAGTAATTAATCAAAGTCTAATTTAATTTAGTATTTGGGATTTGTTTTAAGTTTTGCTTTCTGCTCTTAAAATTTTGAGGAGGAATTGTTTTTGTCAGCCAGTCCTGATACCAGTTTCTGAGGTCTTTGGCAGAAATAAAAATAAAAAACTCCACACATTGTGGTATTTTGATATCTTGGAAAAAATGTTTAAAGTTAGAAAACTTGAGACTGAGTGTAGAAAAAAGTAAACCGAACTTTAAGTGGTTTAAAGTTTCACTACATTACACTAAAAAGTAGATTGTGCACGTTAATTCTGGATGGGTCCCCTAGCACCAAGGTAGCCTTTGTCCTGTCTTTGTCCTGATTAGAATTGCAGTAAAAAGGCAAAAGATTAATTTAAAAATCTTTGTATGTTTTATATATATCTATCTATCTCAAGGAAAATGCCTGCTGCACTTTGTAAAAATGAGTCAACTGAGTTCATGTACTGAATGTGAGGTGTGGTTTGTGAATCCTGGCATGACCTCTCCCAGGCCCAGCAGCGAGAGTTGACAGTTCGTCATACCAAGGAGACAGAGAAGGAGCTGAATCGCAGCTTCCAGCTGCAGAAGGAGCAGTATGAGGCCACCATCCAGAGACACCTGGGCTTCATAGACCAGGTACAGTGGAGTACCTGGTCCATTTGTTTTAATGTTGGAGCATAGTGATATTTAAGAATAAATTCAGTGATGTGCACATTATGTCAGTATGGCAGGATATGAATATGGTGATACTTTGGAGGCCAAAGTCCTCGATTAGCAGAGTATTGGATTATAGATATCTGCACAGAACAGAAAGTCTAAAATGAGGAGCAAGGCTGATCAAGTTGAGATTCACAGTTGTAGTTTAGAATAGTGAACGATATTACTAAGGAATTGTAATAATTGTATGATAGTAACAATTAGACATGAAATTCCATGTAGCTAGTTATTACAGCAATAAAGTTTTGAACTAGGCTTATTAGGTGGGTTGGTTTTATGCTGAGATAAGGAAGTCTGCCTTATGGACAACATAAGGAGGCAGTTCTTCACTTATCCAAGAGTTCTCTATGTAGTGATCTATGCAGGATTGAAATTTCAAGAGATGGACAGCATGTGATCTGCAGATGGTATTAATGTTACTGCCACACAGGTGATCTCCTCTCCTTCTCCCCCAGCTTATTGATGATAAGAAGGCTTTGAGTGAACGCTGTGAGGGGGTGATCAATGAGCTCAAGCAGGTGGACCAGAAGTACACAAAGAAGATTGCCCAGATGCAGGAACAGCACGACCTGGTGAGTTCAAGTACCTTCGTGTGGACTGGGAAGGTGCAGGTGAGAGCACTAGAGGGCAAGCTTGAGTGTGACTGTGAAAGTGTGTGCATTTCAAAAATTGGTGAATTGATTAAGTTGGTGGTTTATGGGTAACAAAATATGCTTTTTAATTAAGGATGCAGGTTTTTGAGTGAAGCACATGTGGTCTGCCTTTCAATGTGCTGTTGAATTATAGGGCTCCCTTCTTGCAGGCATTTCCTTCCTTTTTCTCTGTTGCAGTTTCATTTTAGCTGTGGGTTCTGTGCATTGTCTTTGTGCTGAACTTTTTTTGGTGCTTTATAAATGTGCTCCTTTTTTCTTACAATTTCTGGCTCTCTTTTCTGGCTAGGTGTGGCACATTCTGGGTCCCTTGTGTGAGGTAACACTTTTTCATCAGTCTAACTTTATTCTAACATTTCAACTTCTCTTTGTGTTTCTGTCACCTCTGGATCTAGTACATTTCTTGTGCCATCAAATCTGGAGACCAGCATGTGAAATTAATGGATCAAATAGCTTGATTTCAAGTTTAGTATTTTTTTTTACAGATACATTTTAAGGAGTTTTACCTTAGTTACAGTCTTTGTTGTGATTGGATTTTTTTCCAGCTTAATAAACTACATCTAAACATTTTTTTTACCATAGTCTCTTACTGTTTGCAGTGTTGTGGCTCTTCCTTCCTCTGCATTTTTATAGGGTCTTTGCAGGAAAAGGTTATCGTTCAATAGAACAAGGTGGCTCGGATTATTTTGAACAGTTATGCAACTCCAAAGGCATTCCCTACTGAGTGCCATTGATTAGAGGCTTTTAGGGATAAAAATTACTTTGAAACCAATCATTGCATTTTCTTCTAATAAGTGCAGAATGAACATAGGTGCAGTTTGTTATGAAAAGGACTTAAACTCAAGCATGGTTTGCTGTTATTATGTATGGTATGACAGATTTGAGCTGGTGGTCTTGACACTAACCTTGCCTACATGCCCTGCTGCATTCAGTGTTCTCGGTCAACAGCCTGTTCGTTTATCATGAAAGCAGTTTCATCCATGTCTAACCCTGCATGACACTGTAGTGAGGCCTTGTGGGTTATCAAAACTAACATGGCATTGGGAGCCATGGTTTATAATAGCAGCAGTGTTACAAAAGTGTTTTTCATTTCTTCCCTGAGAAAAGCATGTCTATGTCATTAATCTTTTCTACAGTATGTACATTTTACCTACATGAGGGGGCTCTTTCTGAGAGTGTTTTAATTGCTGATTCTGGTTTTTTTTTCCTTACTGATGTCTGTTCTACCTGTCTTTTCAAATTCTCCCAGGAGATTAAAAAGCTGAAAGAGCTGATGAGCGCCACTGAGAAGATACGAAGAGAGAAATGGATTGATGAAAAAACCAAGAAAATAAAAGAGATCACAGTAAAAGGTCAGTCAACATATTGGGAATGGTCCTTGGTGGTTTCTCAGCATTGATTTGTTGGCAGGACGAGTCATTGCATAAGATGACCACTGGTTTAAATTCTGTCTGTAGGGAGCTGGTTGATTGGGGATATTTATAGCTTTTTGCATTTAATTGACTAGAGAACACTAAGAGGGTAGACCAATAGAGAGAAATCTTACTGCTCTGGATTTTGACAGTTTTTTAACTCTTCTTGTCTGAAGCTTTGCTTTATGTGTGGTCTTGAGGAATTTAATGACATTTAAATTGGGGATTTCAGGAGAAGAAAAACTGTGTGTGATATCAGGGCAGTATTTGTCTTAGAAAAGGTAGATTGAGATTTTAAGAACACAAAGGAAACCCTAAACATCAGGCAGCAGTATTGCTCTTAGTTGACAATACCCCTGCTTATGAATGGGTAGGGTGCATTGAATTGAGAGCCACATGGTCCAGTATTCCCTTGCTATTTCACTGTTAAATAAAAATTAATTTACAGATTAATTACGGGTTTACATTCTGTAATTTCTCCAAGGTTAATGAAGTCGAAGAACTGTTCATAGCAATATGACTCTAGCCATTGCACTGCTGGTCACTAGGTGTCACTGTATGCTGCGAAGACGTAGAAGATCTATCAAGCTGCAAACCATTAAAAGATTAACAGCTGGTCAAAACCTACCTCAAAAATAAAATTGACAAATAAGGCACATTCTGTAGCAAGTTGAGAACATTTTTTAAACAATTTATGCCTTCAGGGTTTTAAGACCTATGCTGGTTTTACATTTCTGGACAAAGTAAAGAATGGGGATTTATGTTTTTGAGGCAGACGGTGTGAGAGACAGTGGAAACCGTTGCACTGGGCAACTAATGAACTGTAAGTAACATTTAAGTAACAAGAAGCTGGATGGATGTAGCATTTTCTTACTGTTCTGCAGGGCTGGAGCCAGAGATCCAAAAGCTAATAGCGAAGCACAAGCAAGAACTGAAGAAGCTGCGCGCCGTCCATGAGGCCGAGCTGTTGCAGGCAGATGAGCGAGCTGCCCAGAGATACGTACGACAGAGCGAGGAGCTCCGCCAGCAGCTCGAGAAGGAGAGGGATGAACAGTGCCAGAGAGAGAGGGAGCTTGCCAAGCAAAGGTCAGCACGTAATCTGCAGAGCATGCACACCTGTTCACGCAGGGCGGGAGAAGACAGAGAGAGAGATGTCCAGCGCATAGAAAGAAAATAGACCTTGAACCTGTTGTAGGAAGAACAATTTTTCCAGAAAGAAACTTACCCTGGTTTGGCAGATAAGTAAGTTTCCACATGTTCTCTGAACTGTTTTGGTGTGATTAGTCAAACCAGCTGCAAAGCAACAAGACATTTGCAAAGGGATGCCTTTGCAAGTGAGTGATCTAACCAGTACGCCCCACTGCAGGTATGAAAAGCAGCTGCAGGAGGAGGAGCAGTCCCTGCAGCAACAGCGGAGGCGTCTGTACAGTGAGGTGGCTGAGGAGAAGGAGAGACTGGCACAGCTAGCTTCCAGGTGGGGAAGGCTTACATGGGTGGTACTGTACAGAATGTGCAAATATTTAGAATATTTGTCTTCTAAATTACTGTTCCTTAATGTTTTTATTCGGTGACAATTTCCATTTGTGCAATACAAATTCATTGTGATGCCAGATCTTGTTTGTCTGTCATGAACGGATGTTGGCACAACTTGGAAATACACGCTTCTATATTCTAATTGCTCAAGTCAGTGAAAATGGAAGAACATATGCCTACATCTTCCCCATATTCATATTCAACACTGACTAGAAGCCAGAAATCTGGTTTGCTGAAGTGGGTTCCTCTGAGTTTTCCAAAGAGCATAGTGAAGACCTCCAGAAACCTTGGGTTTTCGAGTGCCGAGTTGAACGTGCCTGCATAGAGACGGCTAGAAGGCCCTAAGAAACTAAATGCAAGATAATTGTACTTTGCTGCTGCCCCCTGTAGGCAACGTGCTGAACTGGAGGAGCTGAGGAGGCAGCTGGAGGAAAACAGCTCCCTGGCAGGACGGGCACTGCGAGAGGAGTTTGACAAGGCACGTGACGAACAGGAGAGGAGGCACCAGGTACCGTGGCTTTGGCTTTCTTCATCTGGAAGAATAATGTTACCACAGATCATGTTTTTTTGTTCCTTCCATTTCTAATGCTCATTTTGTTGAACCCGTTTTTCTTTGCCTCTGTCTGTTCAGGCCGAGATGAAAGCCCTGAAAGAGCGGCTGGAGATTGAGAAGCAGGCCTGGGAGGAGAACTACATGAAGAAGGAGGTGAGCGAGCAGGACCCCTGTCTTTGGCTGAATTTCCTCTATGATTTGTGTTTTCAAATAACAATCCCTTTTGAGTTTTTTACAGTGCCTTTTCATTTAAGCCTCCAGTTGTGTTTTCTGCAGTCTTCAGCATGTAATCCTGTTTGGGAAACCATGTAAATAAGTTAGACCTATGTACAGTATTTAAGCTTGATGTGTTGTAATGCAAACTCCAAACATTAAAAGTGTTGCTGTGGCAACAGGGGCTTTTATTATGGTGTACTTTATATTTTATTAGGTTGTGCTGGGCCTTTTGTGGAGTACATAGACTGGGAACTTAAACATCAGGCTATAAGTGATTGTTTTGGTTTTTATTATAGTTGCTGAATGACTTCTAAGATATGGGAGAGATGTTTGCTAGATTACTGACTTTGGATTCTAGACCTTCTCAAGTATTTAATCACACAGTAAAATACATTCGTTTGCTGAGATGCTAGCTGGTGTCTTTCATAGTTCCTAGTGCTTGTCACCTGTATAGGTTAAATTCTCTTTAAACGGCTCAAATATGTGAAAGTCTGTAAAACTTTTCCCGACAACGGGAATTTCAAAATTATTTTTCCTAAGTTATACCAATCAGACAAAGAGTATGTGCACTTCAGTGTTTACAGATAGGACTCACTTGTCTTGAACACTGTTAAAGAGCAGAAGGGCCCAGATTTTGCAGGATATGGAAGAGATACAAAAACTATTAGATATAAAAGGAGTCCTAAAGGACCAGTGTAAAGCTGAGAATTTTTTGCCTAAAAGTTTTTCATGACAGCCTCACCCCTCCAAAATCTTTGTAGTATCATTGGGCATCTCTCCCTGCAGGAGGCGTGGCTTTTGAGCCGAGAACGTGAGCTGAAGGAGGAGGTGCGTAGGGGGCGGGATAAAGAGATCGAGCTGGCCATTCAAAGGCTGGAGGAGGAGACCAGTGGCGCCAGGGAGGAGTGTGAGAGAACTGCTGAGAACCGGTGAGCACAACAAAGGGATAGATTATTGATCTTCTGAAATCTGTGGGAGTTAACAAAAAGGAATGCCTTAGGAGCAGTATCAGTAACATGTTAGAAAGCTAAAAGAAACAGAGAGGTGGACTTTCTGCTGCACCGTGAGAATGTGTGTCTGGGATTAGACACACATTATTCCCCATAATCAAAAGCAAGTCTAATCCTAGAATTCCCACTGCTGTACACCCCCAGTTAATAAACTTTATTTTTATTTTATGTAGCACCTTTAAAGGTGGCATCTCAAAGCGCTAGTCCTGCTGGGAGAGGGAGATGGGAGCTCAACTGAACTGGCAGGGGGCACTATGTGATCTCCTGTCACAGCCTGAGGAGTAGTCAGAACATTATTAAGACAGGCTATGTGTTGTACGTTGTATGTAAATGTCCTGTGAGGTGTTTATATTGTAGATGTCGCTAGATCTTGTATTGTACTGCATGTGCTTTGGCAACACTGTAATATAACAGTCATGCCGATACAGCTGTTTGAATTTGAATTTTGAAGGTACCTGCCAAACCTTGCTTTCTGATCGATGCACTTTTTTTTTAATCCTGTGCAGTAAAATTCTGGCCTTATTTTCTTTAAATTGTTTTTGACCCATAAATGAAAATGTCCATCCCTGTGTATATTTTCATAGTCCCGTCTTCCCCTTTCCTTGGCCAGCACATCTTTTATATCTGGTGCAATCACACAGAAAGATTTCCCATCCCAGAGTTGTTGGCCTTTCCAGGGGAAGGTGTTTGTTTGTGCTAATACAGACGCCATGGTGTTCGCGTGTCCAGGGTGAAACGCGCGCGGGAGAAGTATGAGGCTGAGCTGCGGGAGCTTGAGCGCTCCGAGAGGAGCCTGCAGGACAGGAACAACGAGCTGAAGAAGCGTCTAGGGGAGCTGGAAGGAGAGGTCATCCGCCTGCAGGGACTCCTTCAGCAGAAAGAGCAGGAGGTGCAAGACATCACCCAGGTATAGAAGAAGGGTTGGAGCTGCATGATCTAGATAGTTTCAGGGTGGTGTAGGGGCACTATTGGTATTGCCTGGAGGCAGTCGTGGTCAGAATTTCCATTGTCCCTTTGCATCTAATTCAATACCTGCCTTGTCTGATTGCTTTCATTCTTCTATGACATTTTTTTCCTCCATTTGTCCTCTTACTTTGCTTATTCGGGTTTTTTTCCCCTTCTGACCAGTCCTCTCTGTCTTCCTCTTTTTTTTTCAAAACTTTTACTCTTATTTTTCGTCGCTTTTTCCCCTTCTCTGCTTCTGTTGCTTTCACCCCCTTATCAAGCCGTTCTGTGGTGCACCAAGTGCTAAATAAAGAATACAGTGGGATTGTAGTAAAAGCATAGGTGAAAATAGCTGTTCAATTACTGTGCAGAAAACTATGCAGATGTCTCTTCGTAAACCTGATTAACAGCTTGGTCTAACCCCTGGGATTGTAGATCAGAGACAAGCTGGCAGAAGAGAGGCGCAGCTTGGCCGAAGTGATCCGGCAGGAGTTCGCTGACCGGCTGGTTGCCACAGAGGAGGAGAACCGCCGGATGAAGACGGAGGTGTCGGAGACGAGGGCGCGGCACCGGCTGGAGGTGGAGCGGGTGACCCGTGAGAAGGAGGAGGAGTTGGCTGAAGTGCATCAGAGGTAATTTGTCATTTAAGATTAAGCACTGTCATGGCTTATTTATACATTTCTTACATTTGTTTTCTTAAACATAAATGCTGTACCCTGGCAGTAAATAAGCTTTCTGGATAGCTGAATTTCTGCCTGATAATGATGATTTTTATAACAGAGACTGAGGGACACATGTGGCTTTAATTTATCAGTAACTAAGGTGCTGTCTCTCTTTGTGTAGGGTGAAGGCAGCCATCCTGAAGAAGGAGGAGACTGTCAATAACTTGCGAAAGCAGTATGAAGTAAGTGGAGAGCAGGTCCCTCAGTAACATTTAACAATCTTGAAAAATTAAACTTAATTCAGAATGTGATCGGTTTGAGTATTTACATTCAATATAAACATCACAATCTTTTTCAGTCTAACACAAGTGCCAGGTATAATTTGCAATGAGTTAAGTTTTTATGCCTGATAACATTCAGGAAATCTCATGAGATCACAAGGAATTGACCTATTGTTGATCAAATGGAAACGGTAATGTTGGGCTGCCATCAAGGGTTTCCCACCACTTAAATGCATCCTGTTCAGAAAAGTGGAAAGAAAGACCTGCTTCTTAAGATTTCTTCAGGATGGAAACCTCCAAACCTTATCTGGGTACTATGGCAGTTATATCCATCTTTCTCTGGTCCTTTCTGCAGGCTGCACTGAAGAGAGCAGATCACTTGGAGGCTTTGTTGGAGCAGCAGAGGAAACAGCTTCTTGGCAAGTGAGAAAAGAGGACAGTGTCTGCTTACGTCACCGTACCATCTGACCAAAGGGAGATTTTCTTTCCTCCCCTAATGCGCAAAGTGCATGGACCTTCACAACTACAGTTAAAAGAGCTTCATCACTCAGTGTGGGACACTTGTTCTGTTTGTGATGAGTTACAGGAAGTCCGAACTCTGCACAGAACGATGCTGGAAGGCGGTCTTGAGGGAAGCTATCCTTGGTAGTTAAATACGATACAACTCTATTTTCCTGTAGCTGAAGCAGGAAATGGAAAAAGTGCGCTTTCCACTGAAGTGTGGCGGAAACAGCATGTGCTTATAAAAACGTATCATGGGCTATCATCCCATGATATACCCTGCAAATTCTGTTTTAAGTTTGAAGCATTCTTCTTTTTTTGGTTTCATCTCTTCAACATGACGTGTCAGTGCAGTCTGCTTCTCCAGATTTCCACAGCAGTTTAGTGCCATTATTAAACTTTCACAGATAAAGTTTTGGTTTGGTTATTGTGAAGATTTGCAGTGCTTTGGTTTAAAAATAAGCACAGTATGTCTCGGAAGTTTTTGTCAGCTTTTAAAAGTCTTGACACGTTTCCCACAATTACGATTATTTTGGAGCAGCCTAACTCTCCAGTTCATTAGGGGAGTTTCTTACCAACATAGGAAGACTTCTGTAGCTTTCTCTACAGCGTTAATGGAAGAATTTAATGTTCTGTCCCCCATTGCTGTTTTATTTATAAAGGGAGGTATGAAGGTTATTTAACCTGTGGCCCTTCCCACAATTTTATTGCACTCATTTCCTTAATTATTTAATTGCTAATTAGCAGGATTAGTCTAGCAATTAAGCCAGTTGTATGTGTTGGTGTGGTTTGGAAAGGGCATAAATAGAGTAGCCCTGATCTGTAAATCGTTACGGTTTTGTAGTGCAACAACTTTTTAAATCTTTTTAAAGTTATGAGGTGTTGAATGAATATAAACTGTTGTACAGTTACAATAAGTGATGGAAAAGCAAAAGCTGGGAAGAGAAGGAAAAGGTTTAGGAAGTGTTGATATTGGATAAGGAAAGAAGGGAATGAAACAGTTAATTCTTTTGCAAAGAGCAGGAAAAATCTCAAGAGCCTCAGCACAGACCCACTCATAGCAGTTATGAGTTCATCTCAGCAATTCACCGACGCACTGAAGCTGTTATAAATATGGTCTTTCTTCCCAACATGTTTTTGTAACTGGACCTATAATTGTTTATTAGGTTTACGTGGTGCACTCTTACATGAATGCAAAATCACCGTGCAACACTGCACAAACAAATCCACATACCCTTTTTCTGTACGCTGTACCTTTGTTACTGATTAAGACTTCCAAGCACAACAAGGTAACAACTGTTAGACGCTGTCATCCACAACCACCATTCCTAGAAGGCATAAAATGTGAATGTTACAGACACGGCTGTCTTGTTTTACTGCTTTCCATACTGTAAACCTTCATTATAACTAAATGTTAAGCCAAGTGTTTTCCGAGACAATGACTGTGAAGACTTAAAGAAATTGTCACTTTTTTTAAAGCATAATGAAATTGCCTTTTCTCTTCAACTGTATTGTTGTTCTGAGCAACATGTAGTGCAGTGGGAGGAAATGAAAAAGTCTTTGTTTCTGTGTTGACTCCGTCATTGTTTCCCTGCACATGCTCCACCCCTTTACTTGCAAGAAACAGGCATTAGTTTCCTGTTGAAGCCATCATGGGCAAAGACAAAAACATTCTCTCAGAAACAGTTCTGCTTTCTATATCTGAAGCTAGGCTTAATTTTGTTTTGAGTGCAAGCTTGTTATTTCATTAGTATTTTTCTATGTGGACTTCTTTTTGTATAGTATGGTATGTGACAATGTGATATAACATGCAAGTACTTTCTGAATTAAATTTTTTAAATTATTTTTTAAAGCATTTGATGAGTGCTCCTTGTGTAGGAAAATAATTCATGAATTTCCAAGAGTTTTTATCATTAGATTTGTTTGTTTTACATGCATATGTTTTGGTTTGAGGAACATTTCAAATCTGATGAGTGGAGGGATTCAGAGACTGCTTTTTGAACTGTGCAATTGAAACCCCAGCTCTGGTTATGGTTAGCATTGCCACACCACTTAGACATTTAGGACCAGTGGTTTTTTTAGTCCTATCTGACAAGTCTTTTTCAGAAACTCTCTGGGGCCTTGATGGCGCACTGTACCACGCGGTAATTGTATTGTAGAACTGAGTCGGTTGGATAAAAAGTTGTTACCAAGCATTATTGAATGTCATTCAAATGCAAGTGCATCTATCTGTGGTCCTGTCTGTTTCCCATTGATTCTTTTTGGTTTGGGGAATATGGCAAAATCCTGTGCCGAAAGAAGTACAGATATAGATAGACGAAATGCTCAGTTGACACCCCAGGTAGGGTTAGGGTTAGCATTCACACACTATCTAGGCAAGGTTTAAGCTCAGGGCTTGGTTTTTGGCCCCAAGTTAGGTTTAGAACAAGTGGTTTTAACCTCCAATCTGAATTTTTTTTTGCAGAAAGGGGCCTAGATGTTGCCGTGCACCACACAACAATTGTATCCCTAAACTGAGTCGGTCAGATAAAGACTTACGAGCAAACATTATAGAACATCTTACGTTTGGGGGAGCTTTTATCAATGCCTTTGTTTGTTTCACCTTCATACTGCTTGGCTAGGGTAAAATGCCCAAATCTGAGGCCTGGAAGGCTGCAGATACTGATTGCGGAATGAGTCAGTTGCCATCCATACTTGGGTTAGGATTCACACTCTACTTAGACATGTTTTTGTGCTCAGTGCTGCGTTTTGTGGCCCAACTCAGCTTCGGAATGAGGGATTTTTGTGCTTCCATCTTAACATTTTGTCATCGGAAACTTTTTGGTGCCTGGATGGCGAGGTGCAAGCCTTGATAAATATAACCCATAAACCATGTCCGTCTAATCAAAATTTGCAGCCAAACATTATAGAATCTAATACATTTACATAAGGTTTTACCGATATTTTTGATGGTTTCACACTCGTACTGTTTGGTTGAGGGAACATGTCAAAAACCCATGTCCAGAGGACTTCAGATATTGATTGCGGAACATGTCAGCTGAAACTCCAACTAGGGTAAGGTTCAGCATTGCCACACTACTAAGGCTTTTTTACACTCACTGCTGGATTTTGGGGCCCACATCAGAATTAGGATGAGTGCTATGTTTCTTTAATTTTGGCTTTCAAGACTTTGTGCAGCTTCTATTGTATATTGACCCGTTAAGCAATTGTACCCCAAAAAATGAGTAAAAAAAAAAGTTCAAGGAAACTTTTTCTAATGAGTAAACAATGTAAATTTGGTCATTTTGCAACTAGAAGTATAACTGCGGTCAGCATTTAAGGATTTTTGTCACCCTATCCCTGCTCAGGCCTAAAATGGACATTTGTTTAAATACTGTACCATTTCAACAATGTTTTTCAGCTGATTGAAACAGTGGGTAAAGAAGACAGAATGTGGAAAAAGAGGAATTTCCAAGAGTTTTTATCAGTAGAATTGTTTGTTTTACACTCATATACTGTATTTGTTTTGAGGAACATTTCAATTTTGATGAGTGGAGGTCTTCAGAGCCTGCTTGCTGAACTGCTCAGCTGAAACCCCAGCTAGGGTTACTTGTTAGCATTGCTACACTACTTAGACATTTTTTACACTCAGTGCTGGATTTTGGGGCCCACGTCAGGTTTAATATAATGAAAATGTGCTTCAATCATCAATTTTATTTTTTGCAGCTTGTATTGTATGTTGCACTGTTCAACAATCATATTTTAAAAAGGGAGTCAGATGAAATGTTTTAAGCTAACCTGTTCTAATGAGTAAACAATGTAATTGTTGTTAAAAGTGCAACTAGAAGTATTATTGCAGTCAACATTTTTGGATTCTTGTAATGCGAACCCTGCCCTGGCCTAAAATGGATGCTCGTTTCAATACCATTTCAACAGTGTTTTACAGGTAATTGAAAATGTGCGTAAAGAAGACAGAATGTAAAAGAAGATGAGTTTCCAAGAGCTTTTATCAACAGATTTGTTGGTTTTGCACTCATGTTTTTTGGATTGAGGAACATTTAAAATCTGATCTCTTCACAGACTGCCTGCTGAACTGCACAGTTGAAACCCCAGGAAGGTATAGAGTAAACATTGTCACACTACTTGGGCATTTTTTTATGCTCAGTCTTGCAATTTAGATTTAGAACGAGTGATAATTTATTTTGCTATCTTCAATTTTATTTTTTGAGACTTTTGGCTCCTTGAATTGAATATTGCAATGTCTAGCATTTTGTATCCCAAAAGTGAGTCAGATGAAAAGTTTGAAGAAAACCTGTTCTAATGGGTAAACACTTTTAATTTTATCATTTAAAGTGCAACAACACGTACTGTGTAATTGCAGTCAACATTTAAGGGTTATTGTAATTCTAACCCTACACTGGCCTGAAATGGATGGTCGTTTAACGTTTCAGCTTGCTGAGCTACTCAGTTGAAACCCTAGCTAGGGCTGAGATTAGCATTCCCACACTACTTGGATGTTTTTTTGCACTTTTACACTAGTGCTGTATTTTATGGCCCAAGTCAGCTTTAGAATGAACAATAATTCGCTCATGTCGTCTAGTTTTTTTTCCAAGGTTTTTGGCTGCTCGTACTTTATATTACACTGTTTAGCAATTGTATCCCCAAACTGATTCAGATGAACCGTTTTAAGAAAATGTGTTCTAATGCCAGCAGCCATATCACCCTGCAACTCACAACTGGCAACCCACTGAAGCTCAGCAGGTGTGAGCCTGGTCAGTACCTGGAGGGGAGACCTCCTGGGAAAAACTAAGGTTGCTGCTGGGAGAGGTGTTAGTGGGGCCAGCAGGGGGCGCTCACCCTGCAGTCCAGGTGGGTCCTAATGCCCCAGTATAGTGACGGGGACACTATACTGAAAACAGGCGCCGTCCGTGGGGTCATTAAAAATCCCAGGGCGCTTCTCGAAAAGAGTAGGGGTGTAACCCCGGCGTCCTAGCCAAATTTCCCATTGGCCCTTACCAATCATGGCCTCCTAATAATCCCCCTCTATGAACTGGCTTCATTACTCTGCTCTCCTCCCCACTGAGAGCTGGTGTGTGGTGAGCGTTCTGGCGCACTATGTCCGCTGTCGCATCATCCAGGTGGGGCTGCACAGTGCTGGTGGGGGAGGGGATCCCCATTACCTGTAAAGCACTTTGAGTGGAGTGTCCAGAAAAGCGCTATATAAGTGTAAGCAATTATTATTATTAATGGATAAAAACTCTTAATTTTGTCATTTAAAATGCAACTAGTATGCAGGTCTTCATGTCACTATCATTATTTTAAAAACCTTCCATTTCTGCCTAATAAATGTGACAGTTATAATATATTTGAAAACATCATGTAGCCATCTTATGTAATCTTATGTATCTCTGAAATTTTGTTGTGCTTAATGCATTCAATGTTGGGTTTCGAGGTCAAAAATTGTATTTTTAATAACAAAAATTACATTAAATCTATCAGAGCTAGTTATATGTATATTTACAAATGACAATTTGTATTTTGTGTTTTTATAATTATTAAGGTTCCAGGAAAACATTGTTAATTTTCGTGTAGTCTTAGATAAAAGGTAGAAATCAATGCTCTAATAAATTGTGTAGCAGTAGTTAAATGCAACTTTGAACGTCAGATGGCCAAAATGTTGGGGTTTTTTGTTAGAACCTTCTAAGATGAAAGGTATTTTCGGGTTAATGTTTTTGTTTCACAATTTGGGCTGCGCAGCATGCTGAGATAAAGTCGACGAACGTGGCATTATGGGAAATTTGGCTACTTTTTGCGTGCTTAGGAAGTTACCACTACAAAGATAAGGGTCGCTCACGTCTCTCCAGCACAGGAGTTGAGCTGTCTTTAACAGAGAGTGAGCTGGGGGGAGGGCTTGAATGCGTTAGATCATGAGGCCTCCTTTAAAGGGGAAATGATGTCAGCAGGCCAGTATCTCTGTACGTTTGATAGTCGTTAGATTCATATTACTTAGTCTCTTAGCACGTTCAAGAGGGCTTGGCTGTGATGTAGCAAAATTTCCAAGCTTGCCTGATGTGACTCAAGAAAGTTAGAAGCAGGATTCTTCCTCTAACTAGGCTCAGCTTCATAAAGTTTTTCACTCCTGAGTAGAGTGTGTGGAGGGTGTCTTCTCACAGCTGTTGTTCATTTCACTGTCTAAAAGCCCCTCATGCTGAGAAGCATGAGGTTTCTGGAGAGGGCATCTTAGCAATAACACAATCTTGGCAGTGGTGCTGTGGAAGCACTCTGCTCTAGTGTCTGGTTATCGTTACAGTGTGACGCTGCTTGCTAACAGGTGAGTTTTACTTTTATTTCTGTCTAATGCCATTAATTCCATAATTTTTATGTAAGGTATGTTTTGAGATAATGTCCATTAATTTATATGTATTTGTACAGAAAATAAATGTAACATGGAGTGCTTGGGAGGAGGCAGCTTAGTAGGGAAGGGTATTTTTGTCTGTGAATTGGATTTATTTATTTTTTTGCCAAGAAGTTCCAGACAGACACGTATCTAGAAAAGATCACAATCACATTAATGTATTCTTCGTTCATGAACAATTTTGGGATGCATAGATTCATGTTTCCAAGTTGCTTGTTTTATTATTAGAAATGTCGTATACTGTCTAGAACAGTGCCTGATAAATACGGAAGTGATGATTAATATTTCTGAACGAAAAATACATGCCCTCAACATATAACGTAGCTCTAAACATAAGAAACTTTCCATATAACATAGCTCATTTGAGCTCATGTTTGTAATATCAGAATTAAATAATGCATAGATTGTTTTCTTTCCTCCCATTGCTTTCAGTTTAAGTCAAAAGCTTGAGAATACAGGACAAAGTCCTGCCTACAGCGTAAGGTTAAAACGGTCCAAACTTTTATTAGTTTCCGGGGTTTCTAGTAAGAGGCTTGTTGTGGTGACTTTTCTGAAATGGTGGATTAAACTTCACTGAACACTTTTGTTCCATCACCAGATGCAGCATAGTGTTCATTTGGGTGGAGGCTATTTTTAGAGCTTCGACATTAAGTAAGGCTTGGTTCCTGTTTTCCGTTAGAATTGCCTTTGTTTTGTATAAGACTCTTGGGTATATTCTTCAGTCTTTTTTGATTATGTGGGGTGGAGTGGGTGAGAGTTGTTGTTAAAAGTCACAAGATTGCAATATTTTTTGGTCAGTTTATTTCCTGGTTAAACACAGCCAATCGATTTAGCAGAGTCAAACGTTTTGTTTTTGTAAGTGTGTATATGTCTATATACTGTATAGTTGTTATAAATTCAGGAGCAAAGGCATTACACGGTTCACATCAAATCATGGCTTTTAACAAAACTCTAAAAGTTTGTAAACAGCCTCAGACCATTAATACTTAAGTTTTTTCCATCCCTAAAAACCCAGACATAAATTTCATTATGGACTAAATACATTTCTAACTATACCTGTAAGCCAGCATCTGCTACAGATTACATTTGCTGTAGGAATTTTTGTGCAAGAAAAATAGTCCAAGACGTTAATGTGCTTACAGTAAAAACATATCAAAAATGCATAAAAAATAGTGTCAGGAGCCAAGTCTCAAAACTTTACTAAATCACTAGAAGATGTAGCTAGTATCTAGCACACTCAAATAAATGATACCAGGAATGCAGATTTATAATGTGCTTTTATGAAATCTGAGCCATCCCTGAACAAACAGGACAGATTCTGTAAAGAGTGAAGAGATGCAGACTGTATATTGTCAGGAGAAAGGCTATAATCAATCCAACCAATATTGATTAGACATAATTCTTGTATGATGAACCATGTGTGGTTTGTTAAATTTTAACCAGACTCGTGAGAATTGCTTAGCTGTGAGAATTAGCCTTATGCAGCATATGCTTTATGAGGTGAGAGCTGTACTTGCGATTGTGTTGATTTGTTTGACTGTAGCAGATCATACATCCATCTTTCATTAATCACTCTTGGCAAAAAGCCATGTGCCAAAGGGGCAAGCTTTGGTCACAGCTTAGACGCAATTTAATTTCTACGACTTTAATCACACTAGTAATATTTCTGGTATCATTTGAGTTCTTCTTTTAGTTTATTTCTTGCCACTAGTTATTATGCTTAATTTTTTTGTTTGTTCCTGAATTAGTTTTTTTCTGTTGTCAGTTGGACACAAAAAAAAAACAGAAACCCTAGCGGCACGGGAAGGCCAGTGAGGAAAAGCCCCCCCTTCTCAAGGAAGTCTGCACCGTACCACAGAGCTCTGTCCAGAGACAGTCGGCTCCAACAGCCTCTGTCTCCTCCTCCACATTCCTGATGTCCCTCCCTCTCCTGCCTGTGTTCCTGGAGGCAGATATGCAGCTGCTCTCTGGGGACTAGAAGATGAAGACCAGCTGTTTTTCCCTCAGAAAGCTGGGGCCTTGTTTCTATGTGGTCTGTGGGCTCTGTGTGGCACTTGTCCTGTTCTACCTCTGCGTCAACTTGTGGCCATGTGCCCCCTGGGACATGGGTGACAGCTCCTGCTTTTATCCAGCCAGGTAAGAAGCAGTTCCAATGGATAGTTACTTCGGTGCCACTCTTGTGGTAATTTAAGGAAATGGGATGCTTTACCTAGCAAGGTACAGAAAGTTTTTTCTCTTTGTTTCTCAAGAAAAAAGTTCTTCAGTTTTTTGCTGTCAGTGGCATTATCAAGTTTGTATTAGGCTTGTGAACCACAACTATGGTTTCTGCAAAGGTTGGTTTGTTCATCCCACAGGTGGAGTTCGGAATCATTAGTGTGGCTTATCTTTAGATGTTTTCTAATACAGTATGTCATTAAACTTTTCACATAACTACAAAAGCAGCAAGGAAATCTGAAAATTGTATTGTATGGTACACCAAGTTTATGGATCCCATTTTTATGAACCACAGCCTGCAATCAGCTGTAGAGCTCATTTAACTTTTTAAAATGCATTTGAAAATGATGCGATTCTGCCTGGTGACAGGTTTAACCGTGCTGCAGAATCTGAAAGGTAGATTTTTGAATACTTTATAAATTAACTAGACTTACTGTTAGTGTCTGCCTTTCCTTTTCCTTTTAATTGGATATTCAAGACACCATTACATTGATCAAAACCATCAAACTATTCCTATGTGTGCATGTATTGAACATGTTCTGAGAAAATTTTAAAATATACTTAGTTTTCTTTAATATAGTGACTTCTGGAATATCTCTAACAACTGTTACCGAGTGTTTTTCTTTTCAATGAAAAGTGCCAGGTACATTTACAGATAAACATTTCTCTTAAACAAGGCTACTTACTGCTTTATTACATGCAATAAACCTGGACTGTAAACGTTTATCTGCCTCACTTTATTTGCCCAGGCTGGTGGTGTAGAATTAAATAGGACCACATCATTGCACAGGTAAATTGTACTGTGTGGCTGGTCCCTCCTCACACTGCTTTTTCTCTTTGTTATAAAACACTTGATTAAAAGACTTATTCACTGGCCCAGTCCAAAATGATAGCACAAAACTGATTCATGAGAAGCTGACTCTTAATTGGGCTTTTTATCTGGTGATATGCAATTTTCATTAAAATTGCTAAATGCTAAATAGTATGGAGCCATATGAGGCATGAACACCTTTTGCTTCTTATATACTCAGGTGTCATTTTCACACTTTGGGTGACTGAGGTCATCTCTTTCCAAAACAGGACTCTACTTAGTTTTTTGTATTTGCATTAATTTACAATGCTTTGTGAAGTGCAGCTGTTACTCATGCAGGTGTTTTGGTATCAGCTGGGCTTTTCTTATGAAGTTTTATTGTTTATACTTTTTCCACCTGATTTGTGTAGTTTGGTTTACAATATGCAGTGGCCCTGTACAAAATAAGGACACACACACACACACACACACAATGGCTTCCTTGATTCCCTTGACCACAAGGCAGCCTTGTATGTAAGTTCCAGGACATGACAGTCTACCCAGCAGGATAACGGCATTTCTTATCCAATTGGAGGCCACCACACTTCGACAAGCTGTGAAAAACCTTTCATCACCCCTCTCCCCTCCTGCTGGCATTCGTTTAATAGCCTGGCACCATGTGGATATCAAAGCAGGCAAGGTGTTTTTAATAAACTCATCACTTACTGGAGGTGTGAGTCTTTACTGGAGCCTTTTGTTGCAGTTACCCAATGCTGCAGAAAACCTAAAGTTTAAGTTAATATGTTGTAAATTAACATACTAACTTCGACTGCAGGTTGGCATATGATAAACGTGCTAAACTGATCAAAGGTGGGGCTCAACATGGATCGTATTAGCGAGATGCACTAATAAAAACCTAGAACCGGCAGCGGCGAGGGCGCATACCCATGTCCCATGAACCCAAAAGCGCTACAATACCTCTGATAAATTCCTATCAGCTACACTTAAATCATACTGTATTTTTTAAATCAAGAGTCTGCTTTGTCACAACAAAGACAGGTCCACTGGAGACTAACTGTCTCTGACCCATGGACAGTTGAATTTATAATCTGGGGAATGTCTTATCCGTGTTCTTTGAAGCAAGACATGGAACAAACTTTTCGAGAATTTGCTGAAAATGGGACTTGAACTTTGGTGCCATTGTATGTGTGTGTGTTTTATAGGAGTGGAACATAGTGTTTACAGTATGTTTACCACTGCCATGTTTCCCCCTGAAAAGGATTTCTGTCATTCTTCTCTGTTAATCTCAAAGAAACATTAACTTCATTAACTCTTTGCATTAGCTGTTACACACTTGGAAAGAAAACAAAGCAAACTCTTAGCTCTGTTGCAGTTCTGTAAGACACGTACTTGCCAGAGATATAATCCATGCCTGAGATGAATCACAGCCAATGTGGAAGTGTTGTGCATGCAACCTAATAGCTAACCTGTGCATGCAACCTAATAATCTCACAATGCAGGCATTCTCTGAGCATTCTCGCAAATACTCTGTGACATTTTTGATGGTTCTGGGCAAAGACTCATTTGAATAAAAACGACGTTTGCCTACTATTTGAATATTTAAAAAATGTTTCCTTGGGGAAATGCAACGATTCTGTAAGAGTCATACCTTCAATGTATAACTAACTCCCCCCCCCCCACAGCACTGCTACTGTATCACACATGTGATTTTTATTATTAAAAGGCCAATTCACTGGCCCAGTACAGAATGATAGCACAAAGTTGATTTACACGTGAGAGACAAGCACCTTGCCCTTTTAAACTCCTTTAAACTTGTTTATAGTATAATAATAACTCTGAATAACCCTGAAAGTGTTGATTTTTGTACCCTTGTACCCTTGATTTAATGGAGAGCTTGTGAACAAATGTCATTCATGAAAGTTAGGCACATCCATTGGTTGATCCAAGAGTTACTTTATGAAAGCAGAGCTGGCAAATTCTAGTATATAGACAGAGTGATAATTTTACCACGCAATGGTTAGGTACTGATTTATTGGACTATTGCAAGAAAATGTCCAGTGTAGATCTTTTATTTGAGCACTCTTGAGCTCGCTCCCTCTCATTCACACCTGTAATTCTGTATTTCTCTCATCTCAGGGCAAAAGTCAAAAGCAACAATGACACTGTTTCAGAAATGGATCACATTGCGGCCACAGACTGTAACTGCACAGAGTCTGCCAAGATCGGAAGAGAGGGGCACCTGCTGAACAATCTCCAGCACACCGCCAGCCATCAGGCAGAACGGCCTCAGAAGAGCATTAACCAATCGGTTGTTTCAGCATGGACTGGGACACAGAGCTCATCCTTGCACTCCAGTAACGCCCACCAGACGCAGGCCCACGTTGGACAGCAGCCAGTCCAAGATCAAGGTTCTAAACCACAAAATGCAGACACCCCAAAATTACAAATGAAAGTACAGCCCAAGACACCAACTGATCCACCATTTATTGGAGATAAATACACCAGGGAAGATACAATTCCACAAACAGTAAGATTTTACTAAGCCGATTTATTGCATTTTTTCAGATAACCTCAAGTGTTATCACATGTACTGTACTGTCTGTTGGCCAGCTCTAAATCTCCTCCTCGAAGCTCGAATTTTCCTCCTCTGTAATGAGTTTTGATAGTTTTGAAGAAATTTATTTTCAATATAGCAGACAAACGGGACATACTGTATATAGGACTACCTAGTTATTTATTTTGAGAAATATTTGTTTTTCTTCAGTATTTTTTAACCTGCAGAATGTCCAATTACAAGAGAGCATAAAGACAGGAAGGTCTATCATGTTCAAAAGGCAATTATTGAATTCCAAATAATTATGATCTTTTGTTAACTACCCCAAATGGGACAGGAAATATATGAAAGGCAACATCTGCATTGTATTGACACTAATATTTTCCAGTAACAGTCCGTAATCAGCTCCTTTGTTTCCTTCTGTGTATTTGAAAACAAGTAAAGCGATTTTACTAGGGAGCTCATTCCAAGGGCCTTGTATCAGAAGATTTCACTGGGAAAAAATGATGTCAGAGAAGAAAGAAAAACACCAGGTCCACCACAGGCCCAGGAAGTGGCTAAAAAATGCAGACAAGCACTTTGAAAGGTCAAATGTTCTAGTGCTTAGTGAAACATGCAATGAACTGGTAATCCTAACACAAAAATGCCACAGGGCTCTAAATGAGTATATGGTGTTCTTTTTATAAGTAAGTGTAAAGGAGTAGCATAAAAAATACTGTACACCTCTAGATTCCTCTGTAAGACCAACTTGCTGTTGCTGTAACATTCTCTTCAGCGCTCCCAGGTTTTAAAATTTGATTTATGTTAAAAAGATACAAAGAGCAATGTTGACAATACTCACACAGTAGCTGCCATTTTTTAAAATATCACTATTTTTCAATGTACAGTATAACCTCCCAATTTACATTCTGCAGTTGTTAATTTCTCAACTCATAAGAAGGACTCCTGCACCCAGAAAGGCACAATGAGAAAGAAGAGACAAGCTCTTCTGTCCAGCCCACACATTAACCTATTCCCTTAACATGCCATCAAGAGACTCACCCAATAGTTAATGCAGACTGGAGGTCCAGCACATCTTTCATTGATACCACTTCAAATTTGCAAGTGCTCAGCAAGTCAGACTCACTGTTTTATCAAGGGCCAATTAATACTTGAAATACTTCCTGCTGATTTTGTGCTGCTGCTTGGAAAAACCTAGTTAGAGAGTTACACGTCCCAGGTTCAAAACTAACACTGAATTTCAAAACTAAATTTATTTTTGAAGAAGTAATGGGTTCCTATGCTCATTGCAGGTGAACGCTGAGTAGAAAAGGCTTTGTAACCTTTTGTACTGTATTTACTGAGCTTGCAAAGGAACAAGTAATAGGTTTATTCCATGCTGAAAAAAAGAAGAAAGAGAACACAACGTTTTGGCCGTGGAGCCTTCTTCAGGTGTGGGGTACTGAGCTTGACCCCCTCTAACTTCTCCTGACTGAGTATAGTCTTACATACAGTTCAGTTCATAAGGTTTTCCAGTGTGTACCTATGCAAAACCATATAAATTACAATATTATATTTTTTCCTCAAAGGTCTCATTAGTGCTTGTAAGATCTTTTGACACCCAAAACGTTTTTTCTTATGTAGTTTCTCTACAGAATGGTGACCAATTGTCCAAGTGCTACTAGGGAAAGCACTTCGGACTGCAGCTTCTCCAGTCATGTGTACCTCACCTGTCAGGCACTATGGAGCTCACAATGTGTGAAGTGACAAATGGCTTTACATGTCAGCCTGTATGAGGAGCATGTTTACATGTTTACAACCTCATGCATACAGGACTCTTTTGCCACACAGTGGAGTCTTAAAACAATCAGGAATTTGAAATGATCTTGTTATATATACTGTATATATCTACATCATAACTGATTTACCATCTTCATAACTGGACTCCCCCTCCCTCCTTTCAGAACTGCTCAGTTAGTATTCGAAGGAGGTTTCCAAAAACAAGTTTCAGGGAGAAGTACCTGGAGTGGGTCCCCGTCCTTCAGTGGAAGAAGCATGGTACTGAGAAGGAGTACCACAGACTCAGCCAGTACAATGGGGCGCATGGTTGGAGTGTACTCTCGTTTAACAGTAAGTACTATACATTACTGATGTGGCCTATTATGCCATGAGATACTTGCAAGTTTCATGACCACTGCCACTGTTGTGGATTTCAAGTCAGCATTCTGTGGCCTTGAATGTGGTTTTGTACTACACCACAATGAGGAAAATTGAAGGAGCCCTTTACCACTAACACATACTGTACATACTCATAAATTAAGAGTTGGGTTTAGACAGAAGATGGAAGTGGCTTTCAGCAGACAGCATTTCATAATTAAAGATCAGAGAACATGGAAAAGAATCAAACCAAGTCTGGTTTTAAAAAGAAATGATTTAAAGATTTTGACTTTTTAATTTGGCAAACTTTATCTTGTTGTTTGTTGTATTACTGTGCAATTAGCCTACTTTAGCTTTTATTAGTGTACTTTACGTAAGCTCTTTCTTGAATCAATCAGAAATACCTGCCTAATGTCTTTGGGCATAGTTGTCCTCAAAATGCGTAATTTAATTCCTAGCCCTGAAAGCAGCTCTGTCTCTCCTTAACACAACGGCCAATCAGCGCATGTTTGATGACTGGGACAGCAGATCTAACAAGGATAAGTGTATCCGTTGTGCTGTAGTGGGGAATGGAGGGATTCTGAAGGACTCCAAAAAAGGCAAGGAGATTGACCAGCATGACTATGTCTTCAGGTACAAAACTCCTGGCCACTAAATAACACACAACATTACCACTTCAACAGTTTGTAATACAGCTGCATGGCAAAATGAAGTCAAAGCTTGTAAAATTAAACCATGAGTGTATTCAAAAGACTTTTTGCAAGATACAATTTCTCCAGAACTGTGGAAATCAAGACTACTGCAAAGTGGACTAACTACTTGGACCCTTATGAGGAAAACCCTGTAGAAAAAAAAAATCCTTGTAGAAAGAGTAGACTTGACCAAAGCAACGCTAACCACACTTTTCTCTGCGTCATTGCATCAGGACGAACGGGGCTGTGATCAAAGGCTTTGAGGAGGATGTTGGATCCAGAACTTCATTCTACACTTTCTCCACAAACACAATGCGCAACTCCATGAGGAGCTACGCCCATGTGGGCTACCATGGGCCTCCCCTTTCTCAGGTGAACAATGCGGACTTAAGCTACTGTAGTTAGTTCAAATGGTTTTCAAAACCAAAGTGAGAACTAACACTGCCATGCTCAGTTGCGGGATGTGACTACCATTCCGTAGTGTTAGTCATTTTCTATCTTATCCTCCAGCCCCTCATTGCCCTTACCTCTTTCCCCTTGGGGGGAGTTCTGATCGCCTTGTCCTTATAGCCAGGCACTTGTACTCTCAGCCTGGCATTTTAAAGATGACTCAATGTTTCTATCCTTCATGCATTAATCCACTCAGTGTTTACATTAGCCCAAAGTTGCAGAAACACCAAAAACATGTGTCCTTCATTTTATCTTCAAAGATTGTGGAACTCATCAGCTAAGCACATTGAAGACAATAACTGTGCAAATACTTTCTACTTAATATGCTTTATCATATGAAGAAGCTGTCTTCAGTTTTATTTAGTATCAGAAGACTTGACCTGACCAGCATGGACGTCTTTACCTTTATTTAACCATCTGTTCTCCTGCCAGGAGACCAGGTATATCTTCCTTCCGGATCATGACCGTGACTACATCCTCCTGTTGGCTGCTGTGACCCACACACCCATTGAGACAGGACCAGACCGCTCCAAGACGTAAGGAGGTTTTTTTGAAAGCTTGAGGAATGAACAGACCTCATTCCTCTTCTGGGTGGCTGAGTGGATGCGATCTTCTAGGGATGTGGTTTGTGACACAGCAGCCAAGTAATATTAAAGGGCTATTATACTCCTCAAAATAAGATACACTTCACTACACTTCATCCATGTTATCTGTGTGCCATAAAATCCACTCTTGCTCTTGCACATAATTTACAGTCCTTCTTGTAGTATTTAGTTGGTCACATGCGCTTTAGGGTTAATGTCAATTTCAGCTGTGGTTATCCACAGCTGTCAAGCACATTTGCTCTCTGCACTTACTTGTTGCCTACCATGCTACTACCAGACTTTAATTTTATTATTTTTCATTATTCATATCTTCTCACCTCAGCCCACCGACATTCTTTGGAGATCATGTCACAGCAGAAAAGTTCAAAGTGTATCACCCAGACTTCATCCGCTACATCAGGAACAGGTGAGAGACGGAATTCAAATTGGCAAGAAATGATTTTCAAATAACAACAAGTACTGTTGGATTCTAGTTCACAGACTTTTATATATGTATATAAAAGCATATTTTTAGTTTGTACATAAAAAGTGGAAGATATCCTAAAACTCTAATTCTGCATCGATTTCGGATGGAGAGTCAGCACTTAATGAAGAGACCATTCGACTGTGAATAAAATCTTGTGATGGCACATCCCTAAAGATAAAGGAAATAACAACTGAAACCAGAGTTACCTAATTAAATAAGGAAATAAAACCATGTGACTTTTAGTATAATGGCTTCATTTTTGCTTCGATACTTAGAGTCCTCAAATGAGTGAAGGATGTGTTGCTCCTCTCCGCATTAATGTAAGAGCTGGCTTGACGTCATGCTTGCACTGCGCTATTACAGAAGAGGGGAAATTGAAAAAGGAAGCACTAAACTAATTTGACCTAAATATGTGGTCCTTGTGTTCTTTTGCATTTACTGTCAAATTGTAAAAAGATATAAACCAACCATGAACAGTGAAATGATCTGCAAGTCTAAAGTTTCTTGACCTGTGCTGTAATGCTCTGAGGTTCTCAGACTTGCTAAACTAAAGCAGGTCAGGTATCCTCCCCCTTGAGCATGCTGTGGATTTAGGCAATGACTTTCTGCAAAGTTTCATTTGATCACATTAATTTCCTTTGGAGAAAAAAAGTAGTGAAATGCAATCATTTATCCATCCATCCTTCCATTCTTCCATCCATTGTCAGAAAACTCTTTTTTGATCCTGAGATCTATTTTTTTTTATCCAGAGCCTATCTGGAATCAAGCCACAGAATCTGGCAAGGGCTGGGAGGCCGCTGCACTGACCAAAATTGCTATAATTCAATGGAACACATACTGTATTTTTAGATGTGTATGTGACGACCTACAGTATGTAACTACAGTATCGCTGAGCGATTGTTTCACATTGGGGTTACAGAGAGCTCCAATAGTCAATGTGTCTTGTCCAGTGGTCTCCAGCTCTGGTTCTAGAGAACCCCAATCCACTTAATATTACTCATCACCCTAAATCACTTGTTCATGTAAGATTAGGAACACTTCCTTAAGCAGTTGATCACTAAAGCAAGTTATTTTTTTATGGAGGGAACTATGGACGTTGAGGACTGGAGCACATACTGATTTTGGCTCCAGATGATTTCTAAATTATATAATTGAACATATCACCTATTTAATGAATCATATGTAAATTGTCACAGGGCTTTAGAAATGACTGATTTAAAGGCTGCTTACAAATCCTGATGGACAGGGGCTCTCCAGCTACATGCTATGGAGACCCCTGTTCTAGTGTATTGGGTTTATGGGTTAACACATTTCCCATTCCAATAGTTCAGGTAATTATTATTGACTGTACTTTTCAAAAGTCATAATGATACAGCTTATTAAAGGTATGTAGTTTCTATCTATGTAATGATTAGTTAATGAGAAGTTGGTTTTGAAGTGGTTTTCATGTAACTTAATGGCCTTGCTCCTAAAATACAATGCTTGTT